CTTCCAAATTCTTGCAATCAGATACACTGCATCAAGTATTGTTAATTAAGAAGCACTGCTTACGATGGGGGCAAAGACAAATGTTTATAGATAAATAACAATGCAATTGATAAGGAGCTCTTGCAATGTGAAATGCCCTATGGTAAAGTATGATTAATTGCCAGGCTTACGTGATGAAATAATTCAGAAGTGGAAGAGAAAGGTAGAAGTGGGCTGGGAAGAATTCACAGAAGAGGGAGAATTTAGAATTTCACATGCAGAGAGATGAGAGGAATAAATTACAGATGGAAGAGTAGAACTAGCAAGAGTAATGAAGTGGGAATGAGCCAAGAGGTATTCATGAACAGGAAAGAGCCCTATTTGACTGAGACAGAGGATTCAGAGGTAGGGAGTTTGAAAAGGTCCTCTACAGTCTGTAGGGGACTGGAACTACAGGAGGGTGGGATTTATTTTGTAGAGCCCCCTGAGAGACTAGAGGAGGGATAGTGACATGATCAAAGGAGCGTTTTAGTAGCGTGAGCTGGCTGCATTGAGCAGAGAGCCCTGAGCTGAAAAGGACAGATGAAGTCATGAGAGCATGACTTGGTTTGTTTTGTTCACTTAGTAGCACCAAGAATAGCACCTTTCATATAGTTGGTGCTCAATATTTATTTACTGAATGAGTGAAAAAAGACATAAACCAGCAAATGGCAATAAAGTTGCAAATGCAAACAACATTCCAAAGGAAAAAGCAGTAATACTGAGTAGCTGATTGGATATGAGTATCAAGATTTTTCTAACATTTCTAACAAGGGGAGAATTTATAATTTAGTGAGAGAATGCTGGTGGCACCAATGAGTAGGGAAATCCAGACATGAAGCCAATTGGGTTGGCTGGATGAGGGAAGGATATAGATATGTTTAGACAAGGTGAGTTTGAGGTGCTGGGTGACATATGCAAGTGGAAATGCCTAGTAGACAACAGCAACTAGATGTTGAAAGTAGGGACTGTGGATATAGGTATTTTTAGTCTCTTGGAATCCTTTGCACTTAGGTTATATTTCCAACCTTTGCAGTAGATGGAATCCAAGTTATAGACAGGAGAAACAGAAAAAGTCAATACTGGAAATTTGGGGAGCATCCACATTTAGTGGAAATGAAATATATTGAAATTTGAGAAAAATACACACTGAACATTTGCAGCAGGTTGTCACAGCAAAAATGGAATTTTAGTATTTATTCTATACATGACCAAAAACATAACATTAAGAGTGATAGTGATTGGTGACCTGAAATGACTGAAATGAGTTCTCAATGATTTATGGACAGACTGGTGGGAGAAAAAATATATAAATAAAATCAAGGTCTGTATTATATTTTCAAATGGAAAATGCCCATGAAGCAACACTCTCTTAGCCGGCCTTATATTCATTCCCTTTTCAGTCCCACTCCTTCCAGAATCCTCAAGATTCATTTCCTGGCATATTCTCCTGGTTTCCACGTGGACCTATTAGGCAAGCCCAGGAAGAAATGTATTTATTTTTAAAAATTTGCTTCCAGAGTGTTTTGGGTCAAATCACTGAAGCCTTCTATCTGTCCTTACTTGCTGTTTGTACAGGTTTAAAATGACTATCCTGAGGCTTAACTCAGGGTAGCTCCTCAATTAAAAATTCATTTCTCATCACTTCACTGACAGCAAATTAATTGGAGAAATTGGAAATACATGAAAATTTGTAGTTAAAACTGACATAAACAGACATTTCAATTACCTTGGCAGCAGCAATCACAGAATATTTCACTTAATGGAGAATTACAAAGCCCCCAGGTCAGTCATGTCATGTGAGAGCAGAGACAGTCTCTTCCCTGAAGGAATGTTCACACTTCACTCTGCACATTGCTATCAGTATGCTTTGAGGTATCAAGTTCAAATACCCAAGGGCAATTCAAACTGGACCTCTCAACAGGTATGGGACTAAAGAGGGGGGATTTGGGGAAGTCACATTTCTTAATAGATTTTTTTTTACAACTTTATTGAGGTATATTCAGTTAAATAGCAGATCTTTAAAATGATTGGTTTTGATATATGTACACTCCAATGAAGCCATCACCACAAACTCGATAGTCAGCAGTCATCCCTTCAAAAAATTTCTCATGCCCGCTTGTAATCTACTCCTATTCATTCACCCTGATCCCAGGTATTTTCCAGAATTTTATATATATCATACAGTATATATTTTTTGTGTTAGGCTTTTTCATTCAGCATATATCTGAGATTCATCCATGTTGATGTCTCAATAGTTTATTCCTTGTTATTTCTATGTGTTCCATTCTATGAATATACTATAGTTTATTCTTTTATTAATGGGCATCTGGAATTTACAGATATTGGCTACTACAAATAAAGCCCCTAAGAACATTTACTTACAAGTGTTTGTAGGGATATATGTTTTTATTTCTCTTTGATAAATAGCAAGAATAGAATAGCTGGGACCATAGTAGGTGTGTATTTAACTTTTTAAAAAATAACTAATCTTCCAAAGTGGTTGTACCATTTTACATTCCCACCAGCAATGCACAAGAGCTCTAGTTGCAGGACATCTTGCCAACACTTTTAGCCATTCTAGAGAATGGGTAGTTGGATCTCCTTGTGGTTTTTAATTTGCATTTCTCTAATGACTGATGACGATGATGAGCATCTTTTCTTCTGCGTTGGCCATTCATATTTCTTCTTTTGTGAAATATGTTTAAATCTTTTGCTTATTTTTAACTGAGATGTTTATATTATTATTGAGTATTAAGAGTTCATTGTATGCTCTGGGCACAAGAGCAGGCCTGCTCCTGATGAATTATCTTTGTTTTCTTTCATCTAAGGATATCTTTATTTCACTTTTATTACTGAAAGATATTTTCATATTTTCACTGGATTTTGAATTCCAGGCTGATAAGCTCTTTACTTTTAATGATTTAAAGACGTGGTCCTGCTGTCTTCCAGCCTTCATAGTTTCTCCTGAGAAGCTCATGGATATTTGAATCATTGTTATCCTGTAGGTAATGTGTGCTTTTTCTCTCTAACTGCTTTAAGTAATTCTTTAGTTATTTTTGGATTTTAGAAGTTTAATTATTATGTGCTGAGTCATTGTTCTCTTTGTGTTTATTCGGCCTGGAGATAGCTAAGTATCTTGAATTTGTGAATTCACATCTTTCAAGTAAATTTTGGGAGTTTTTTTGCCATTCTTGCTGAAAATATTTTTTCACTCCAATCTCTTTATCGTCTCCCTACAGAACTTTAATCATACAATGTTAGATCTTTAGATGTTATCTATAGGAACCTGACACTGGGTTTATTATTTTTTTCAATCTTTTACCTTTTATTTGGTAAGGTGGGTAATTTTTACTGTTCTATCTTCAAGCTTACCGATCCTTTATTTTATCATCTTCATTTTGATATTGAGTACATCAGTGATTTTTTTTTTCACTTCAGATATTGTATTTTTTAGTTCAATAGTTTTCAATTGGTTCCTTTTTCTATTTTCCATTTCTCTGTTGAGAATTTGTATTATTTCACTCATTTCAAATGTGTTTCTGTGACCTTATAAAGCATAGTTATAATAGTGGCTTTATGGTCTTTTTCTGATAATTCCATTCTGAGATGGGCATTAATTGAATTTTTTTTTTCCTTTAAGAACTGGCTCTATTTTCTAGTTGTACATACGTTGAGAGATTTTGAGTTGTATCCTGGACATTGTGAATGTCACATATGATAGACTCTGGGTCCGGCTATATGCATCTGAAGATCTGTTGATGTTTTCTGTTTTCATAAGAAATCAATTGAATTATATTTAGACCACAAGTTCTATCCCATTTTCTGTTGTTACAACACTGAAACAATAAGAGTAACAATAAAAAAACACATACATATATATATATAACTTTCCCTTTGACTTTGAGAATTGTCATAAGAATCAGTAATAATTAATTGATTTGCCTAGTCACTTTACCAGTTTAGGATTCCTGTCTTCCTCTTATCCCTCTCAATTTACTCAATTCCAGCATAACACTTAATGAAAGGAGGAAAAAGTGGTCTTGCGAAGACATGCTTTCTTTGATTCACTGCTTATCTTACCTACAAGATGGAAACTTTCCAAGGTATTCCAAGTTGGAACATTTTTTTTCCAGCCACACTTAGTGAATGACTTTAGCGACCAGATAATTTTCTTCTTTTACTTTTTCCCTTCTCATTCATATTTCTTCTTAAATCCCACGTTCAATTTAATCAAAGTTCCAGGGGACAGTATTACACTTAAGTCATATAGTATTAACCAGACTAACTTCCACCCATAAATCCTGCTTACCTTTCTAGTCTGGTTGCAAGGCCCCAAATATAACCTCACAAGGTCCCATCTGCTCTCTTGACTGATGTTCTTTCCCTAGTTGTTCTCTTCTGACCACCTAATAGAAACACAGCTCAGCATCCTTCAATTTTTTCAAAGCTTTTACTGTTTTTCATTCCTAACAGACCATCACATTTGGGTTTTGAACACATGCTAAAAATTAGATTATTGATGAAATGCTTGATGCTTATAGTGGTTCTGGCTAAAACAAACTGCCATAAAATTTACTCTTTCACAGCTATGAAATTCCTCTAATTATGCTGTTCTTCAATATTTAAACTGGAGTTTTATTTTAATGCTTTGTAATTAAGTATTACCCACCAAATATACAGTAAGAAGAAAAAAAAATCACTAAATTATGTTACCCAGAGAGAAAATACATGATTTTTGTTATGTTCTCATTCAAGTGCTTGGCTTTAGACTGTGCTTGCTTCAGCAATGAGTGTCCTTGCTGGACACTGAAAGAGCTGAAAATGGACAGGAGCCATGTCTGTCATTTTCTGGAAAAAACCTGATAGTTTTGACATTTCAGAATGTGTTAAGCTGAAAATTTCACTATGTATTATGCAAAATGGGCTTATTCTGCCATTTGTTCTATGCTTATTAGATGGCAGAGGAATTCCATTTTCAAAGAGCTTTTGAAATTTATAGGAAGGACTACACTGCTAAGGTACTTGTAGAAAAAATTGATAAACTAATATTAAATTCAACAGTTCCTTACTAATAATCCCCCACAGGCCCTTATAACGTTAGCTCTGAGAGCTGTCCAAGAAATAGCCAGCAGAATGGGGACCTTCCAGGAGCTGTGGAACAGCTGGAGGATCATCCAGGGGCACACACATTCAGGGGGAAAAGCGAGCGTAACTGAACGACGGAACAATGACAGACCCCTAAGCAGAGCAGTCAGTGCTGCACGGGGCCATCCGGAAAGACCGCGAAGATTTTGGAAGATAAAAATGTAGCTGCACGCAGTAAAATAGAGACTTGAAATTTATGTGATGTTTTTGGGATTTTGAAAATTATATGAAGTATTAATTTGACAGAGAAATCTTCATGCTTCAAAATACACCAAAGAAAAAACGAGTTATCACAAGGTGACAGGAGATGTCCTCACATTTGCTTTGCTTTTCAAAGTAGTCCAAGCCAGGAGAATGACCGGATGCTTGCTCCTCAGGCTGTTGTTTACTTGCAGACATTCGGAACTGCTGGACTGGGACGTGCAGAGCAAGTGGTTCAGGGGCTGGTGTATGAGTGACAGAGGCTGCAGTTATGAAAAGAGTCCTCATTTGGGGGCAGAGCAGAAATGTCTACAATCTCCGTTCCAAGCAAGAGAAAAAAGCAGAGAACAGTGTATAGAGGGAGTTTATTATGGCTGAAGGGTAAACATACGGCTATTGTGAGATTTTAAAGTAGGAAATCAGACATGAAAGAGTTTCTGTGAGGGATGAATAAAGTGTCGTCACTGTCACCAGGCAGCATTATCATAAGAAATTATCTCTGCATCACTGCTTCCCTCGTTTTTTTTTTTTACAAAAAAATTACCTTTAGAAAATGAAATATGTAGTAAGAGAAACCATTTGCCGAATCCAGAAGACTCAGAATCCATTGAGTCTCTGAACAGCTTTTTTACTGAGGACTCCTTATCAATACCCATCACGGTTAAGGAAACGCACATACACATTACTGTCCGATGAGAGTTTCTTGGCCGGTTTGCCTTCGTTGTAGTTCTAAGGTCCATTTTGATGTTTCCTCAACCAGGACTCCGTGGGGGTCACGGGACACGTGGGAGGCAGGGGTGCCGACGCCTCCTGCCCTACCAGCTCTACTCAGCTGGCCCCAGCTCCTCTCCAATCAGCCAGCTAAGACACCTCCCTTCGGATGTGCTTTCATCATCCTCTCAAATTCAGCACATGCAGAACTTGAGCTTGTGATTTTCTCCACTAAATCTTCCATCCACGGAATCACCACTCTCGTTTCTCCAAGCTCCCTGTCGAGCCCTGCGGTCCTTTGCTGCCCTAAAGCTGATGTTTTGCTGGAGCCTCACATTCCTGTACGATGCTGCTGTCATGTATCACTGCCCCTGGTTATCAGCCACCAGGTAGTCCTGCTGACTAAGGCTGTGCTCTCCAGCCAGTTTATGATTTGAAGTGCACCATTTCGTTGTACTACTCTGATGGAAAGCACTGCTGCTTCACAAGGAATCGTATCCTGTCTCCTTCCTACCTGCCTAATTTTTGGGCTCTTCATGATCAGGCCCCATCCACTCTGTTCCCTCTCCACCTGCCAGTGGCACTCCCCATTACTCTCAACAGTGCCCTTTCTTTCAGCTGTGCAGTTTAGACCCCTGTGTCATGTTCCCACACTCCCTTTTCTAGACTCAAACACCACCGTGCATCTGAAAGAACTTTGTGAGTTGGACTGCAGCCCACCATGCTGCTATTGTGCATTTTGCAAAGCCTCGTTACAGCTACCCTGTAAATTCCCAGACTGCTGTCTTATGATTTAGCTGTTGATTTATAGTGTTTCAAGGTGAAAATACATATACCTCTAGGCCCCAACAATTCTAATAGAGCATTTTACCTATTTGTGTTTCAATTTCTGGTTTGAACACTAAATTAGCACTAAATTCATAAGCTTGTGTTGATACACGGTTGTTCCATATTCAGCCATGAGTGCATCATCCCAGATTACGATGCATCATTTTAGAGATTATTGTGTAGACACTATAGGAAAATCAGTAATATATAAATTGGGCCTTAACAAAAGTTATACAGCTATGTTAAATGGGTTAGTTGCATTTCCTTTTCTTGTTTTTGATATTTAATAATTATCTTACCTTTAAACCAGCCCATCATTGGGCAGGTGTGATTGAGGATTAAATTTCACCAAGGTTAATGTTTTTGTCTTATCCAGGTGTTTTCTTATTTTTAAGTCAGTTTGAATAATACTTCTTAAATACATATCTTTTTGATACTGGTATCATAACCCTACTTGAGTCTTAAAAACAATGCTAGATACTATGAAGAAAAATATGGAGGTTCCCCCCAAAAATAAAAATAGATTTATCATATGATCCAGGAATTCTACTTCTAGGTATATACCCAAAAGAACCGAAAGTAGGGACTCAAGCAAGTATTTGTACACCCATGTTTGTATCAGCATTATTCACAATAGCCAAAAGGTAGAAACAACCTCAGTGCTCATTGATGGATGAATGAATAAATAAAATGTGATATAAACACACTGTGGAATAGCACTCAGCCCTAAAAAGGAAGAAAATTCTGGCACATGCCATGACATAGATGAACCTGTAGGACATAATGGAAAGTGAAATGAATCAGTCACAGAAGGACAAATATTGAGATAACTGGTGTAGTCAAACTCATACAGACAGAAAGTAGGATGGTGGTTGCCAGGGACTGGGGAGCGAGGAGAGTGGGAAGTTAGTGTTTAAGGGGAATAGTTTGTTTTGCAAGATGAAATGAGTCCCAGAGCTCGATGGTGGCAATGGTGCACAACAGTGTGAATATACTTAATATAACAGAACTCTATACTTAAAAAAGGTTAAAATGGCATATTTTATCTTATCTATATTTTACCATAATTAAAAAAATAGAGTGATGGGTTAATAGGCAGACTAAGCAAATGCTTGGGCCACCAAAAATAGAATTAAAAACTATATATGTTTCAATAAAAGCATCATGGGAGAGATGTGATCTTCAAAAGATTTTGCTGCATGTCTTTTGAGATGTAGATTTTTAAAATTTTGAGTCTTTTGGTAGTGAGGGAATGGGTAGGAATCTTTTTAGGCCCTTGTGGCCTGTAAAGTCCCCAGATTTAGCTGCCAGATAAATTTGGCAGATAAAGTTGCCAAATTTAGCAAATAAAAAACATAGGATGCCATGCTAATAGGACATATTTACAGTGAAAAATGTGCTTGTTCATTGCTTCTCTGAAATTCAAATTTAACTGGTGTCCTATATTTTATCTGGCAAACCAGCCCCAAAGGCCTGAACCTGCCTTTCCGAGAGGTCATGGGACCAGGGTAAGGCCCTGCGGTGGGTCAGAGCCAGGCGTCTGACCTGAGCCCAGGTTCTTTACCACCCTGGAGGGACAGCGAATGCGGGATCTCTCTACTGTGGGCTCAGTGAAAGGCCAAAGGGGACAGAAGTGGACTTTCCCTTGAGGAGATCTTTTAAGGGAGGCCTCATTAATAGTTACAGCTACAACCATGAAAGGCCCAGTCTCTGTTTTAGGGAGAGGGTGGAGGGGGAGAAACAAACTCTAGGGCTTTTCTGTAATCTGCGCTCTGTCCCGGTTTGGATCAACTCCTCATCCAACGTAGTAGGACAAGGTCTGGAATGTCCCAGCTATCATCTCCCGCTGTAGATGGTTTCCACAGAGACACAGACAGAAAGGCCCCCACAGCATAGTGAGGGGCTCCTTGTGCACTTCTGCTGCAGGGATGGCAGATGCCCCTGTCCTAACCCGGCTGCCCCAGTGAGCTGCCTTAGGCCTGCAGCTGTCTGCATTATTTAAAGGCCAGGCGCCCCAGAACAGTCAGACCTTCCACAACTAGCTGCCACCTTTCTCTAATGTCTTTGTGAGATATTTCACTGGGAAGGAATGACAAGTTTCAGAGACATCGGCCAGGAGGTGTGGATCACCACAAGTGTTCAGAAACACAAATGAGGCACAGAAGAGACACCAGGGCCACAGTTGCCTTCCTTATTTACCAAATCAGACTCTCTCGCAGAAATAGAAGTTAAACCAATCACCTTCCATAATGGAAAAGTAGGTCATTGTTAAGAGAGGTAGTGACCTTTCCAAGTAAGCATTTGAAAAATGACATCATTTTTCTGAAGCATACAGGACAGCAGCCATTTGGACCCCGGCCACAGCCACAGAGCAGAATGAGATCAGGGGAACCAAGTGAGACACCCAAAGTCAGGGAGTTAAAATGCTTAGTTCATTAACACAGTATACATGTGTGGCTATTTTAAATTTCCCTTCTTTTGAAATGACATTCTCCCAGAAAAATTAGCTGATTAAGGAAAACTCTCATCCCGAAGGGTGAAAATAGACAGTAACTAGTATATTACCATATCTATGGTAATTACCATTAATAGCTAATTACAATAAAATTGGCTAAGTGTTTGTGATGCCAACTGTTTGTTTTGTTCTCATCCTGCGAAGTCCTGTTAGGTCAGGTCCTGAGGGGTAACATTCCTAAGGGAGGTTCCATCTCCTTCGCTTACTCTCTTTCCGCAGGATTCCCAGGCCTGTGCAAAGGCTTTCGCAGCGAACAGCTGGTGCCCTCTGCTGGAACTTACCCAGCACCATTGCCTGTCAGCTGCAGAAATCAGAGCTTACATTTTCGGTAAAGAAATGAAAGTATTCATTCTCTGTTCTAATCTATTATCATCTGTAGTGATATTTTTAGAAGCTCTAAATTCAAACCATGAAATACTGTTCAGTAATCAACAGAATACCCATGTTCACAAAGATTCATTAGAACAACTTTAAAAAAGCGGTCCAGTGAATTCCATTTCCATTTTAAACTATTTCATCGAGGTATTTGTTGCACACATGGTTTTAGTTTAACAGAAACCAAAATGTCTCTCTGGAAACACTTAACCTGAGTTGGAAATGAAATCTGAAGTGAGATTTTAAGTCACAAAAAGAATTCTCCTCAAAATGTAAGCGACGATTCCCAACCAGGAGCTTCCTTGAAGCTCAGGACTCGGCGCCAGGACAGGAATGAGGGAAAACTCCTCGCAGTTCAAAAGCTCTGCTGAAGTCATAGATCTGCACTTGTGGACCCTTCGTCAGAGTGAGCTTTCTCAAACACCCCCGGAAGGAGGTCTGGCTGCTCAAGCAGTTTTGCTTCACATTAGCTGTTTAGGGAAGAAGAGAAGTTTTGTTTAACTGTATCACATGACAGGAGCACAATACAAGCAAAAATAATCTCAAGTGTTTTCTATATCCAACTTAGAATAATGGCTTCAGTGACAGCGTAAGTAATGAAACTTTTAATCTATAGTCATTTTAAGGCATAGCTGTGACTCAAAAAGTCATAAAAATACTTTTTATTATTGTTTGTTAATGATGACTTGGAGTATATGAAATGCATAATTCTAATACAAAATCAACATGAGAGGATGAGAAGCGTGTCTGTCCTCTAAAATGACTTCTTGCCCCCAAATCACTCTGTACTTTGCAAGTCATGTAGGTGAGCCCCTCAGCAGAGCCCTCCAGCTTACATCACATCTGGTGCTCTCGGAGTCTTACCTGTTGATCACCTTAAGTGTGTAGACTGTTTCGATTTTTCCAAGAATTCCTAGGTATCTGAATAGCCTTTCTCAAATGGTAAAGGATGTATCACTCAGAGAATGTTTTTCTTAATCCCTATTCTATATATGCCTGAACTAAGACTTCTCCCCAGTGGCAAGGTCCTTAAAAGGAAATGAGCAAAGCAGACATTCGTACATACCAGGATAGCCACCGACATAAACGGGATTGTTGGTGTCCACCGAGGTGGACTGGGTGTGTAGACTTTCAGCACGAACTGCATTCCCATCGACAATCAGAACCAAGTGATGCTTGCTTTTGCTAGCTTCAAGAGTGTGCCATCTTCCATCACAGAGAGCACTCTGAGCTTTGGGCTTGTACGTGGCTGTTATCCTACCAGCACCATTGTTAACATGGAACAAGATCTAAAACAGTGGCAAATAAGCATCTCAATGAATTTTTCCATATTTAAGGAAGCACAGTCTGTTTACATAATGCTCTTGGAGTGGATAAAATCCCAGCATTCTGCTAAAAAGGACAGCTAACTATGAAAACCAAATAATGGGTTTGAAAAATAGCCTCTTAAATAAGATTCAGATGTTTCCTTCTTCCTGAAATTTCAAAAAGGGCAAATGGCCACCCATGGGAGCAAACCAGAGTCACTCTCTCAGCACTGTGACCCAAATCAGTGCCTGGTTTTTAGGACAACAGAAGCTGACGGGATTACAGAGGGCATCAGTTCATAGCAGTTACCGGCACTTATGAAGGAATTAGTTCCCTTCTGATACACTACAGATGCTCTGCCATGGCAGGGGGAACACAAAAAATCTAAGACCTACAAAAGATGGGAGGGAAGAATTGTAAGTATACTGTTCTAAGGTTCTTATGCTCTATGTGAAGCTGCTCAGTAGTATTTTAACATAGGCTGAGTCAAAGATGTACATTATAAATATACATCTAAAAATGTTTGAAAAGAATGATATATAATAAGCCAATAAACAGAGGTAAAATATACAATACATCAGAAGTTACTTTTTTTGCAACTATTACATTTCTGATAACATTTTTCAGATGTCACATAAAAATGTGCAGACACAAAATTTTTCAAAATTCTTTTAAAGTACAGTGGAGGAAAAAGTGGACTGTGAGCCGCAGGGTGGAGATATAGCAATATGATGTAGAGGTGGTTTTGTTTCAAATGAAGATGGAGGAAGAGGGGAAGAGAGGTGAAGGGCAGGTCAGAGGTCACTTTCTTATATCTTCCCCGCCCACATTCTAGGGTATCTTGGGCCCAGAAACCCAGTGAAGAGTAAGTAAAAATACTAGAAACAAGCAAGTAAGATTAGTGGGGGACATCTAGAGCATAGAGATCTGTCCCTTGCCTTCCAGGAGGCAATTAGGGAGATTCAAATGTCAGTCCCAGAGCAAAACGAGCTGACCACAGGCAGTAGAAATGGTGGCCAAGTGCAATAGGTGGGGAGAAGACCTGAGAGGCCACCCCATGGCTTAGGAGTGACATGGCAGACATTCCAAATTCTCATGTGACCCTTGCTGGGGGATACAGAAGGTGGCTGACAAAGTGCCCATGACTGCTGACAGGCAAAGCCTGATCTGCAAAGGAGCAGACCCACACACTGGCAGTGCACCAGCCTCAGGCAGCCTGTTACTGCCAGCCAGGGCCAGCTGGCCAGGGACACAGATGACAGAGGCTGAGCCCGTGGGCCAGGAGAGTAGAGCTACCCTCACCTGCTGTCAGGAGAGAGCCTGCAGAAAAGAAAAAGGGCAATGAAGATGCCCTTCCCTCACATCTTGCATGCACCCTGAAGGGGAGAGGAAGGAGAATGAGACCCTGGAGAAACTCTGAAGGAGGCAGTTTAAAGCAGAAGAGACTATAAAGTATGGCTAGTTGTTGAGTTCATTTTGTTCCCAACATGGGAAAGGCTGGAGGCTGAATGAAAGAGCAGAGTAGTTACAGAAAAAAAATTATACTTTTTGCATTAAAAAAATTAGACTGTGGTAATCCATCCATGGAATACTGCGCAATAAAAAGAAATGAACTGATCAACCTGGGTGCACCATTGGGAAATGAGGCTGAGAGAGGATATATACTGCATTATTTCATTTATATGAGCACTCATGAAATAACAATTAGAGATGGAGAACAGACTAGTGGTTGACAGGGGTTAGGGGTGCAAGGGGAGGAGTCTGTGTGGATATGAAGGGGCAGCTGAGGGAGCCTGTGGTAATGGTAGCAATAAGTGTCTTAACTGTGTTGGTGGTGATAAAATTGTGTAGTGCTACACACACACACACACGGTAACTACTGCAACTGAATGAACTCTGTGGATTCCGCCAATGTCAGTTTTGTGGATTTGATGTGAACTGGTGTTACGCGAGGTGATGATGCTGGAGGAGCCTGCAGGAAGGGGTGCATGAGGCCCTCCCCGTACATTTCACTGCAATTCCCATGAATCTGTAATTATTTTAAAATCAAGAGTTAACACATATTAGGGAGATTGCATCAGATTGGCAATTTTCAGATGGTTCTGGGAAAAAAAATTCTGTGTGTTATAGTTGCAGTATTGCTTCATTTAATTTTAAAATTACAAAAAGTTATTTTTTAACAATATTTTTAGGATCATCCAGTTTTTACTATTAATTGAAGGGTTTCTGCATTCCATGCAAGTGGATTATTGGAAATCTGGATTTAGGAATGCCTACTCTTTACAACGGCTCTGTGTCTGCCACTGGGCTGAGGAGGGCCCCGAGATTAAGCACCTACCTTGCCATTTACCATCTCTAACCCAATGGCATCCACTTTGGCACTGCTGATCCCCAGGAGGACACCGTTCTCTGCAGAGGTACGAAACTGCAGGGCGATGGTCACGTCTGATCGGACTTTGTAGCCCTCTTTGACTGGGAAGCACAAGGATAACGAGTTGGGGGTAAGGCCCACCTGCCCCAAGAAGGCTGGGGCTCAGCCAGGCAGGGCTGCGCATTCTGGCTCCTGACCGAGGATCAGGAGGCCCGGCTCCACATAAGCCCTGTGTCGTCTGTCCAGGAAGATCCACTTTATTTTCCCAGAATCTACATCCGTGGCTCCATCATCCTTCACTAAGTGTACTGCAGCCCACACCGGGTTTTTTTTTTTAAGTGGGGATTTAATTGAATATATTTTTTATCAGGTAATAAAAAAGCTGAGAAGCCAAACTGGGGCTATTAGCAGTAACAGGCTCTTGTTCAGCTCAGGGCTGAGGGCAAAATGGGCGAAGGTGGTGTTACCAGAACTGGGACACACAGAGTGTAGGAGAGATGCGCACTAGCTGCTGCCTCCTCCCCTGTCCCTCCCCCTCCCATCTCCCACCAGAGCCTCCCAGGAAGCCAGAGGAAGGTAGTTCCCTGGGGCAGAAAGCAAAACAGGGGCCAAGAGAAGCATAGTTCTGGTGGAAACAGGAGGTAAACTGATAAATCAAGTATCTGCAATGGAGAGGAAATGTCAGTTACAGCACAAAGGTTAATTCTAAGCCTTTATATTCTAAAGCATTTTAGAGATTTAAACTCCTCTTACAAGTGATTCATGTTTTTAATATTCGAAACGGAGCTGATTTCTTCATCACATCTGACTTGCATTTGGCTGGCTGATCTAGGTATCTTTCTTATGCTGCTGATTTTTGGCTCACAGGCCTTTATGAACTTGGACAGTGAGACTATGCCTTACATAACTTAGGAAAAGTACAGACAAAACTGGCACTACGTTGTTTGCCCTTGGCCTGGAGTTGCACCACTCCAGGCAGGAGGAAGGCTTCATCAGGCCATGTGGATAGCGCAAGTGGGAGAAGGCATTTTTATTAGATGTTGAAAAATCAGAATAAACTGGAACACTTAACTAAATACAGTCTTGCTGCAGCCTTGTCCACTAGGTCCTGTCACTTAACTCTTGGATCCATGTCATCTCAGAGTGCAGGTTAAACTCAAAGATTTCTCTCAGGACTGTTGCTAATACATACCAAGAGCTGCATATCCACTTCCTTCAAAGAAAGTTCCTTCCTGGGCCGCCACATAGCACCCGGTTACTGCAAATGCAGACACTGGGCTGTCTTTGTCCAGCTGTTTGCTGTTCACTGTCACCTCCCCGATGCAAGCAGGAACACTGTGGGTGACCTACACCGAATGACATGAGAATAGATGGTGGTGAGAGTAATGACAGGGCAAGGGCAACTTTTTCCTACACTTCAGCCAAACCCATTAAAATATCCTCTTCTGGGTTTTAATATCTAATTGCCAAAATACTTCACAAAAATGTCTAGTTTCCAGCTCCTATTTGAGTATCTCTGCTAATAATGCAGCAAATGCATTTACTATTATTTTGATGAAATCCTGTGGAAATCAACATTGCTGGGTTTTCTAATCTGCAAATACAAAGTCACCGGACTTTCCTGGATTATACTGGACTAAGTGGCTGCAGAAAGGGAAATGTTCATTAAGGAACAGGTAGGAAAGGCTGGCTAGGCATCAAAGGGAAGGCCCAACACACAATGTAGGGATCGGTTCACATCCTGCAGCCAAGCCCCCCCGTCCAAACAAGATAATGTAAACCTTAACATACTCCACAAAATAAACACAACCATGGTAAAGGTAAAACAGGCACCACACAGAAGCTGCTGCTCACATTTCCGATGTTTCTGGCCCTGTACTCTGGGGGCAGGCCTCCTAGGTAGAACCTTCCTTCTACATCCAAGGCGGTGCCATCACCCACTGTGGCCACCATGGGGGATTCCTGGCCATCAACTGTCATGAAGCCCCTTCTTTTAAAGTACTCTGTCTTGACCTGAAGGAAAAGGAAAACACCCAAAATTTTTAAGGAATTTGAGAAAACCTTAACAGATGTTTATTTGCAACAGCTATTCATTATAGCTATAATAACCTGAAAGAAATCCTAAAGGATGGCTCCATGTTTTACGCAGTTAGTGTTGAGAAGAGACTGAGCCCGGCAGAAAACTGGAAGTGGGCACAGCTAAAGCACACGTTAGCACAGGAAGTGCTCCAGATTCTTAGTTAAAGGAAGCACATGCCATGGTCTAAGATTCAGCCCATTCATGCCACATGTTGGTTTGGTTTACTTCTTAAGTGAGGTACACCTTTCATACCTTTCAGTCATTTCACCCATCTTGGCTGTGTGCCCACTAAGTGTCAGGCACTGAGCTAGGCCCCGGGGATATTTCAGGATTCAGAAAAGACCCCTGCCTGCAAGGAGCTTCTATGCTACAGGGAGGTACCAAAGACAAAGCAACCTAAAAGCAAAGGATTAATTTCACTACAGTGAAATGGCATGGACACAGGGACTGAAGGAATAAAACTTGCAGCAAGTGATCACGAACTTCCGGAGAGCATACCGTGTGCCACTTGCCATCATTGATCAGCGTGGGGTGAGAGACCTTTGTTCTGCCCTTCCCGAGGTCAAACATGAAGTAGAGGTGGCCCCCATGCAGCTGAAGTGTGGCATAATCCACTTGGTTCTGATGAGCCATGTAGTAAATCAGGCCGCTGGAGGCGAATGTTCGGATACGTAGCTGAACCAAGAGCCTGGAGGAAAAGAGCTCAGCCTTCAGAAATTAATAAGCTTTCAGTTTTACTTCTTAAATAACCTCAAAGAGAGAACCCAAAATTGTTTCAGCATTTATATTTAACATTTGAGGAGAGTCATTAATTTTTTCCTATATTTATCCATCCATTCATCCAACTAGTGGTTACTGCATACCTACATCCACCAGGAACTGTTCTAGTTGCTGAGGGTAAAGCTCTGGGCAAAGAGGAGGGCCCTTCTCCCATGGAACTAATCCCAGAAATATATCAGAGTTAAAAGATAGGTCATAAGAAGCCAGCTGGTGGCTACATTAAGCATTGAGGGCAGGCAACTCTTAAAAGAAGACATTTCAGCTGAGATCTGAATGACAGACAGGAGCAAGCCCCACACAGTCAGCAGGGTGGGCCTGTGTCTTGTTTTCAGGCAGTACAGGGTATGCTAAAGTAATAGGCATGATTGCTGGACAGCCCAGAAGCCCCACCTGGGGCCACGCGGGAGCTGGTACTACATGGATGAAGGGAAGGTGGGGTCTGGAGTCCTCCCACGGAAGGAAGAGCAGCATCACTAAAGCATATGGGGCCTGGGAAAGGAGAATGTGGTTCCATCCAGTGGATGAGGAGCTCTGGGAGGCAGTTTTAAATTTTATTTCAGGTATAGCGGTGAGTCACAGGAGAGTATCAACAAGGGGGGTGGGCATGTGACTTGATTTACATCTTAGAAGAACCTCTGATGTGAAGAAACAAATCAGATGGGGCCAGGGTGATGGGAGACATCAGGCACGCTGTTATAAGAGTCCACAGAGGCCACGTGGCGGCTGTACCGGGGTGTAGAGGGGGCGAACTAATTCATGAAATGTTCTGGTAGAAGAAGAAAGGGACTTGCAGATGGACAGAATTTGGGGAGTGAGGGAAAGAAAATAATCTGTAGGCTTGAGCCCTCAGGCAACCAGGTAAATGGTGACGATGTCTACAGAAATGGCGGAGACCAGGAGAGAAAGACTGAATCCCTTTTGGTGTGCTGTTGTTGAGGAACCTGTCCCAACCCAACTCCTGTGTTCTAAGAGGATGTCAGGCTAGAGGTGGGGGTGGGGGTGCAAACAGATAGTATGTTAAAGCTACTGCGGTGTAGAAGGCCCCCTGGGAGACTGTGCAGAGGAAGCCCTGGGCCTTCTCTGATGAAGAGGGGCCAGCAGAGGAGACTGAGCAGGGCAGGCAGGCAGGCAGGCAGAGGGCCCGAGCTGAGAAACACGTGAGTGGCCAGGTGTGTGTGACATACCAAGGGTCCAGCGCAGAAGACACCGTGGCCAGAGCAGACCCCAGATAACTCTGGCAAGAGAGATGGAGGAGTTGGGGAGGCTGACTGGTGGGTTGGGGAGGGAATGAGAGAGGGGTAAGGGGAGAGAGCCACTGAGGGGGCCCCTGCAAGAAGTCTTCCTGTGAAGCAGAGCCAGGATATTGTATGTGGTGGTGGTGGCAGGTCCTGGACAGTTGCTATTTTAAAAATTGGAAACTACCAGGGAGGGGTTAATCTCTGTGGCCCCAGCATAGACTGTGGGCCCACAGGGCCTGGGTTTGAATCCTGCTGGATGACTGAAGACAGTGTGATGGGGGCTGTGATGAGATGACGGTGAAGAGCAGTGCAGTGTCTGAGGGCAGGGCCCTTAGGAGAGCTGGAAAGTCACAGGAGAACAGGAACGTGGGATCCAGAGGAAGCCTGGCCTGCCCTGGCCCCGAGGCCTGTGGGAGATGAGCCAGCTTTACTTGGGCACAGGCAGAGGAGGGGGCCAGAGGGGCATGCAGGCCAGTGTGGATGTGGCATCGGGGATTCAGGGACACAGGGAGAGTTGGGATAGACGTTTCATCAGATTAGGGGATCTACAGTAGCATGGGGCTGATGGCCCAGATGACGACAGTTCCTGAGGACGTGGGCTTCTGGAAGGAGGGTGGATTTAGATAGATACCTCTGTGCTTCCCTGCATACATCCTGAGAGGCATGCAGGAGTCGGCCACCATCAAGGGGGGCAAAGACAAACCCCAGGAGCCCCACGTAACCATGTTTTAAGCATCTGATTTGCACAAAGGCTGCATTCCTGCCTCTGCCTTCTCACTGCTGCCATTTGGTTGCTGGAGAGCAATCCATAATACAATGCTAGAAGCTTCTTCTGGACAAGATCCATTGCTGAGGACCCTCCCCAGCTCATCTAGAGAGAGACAACTCATAAGGACTTGAGCACAATGCATACCTCTTTCTGATGGCCGACTGATTAAAAGGCAACATGAAATGGCTGCCTTGCGCGAGGCCAAACTGGTGAGCACTGGGGACATACTCTGGGGCTCTGTCCACGGCACACCGTTCCTGTAAGAGAGGCACGTGGACTCAGCCCGCATACCCAGAACCCCCCCGAACATGTCTCAAAGGCAGCTGTATCAGAACACCAACCACCCCACATACGTTTGCACTGACTCAATCTTCTTTGCTTTGAGTAACTCACCCACCATCCCTTTATCTCTCTGAGAAGGCGACGAGACTTCTGTTGCTCTCCTCACTCCCACCCCAGTTCCCATGAACTTTCACGAGGCCTAAGGAGCAAAGGTCTTGCTCCCCCTCCCCCGCCTCAGCTCCGGGAAGGGCCAGAGGCTACCAGGAACACAGAAGTGCGCCCAGGTGACAGGCCTAGCAGGGCCTCCAAGTTTGAGGTCTCTAAATCGCTGTGGACAGGAGCAAAGTGCAGCCACAAGGAGCCAGCAGGGAGGGGCTCGGCTCCGCATGCAAACTCCAAACCAGGCCTCAGACTCAGGCTTCTGGCCTGGGCTGGGTGGCTGCTACCAAGAATGGTCCTGAACTAAAACAGGCCTTTTGTGACCGCACCATCCACTGAATTAAATTAGAGTGCCTGCTTTCAACCAAGGAAATAGAGAAATAGAAATGGGAAAAGGAAGTAAACACCAATAATGACTGCTGTTAAAAATATTCGGTCAAACTGGCTTTTCCTAAATGAATCAAATCTTTTTTGTATAAAGCAACATAATATGTACCATGGCTTACATAAGAACTTCTTTTCATGTTTCTGACTAAATCCAAAGTGATAATGAGACCTTATAGGAACTCCACCAAAGTGCTAGCTGTGTGGCAGCCAACGGAGGTTGCCTGAGCCTTGAGGCCACGATCCGTCACACTGTGCCATGACCTCTGCAAGGCTGCTTGGGGAACCGTGCCCCACCTGCCCCTGCCCTGCTGTTAATAGGGGGGTGACCCCTGCGACTTCTACCAGGCTTCCGGTTGGTGTGGCCAATGGCAGGCAGAGCTGGGACATGGAGGCGAATGACAGGAAGAGGCAAGTGCTCCCCACTGGACTCCCGGGGCCTCCCTGGCAGGGCCTGTGTTCTGTGGACCCTCAGGAGACACCCCCAGACCCTCCCTTGGCAGCCGGGCTCCTTCTGTTCTTCACTGCTTCTGTGCTCATCAGCCTTCCCAACACCTTTGTAGGGAAGGAGACCCCCTTTCATCTCCTTAGGGCTGCACTCTTCTGTGACTGGCCCTGACTGATACAAATAAAGCAAGTGCCCCTTACTGTGCGGGGTACAGGCTGGGGCTCTGGCGGGAGCTCGCCGTTCCCTCTGTGGAGAGCCAGCTGTGGCCTTTCTGAAAGTGAGCAGGTGTCCAAGTCCACTTGTTCATAGCCAACAGCTGTAGTGAAATCCAAGTGTCTATATGCAAACAAAGTATTTTCAAAATTAAGGTGTGAACATGCGAACCAGTGTCATTTCATTACTGAACACTTAAATCCATTAAAAAACATGAATATATTACTCTTAGAGTAACCTAATCAACCATCTGTCACAGTGACTTGAAGTCCATGTAGCCTAAGTTATGTATTCTCTTCTTTGATTCTTCTGTCTGAAATGGCAGTCCATGCCAGTGTTGTCCATCTGGTCATTCCTGAGCATCCCTCAGGAGTGGGCTGTCACCTCTTCCTGCAGCCCTGGCTGCCTCAGAGAGAGATCCTGTCTGTGGGTCTCACAGCACAGTGGCCTCAGTTAACCCTGACTTCTTCTGGGCCGGGGAGTCATGAAGGAGCCTTATCAGAAGTCCCTTTCTCTGCAGCCTTTGCAATGCGTCTCCTGTCCGCATGTAACCTATTGGCACTTTCCGAGGACATGGCTGTGAGCAGAACAGAAATGTTTCTGCCCTCTCAAGTTTCCAGCCTCGTGGCTTTCAGGAGCAAAAAGATGCCTAATCAATTAGTTAATTAATAAACAGACAACTGAGTGGATAAATATATCAATTGTATAAGTAACTAAACTGAGGCTCTGACATTATAATTGTGTTGCAACCCAATGTAACATTTTGTTTTTTCAAATTTCAAATACTCCTAAGAGGCTCTTTTGCAGAGGGCCCTGAAAGATGCGAGTCCTTGTTCAAGGTCACAAGGCAAGTCAGCGGCCAGATAGCAGGAGAACTTGTCTCCTGATGTTCAGCACACATTTAGTTTCTCCTGTGAGGATCTGGTTCCCCAGGTTGGAGCATGACTGCTGTCCTCCAGACAGAGGGTGCATGAGGAGGAAATAAACACCCATGGGCACGTGTAAATTCTCTTCCTCATCATAAGTTCCACAGGGAACAGAGACTTCCAGTTCTTAATTAGATGATATTTGTTTTGGGGAGAGTCATTAATAATCTGAAGCTGCAAGCAGTCCAGTTATCAATGCTCCTTTGAAGCAGTGAGCTCAAGACAGCAAGAAACCTGTACCATAAAACTCTACATTCTCTTAAATGCATGCCAAAAATGTATTTGACCTCTGCTGTTCATTGATAGTCCTGTGGAACTATGATCAATGTTCAATGATTTTTTTAATGTCTGATAGAACAATGGGGTTCACTTGTTATTTAGGGCCCCTTAGAATTGTAGGCAACTTCAAACAGTAAAATTAGATGGCAAATTAATGTCAGCACTCAGCACTAAGACATCAGAAAGTACAAAAACATGCTCAGAGCAGTTAGACTTACTCCGTATTAAAGATCAGGTTTCTGATACAGCCATGGAATGGTCTTCTCATCTTGATCATGGATGCCCCCTCACCTTCTGGAACACCCCCTATGTACAGGTTGGATACATTTATTGTCCTGCTTTCCACTGATGGACTCAGCTTCATTTCAATAGGATTTGTCTCATCCAATTGGACAGTGACAATTCTAAAAGGTCAGAGGAGAAAAAATTTTAAAAGCTTTTAAATATAATGAGACATAACTGTCCATTTTAATACATAATTCCAGAGTTCTTACTGAACAATATAAGTTCCCTGAAGATAAATTTCAACATGATGTTATGTATGAATAAAAAGGTGTATTTTGAAAACTAAAATTTACAATTGAACATTCTCCAAGAATGCATAGAATATTGAGCTCAACTGCTTCTCAGAAGGTATTTTTCTTTTACTTCTTTACCTGTGATGAAATAGCTAGTGTGCTTTTAAAACATTTGGTCTACAGTTTTGGAGGGAAATATACAGGCATGTTGATATAACACTGTTTGTTATTTTACTGTTTATATTTTACTATTTTCCCACTTCCTATTTACTAATGCTATAAAATTATTTGCTATAGAATTAATCTGAAGTAAAGACAGTTTATACTGGACCCCAGAAAAGGGCAGGATTAAGGTTGTTCAATTATGATATTCCACAAATAAAGCAGATGAACCTGAATGTCATGGAGGTATTATGCAGTTTTAGAGTTACTTTGGAACTAAAAAAACTCAGAATGCTAATGCCTTCATATTAATCACTCCAATCATTTCACCACACAGAGCACCATACCCAGGTCCTTACTGGGGAAGCTTCATGAGGTCCCCATGCCCTCATCATATAAATACCTCCCGCTCCTTGTCAAGGAGATGGAATGCTCTTGACCGTCACTATATGTGCCCGTAGGAGAGTGCAGGAGAGCTCTTCTCAGGCTTGTTCCGTCCCCAGAATTAACATGCACTTCAACGTGGCCTTCAATTAGCATGATGGAAAAGAAAGGCTGGGAAGGTTGCACAGAGAATTCCCATGGAAAAAAAAAAACATTACTATGTGATTTAAAAATATACCTTATGAATTTGCTGTGAGAATATTAGCACCAACTAAGCAATTTCTTAGGAATATCACCATCAAACATGACTAATTTAAATTTTGTAAATTACTTCCTAGTTTGATATAATTTACATTCTGCATTATGCTGTTATCATATCAAAGATTTCCATTTCTACATAATCTTCGTCCTTATTACTTATTGCCTCATTAAGTATCAACAAATACATACATTGTAAGTCATTGATCTAGTTATTTTATAGTTAAAAATGTAGGTAGTTTCTAATTTTTATTACCAGACAAAATGAACACTTAACTTTTTGCCTGTGAAATAGTTTCTAATATTCCTAAAAATGGAATTAAAAGGTTGAAGTGTTTGAAAATGTTTAAAGCTCTTAAAATTATTTTGCCACATTGAGAATTGGAATGTGTTTCACAATACCCTTGCTAGCACTGGATGACCACATTCTTTTTTGCTTAGCAGTAAACTTTGATTTGCAAAAGGTCCTATTAAGATTGGTAGAGGAAAACAGTTTGATGGTTTCTTAAAAAGTTAAAGAGAATTATCATATTACCCAGCAATTCCACTCCTAGTGTAACAGTGAAAGAGGTTGGCATCTCTGCCTTCATAGTGTATTTGCCTCCTTTGCTGCTTAATCTTTGGGTCAAAAAGCTTCTGCTCAGCCCTGCAGCCCCACTTACAGGCTTGTGAATCATCAAAAAGAATTTTGCTCATGACTTATGATTACTGCAACCAGCCCCTTACCTGAAACTCATCTCCCCTGAAAATATAAAGAAGATGTATAAGATGACTGGATTGTCAAGGATTTGTAGGATCATTATAGCCAGACCCATGTCAACAAAATGACTGGAGTCAATGAGCCAAGGACAAGGAGTTTCACAATCCTCCTCGAACCCTGGCTGATGTCCCGATGTCTGAGGTCGACTATCACCTCCTGACCTCAACCCTTCTTGTTCCCACCACAGCTTAAAATCAACTCTGAGTTAAGATGGTTCTTAAGGACATGAGCCAGACATCTCAGTCTGCTGGCTTTCTGAATAAACTCACTTTTCTTGCCTAACACCTTGTCTTTCGATGTATTGGCATGTTATGCAGTGAGTGGCATGAACTTTATTGAACTTGGACTTGGTAACACTAGGCTTATACCCAGAAGAACTGAAAATAGGTACTCAAACAGGTACTTGCACGCAAATGTTCATAGCAGCATTATTCATCATAGTCAAAAGGAAGAAACAACCCAAATGTCCATCAATGAACTAATAAACAAATTATACCATGTGCACACAAAGGAATATCAATTCAGCCATAAGAAGGATGTGCTTACAAATGCTACAACGTGGATGAAGCTCGAACACATGCTAAGTGAATGATCATATGTGATATGATTCCATTTATACAAAATGTACAGAATAGGTAAGTTCATTCACAGATACAGAAAGAAGACTGGTAGTCGCCAGGGATTGGGGGAGGATGTGGAGTGGCTGCCTAATGTCATTAGGCTTTTATTTTGGGTGACAAGAATGTTTGGAACTACATGGAGGAGGTGGCCTCACAGCACTGTGTAAGCACTAAGTGCCACTAAACTGTTTTCTTTAAAATGGTAATTTCTTTTATGTTATGTGAATTTCATCTCAACTCAATTAAAAATAAACAGATAGGTGGAGTTTATAATTGGATTTTGTTAGACCTTCACCAAGTGTCTCATGTGGTATTTGGCTCTGCAGACTAGTTTTCCTCTCTCCTGTGTGACCGTGGGCAGGTTAATCAGTTTCTCTGCACCTATTTCTTCTTCAGCAAAATGTAGGCAGCAGCATTCACCCTGCAGCATGGCTGTGATAACTGTGCAGCAATGTCTGTGAAGTAGCTTGCAAAGAACAGGATAGTACCTCATAAATTGTAGTCACATGGTTTCCACCACATTAAGACAACACATTAGCATTCTGTGAAGTCTCTTCGAACTACATGATGTCTGCAAGTCCGAGCAGAGGAAAGGGTAAAGAGCATCTATGCTCTTGAAATGGAATACAAATATGGAAAACCATCAGCTTTTCTCTATTCTCCTACTGTTAGTCCACAATGCTTGTCACAGGCCACCGTTCTCTTTCTGCTCCTTTCTATCTTATTTACAGATAAGAAAATCCTGCTTCATGAAGTGGTATATTTAAAAACTCTATAGAATTTAAGAACTATTTCTTCTAGCCTTAATATGCCACTCAGTCTATCCTTTCTGAATCAGTTTTAAAAGAATTAGAGGTAGATACTACCTTACTTCTAAGGACATGGACAAGGAAGATGGAAAATGAAGTAAAGAAATCAATGATTCATAAGGAAAAGACATTCTGCAATAGTAATTTTCACGTATTAAAAACACACACCCATAAACAACCAGTCACACAGCTACAGTAATTGTTGACGGCTAAGTCATTTTCCACCCAGTATTTCCTCAAGTCATTTCCTTCCTGAGCTCACGGCTGACAGCGATGGCATTCGAGCTACTTACCCCATGGGCCTGCCGATGACCCTGCTTCTCCCCAGGCTTGCCCAGGGCAGCAAGGATGACGCCACTACTGTTCTTGGTGGAAAATGTCGCCAACAATATTGATTCTGGTGGCAAAGACTTGGGTGCCAACTCAACATAGCTGCCTTTCCAGAAGCTCACGCTTCGAATAGGCTGGTCACAAAGAAGACAACAGTGTCATCAGGCCACCTGCAGCTGAATCTCCCGAGGAGGAATTCATGCCACTTTCCCCTCCATCCCACGGGTCTAGATGTTGTGACATTGTGTCAGTAAGTTGGGGGACATTTACAGAAATTCACTCCAATATCAATAAAATGCTTCCCACCTCCAACATACAGCCTTTTCTCACTCCATAGGAATTTCTGAGTAAATCCAAGGTTGATCGAGATATTTCCAGGTTTTTGATGCAGCCCATGTAGTTTTTGCTGGTGACACCTTTCCTGTAAGGAAGGACAGGAGAGCAACAATAGAATTTGGGTTCTATAGCTCCATTTTTGTAAGAAGGGATAAAAACAGACCTACAAATAAAGAGGATCTGTTTCCAAGTGTCATTCTGCAGAAATGTGTAGGACTGCCTCTAGGAAGGATATTGATGGTGCTCTCCTTAGGACTAAACAAAAGGACGGATTTAGCTGCTTAGAAGGCTGCCCAGACGAAAATGTTTAACATTTTGATGGGAACTCATAGTCATTACATCATAAATAAACTCATTAAACACAGGCCAATTGGAAGGAAGATCAAGCATTGTCATAAGGAAATCGTAGCAAATAGACTGCAATCCAGTGTCCGCAGAGAGTAGAGCATTTTCCTCCCATGGGGGCAAGTGTGGGCACTGTAATTCCTAGGATCACAAGGCTAGAGAAAACACTGGCTGTTGTCCAACAACACGCTCATTAACTCTATCCTGAAGGATATAATTGTATTTGGTGAAGTCTGGGATTATCCCAAACCCTATTTCTTAGATTCCAAGTCAGTACCACATTTTTCCTAACAGATCTTGCCACACTGATAGCTGTGGTGAGTCTATAATACAGTCAGACATTTACTTGCAAACTTTGGAGATTACAGAACATCTCTTAAGTACCAGCTAATCACAAGAGAACTCTGATGTTCTTGCTTTCCTGTTAGTCACATCTCATTCTTTTTTCTCTGTGCTGAGCAATGAAGTGTGGACCATTAAGCCACCTATATGATTTAGGACAAATTTCCACCTTTCAGGAGTTCAATTTCTTCCACTGTAAATGACGAGGCTGGCCTTGGGGATATCCAAGTCCCCTCGAGCATGAAAGCCTGTGATTTGGGATGCCTTCCTAGGAAAGGGGCCCTATCCTTTTCTCTAGGGTCTACACTGTGTGTCACTTAGGCAAAGTATGGGTGATCTATCACACAGCTTGTGGCTTCAGGAGCACCCCTGGTGCCACCATGTGAAGACTGACTTCTGGAATCCGGGATGAGGAGACAGGCTCCCAGTCCTGGTTCCATCTTGGCAGACAGGGAAGACCTGGGATAAATGACCAACAGCCCTGACGTCTGAGTGTAGTTCCCTTCTAAGACCAGAGGGGTGAATACAGTTGTGAACTATGTTCCTGGAACTTTAAGAAATTTCTGGCAAAGAGGAGGGGAGTGTGGAGAAGTAGATTCTGGGCTGCTCAACCTATAGCAACTGAAGTGGTTGAACTTCTGTGCTGCATATTAGGATTGTGTATAAGAATTCATCCTGAATTTTATTTATATTTGGAGATACTGTGCAGGGTAACTCAGTTTGCGCACTTGATGATCCACTCCTTGGAATCCATCTTGCCTTGACTGCTGGTCTTTGTATATGATATGTTTTCCAATGCTGGGAAAGAAACCTAGAGCTTAACTTTGCCAATCCAAAATCACAAAACTGAAGACAATGAACCACAGAAAGCTTATGTAAATTTTTTAAGTCACAAAGCTAAACAGGAATCAGTGTTATAAAAGGATATCACTGCCTCTCTCTTCTGCCATCTTTCATCCAATTTCCTGATGCTGGTCTTTCAACATTCACATACATTATTCATTCTAATCACACAGAGAGGAATTCTGATAAATCTGCAGAAAGCATGAATTTTTTTCCCTGAAAGAGATTCTACTACTCTCGAATGTCTAGAGAATGACTTGTACGGATAGTGGCATCTCCAAACACTGCACAGTAACAATTTCTAGATATTCTAAAGGTAATAAATAGAAAATCATTAATTATACTGCAGAAGGCTTTCATTACTTCCCAATTAGTAGGGCATATAGTGGTTTGAATCAAAGCAGATGTTATGTGTTAAATTCTGTCCCCCACAAAAGATGCTGAAGACCTAACCCTGTGAATGTGACTTTATAATGTAATTAACTTAATGACATCATTAGGATAGGTCCAATATGACTAGTGGCCCTATAAAAAGGAGAAATTTGGACACAGGGACATATGCACAGAGAGAAGACAATGTGTCAGCACAGAGAAAATGCCATCTACAAGCCAGGGAATGCTGGAAACTACTAGAAGCTAGAGAGAGGCACAAAACAGATTCTTTCCTCACAGCCCTCAAAAGGAAGCAGCTCTGGCGACACCCTGACTTCAGACTAGTAGCCTCTAGAGCGTGAGAGGACACAACTGTTGTTTAAAACCCCATGTTATGGCAGCCCTAGGAAATGAATACAGCCAGTAATCAGGGACAAGAAAATTCTGCCATGTGATACCATACCTTATAACTCTTGACCTAGGTAATCCACCCACATAAATTGGATCTTTATCTAGACGATTGAGGTCAGAAGACGCTCCTGGGGTTTCACCTTGCTTTGTCTCCTTATAACTAGTATTATGTGCATCGATGACCGCTAGGAGTCCTGAAAGGAGACCAAAAGGAGCGGATAGGAAAATGAGATCACTTTCTACACTAATGTGAAAATAAATTTCATTTTCAAAGACATATTCCTTTACATCCTGCAAATTTGACCAATGAAGCTTCTTGATTATTAAAGGACAAATGACAGTTCTCTGTACAAAAGTCAGTAAATCCAGAGACTGTGTGTAGAAGAAAATAGAATGAACTTGATCCATGATTCCAATTCTGCATTTAATTTTACAGAGTGCACTTGGAAAATGCAGACAAATAGCATTATAATATTTCTCCAGCAAAACACGAATCCTTGCCTTTAGTATTTCAAAGAAAATGATGGCTTTCAATTAGAATATCATTCAAGAATACCCAAGAAGTCGAAGTTAATAAAGATCAGTGATTCTGGAAAGATTTCTATTCCTATGAGGGTGACCAACATTCCGTCCTCCCATCTGTGCCCCTAACCTTGCTTTCGGTTTCGCTGGAAGGCGATTTTGTACCAGGTTCCATTGTTGTAGCGTCTGTCTGTACTAAGAGCAAGAGGCCCTGAACCCAGGTCAACTGTAACTCTGACTCTGCCATGGACCAGCTCGATGGATAAGAAGTCTTTCTGTAAAGAAGAGAAAAGAGTTACCCATGGCTACATTGTTATCACAAGGTTTCCTTTTGCTTCAAGACAGGGATGGCAGAAATGTTCGCAAGTCACACCAAGAAAATGAGAAAACGATCTGGCCCAGAAGTTAGAGTTCTACGCTGTGAAACTGAAAGTGTCCAAGAAGGCTTTCTAGAATACTACACTGATATAAATAAGGTATGTTTATTGTTACCAAATCTGCAGTTCAGTTAGATAAGTGGAATCTCTTGTATCTTTTTCATTTAGATTGAAAAAGGGACAGTTCTAAAACTAGAACTAGAAGATTGAGAGAAATTACCAGCCCAAAAGGTAAAAATAAGAACGTAAGATTCACTATGGAATTCCATGTGGATGCATTCAAATAAGGCCACAGTAGTCAGCGTGAACAGAGAACAAAATGTATAATTTAAGCTTAAAGTTTAATACCAAATGTTTAATTCAAGTCTAGAATGACAGGAAGGCTATTTTCTACTTGGTACTCTTCTATATTTTCAAAGTGTTCTTCAATAAATGTGCATTAATAAACAAATTATTAAAAATGGGGAAATAGTATGGCATACCCATACACACAGACACACACACACCTGTCATATCAGTATTTGCTCATAGAGCAGTCGTTAGACATAAATATCATAACAGCAATCTGACTATACACACACAGTGTCCTATAAAGACTCTTACGGTGCCATTTGAAGTGAGGTACAGAAGAAGCCCATTAGGTGAAAAGGTACTAAAAAGCATAATTATCTGTGTCACAGTTGCCCGGAGGGTCTTCTCCACGACAGAATATCCACTCCCATCAAAATGGAAGGAAGGGTCCTCATTGTGGGAGCTGCAAAGCAAGTGAAATACAGCCCATTCAGAAAGACACTTAAAGAGAACAAGTGCTAGATTTACTGAATTCTTCCTCACAAATTGTGGTAGAGCTATTTGCATAATTTGATAACAAGTGAAATCATAATATCTTAAAATGTGCTTGCCATGAGATTACACAAGACACATTCCCAGATGTTCTATAAGGAAATGAAACTTGATGTAGGCAGGTTCTTTGTGGTAAACAGAAATTTCTTTAAAAGATGGATAAATGCTTCAAATATTTCTACTATCTACTAGATTTTTGTTTGTTCTAATTTCTTTTAACTCAACTGTCCTTTCTTAATTCTGTTGCTTTCAGGATAATTTTTATATTGGTATTTATCACCCTCTGCTGGTTTTTACTAGTATATCAGCTAAACTGGAATAATGATGGAAAACAATAGGTACCAATGTATCCCAAGGATCATTTTACAAAATAAATCATTGACCAAAAAAATCTCAGATATCTGCAGGCTGAGCTTACGACAATGTTACTTGGTAACGGTCCACAGGACCTCTCAGGTAAGTGCTTTCTGGTCTTCCCCATGCCTCAAAGGCTGGCTTGATTCAATGCTCAATTACAAAATTCATCTGGAGCATGTGATTATGTTTAAAAAATATTTTCCTGGAATATCATTAGGTCTTGAGAGTGAGACTTGGGTTAGGGTGCGTGGGGATGTGAACTTGTGCTGCTACCTGTTGAAAGTTTAATAACCAAACTCAGTGCCACATCTTCAAGAAAAATCAAATAGTGCAATTGTTCCCAAAAACAAAACAAAGCAAAAGGACGAAAAACAGTGGTGTTTTGTCAAACTTGAGGTTTCAAATTGATAGCTTCTTGCAGTCCTGCATTTTTCTAAAAGTTTCTGTCTTGAGATGTCTTTTTAGAAAGATAACTTAAAAGAAGTGCTCTCTGCTAAACAGTCTATGACTTAATTCTCAGTTACTTAATTCTTATACCTGTGGCTTCCTAGAAGTATGTTCCATTGCTCTATCTCTTGGCTAACCAGTTTCATGTGGCTAAGAACACAGACTCTAGAGCCAGACCACTGGGCTTCAAATCTTAGTTCCCCTACTTATTGGCTGTGTGAACCCAGGAAAGTAACCTACCCTTCTGTGCTTCATACCTGCTTCATACCTTTCATCTAGGAATAGGGAAAATAATGGAACCTGTCAGGAAGGGCTACACATGATTTAATACATGTGAAGTTCTTAAAACAGTGCTTGGCATGTAGCAAAGGCTCATTCCATTTTAGCTGTTCCCATTTAACCCTTAATGGGTCCCCATTTGGCCTATTAAAAGCTGAACCTCAAAGATTAGTACCTTGTCCAAGGACACACCTAAGAAAATGGTGAACACAGATTTCAAACAAAACTCCAGAATCTGTCTTGTCCCACTGTGCAAGGCCTCTCCCTCCCCAAACTCATGAGCTCTCTGTTCTCAGGGATGTGTAAACTTTGCTTCTGGCCTTTCTCCTTCGGCAGGACCAGGCCAAATGAGATGGTCATGAAAGGGGATAAATTCAAATGAATCCGTGCCTGAACACAGTTCTCCTGAGCAGGCTCATGCCCCTGGGGTCAGGGACACATTTCTGGGGCTTGTCCCCTGGTGGGTCAGGCTTCTGTTCTATGACCATGAGGCCCACATGCCTCTCCCACCAGCTCATGTGCCTGCTCCCCCAGATGGTTACAGCAAGGCACCTCCTACCATATAAGAGGTCCAGACATATGAAAGCAGGTGCATCTCAGCACTTCATGGGCAGCTCAGTTCTACCACCCAGCAGGTACAGGTGGGAGCCCTGTAGTTAGGCAGCCTGGAGATGGGCTTCCTCCCAGCCTTCAGCCCTGTTAGCCTGGAAGGATGCTTTGTGATCCAAGCTCTCATTTATGAGGTGGATATGCCCACAGTACTGCCCACCAGCACTCCCTGCAGCTTCTATATGAGTGAGTGAGGGATTCCCTGGCACCAGGCCTGGGAGGCTGTTTCATCCACAGTTGCCCCCATTTACCACAGTGCAGGGCACTTATGCTTCCATATAGGCATTTTCTCCTGGAAGATGAGATGCTGGTAGAGAATTCCTGTGACTAATATTGACATCCTTTTTTTAAAGAATATCTATCCATATCCTACCAAACAAGTGATTTTAAAAAAACAAACAACTTTTAGAACTGTACATCAATATAATACAAGATTAGCCAGCTGATTTGCTAAGTATCCAGAAAAACAGTTAACCAAACCTTACCTTGATGGAGCTTATGAGGTAATTCTGTCTTAAAGTTCAGCCAGCAAGCCAGCCCTCTACCCAAAAAGCCCGTTCCAGGATTAACTTCAGGAAACAGCAGCACCTGCCAGTCCCTCCTTTTCTACCAACTTTCATCTTTCAGTCACAGTCCAGGGTGGGTGGGAAACTGGTGGGAGGGCAAATCCTCAAGGAGAACAAACTGGTGGCCACCCAGACACTGACTTCCTCATTCCAGCAAAGGAGGAGGAGAACAGCACTTCTGGGATTCACTCACTGGTACGGCTTTTGAGGTCAGTGGCTCGAAGACAACCCTTAAAATGATGCAAACTGGGGATATGTAACAGCTAATGCAAGGGAACAATCCCATATTAGAAATATTCCATTTCTGCTAAGACTTTTTTTTTCCCCATAAGTAAAATTAATGATCTGGGGTTAGTGTAGGGGACAAAATCCAGGGGTCAGAGCATTTTACATGTTAGAATTACCAAGTTGGTGGGAAAACTTTCTTGCTAGAAAAACAGCCCAAGGAAAAAGTGATGGAGCGTGCTTAGCTCCGGAAGTTCTAGAATGGGTACCATGTCCTCACAAGATGGTATCATTTTTTATTGTTTGCCACTTACAAAATCTTGGGTTTCCACATGTTCGTTGTCAAGAAAATAATCCTGAGGCCCAGAAAGCAATGGACTATCACTTTAGGAATACAAGACATGAGCATCGGTGCAGCATTTCAATATAAAGTATTTTCACATACATCATGTTACTTGTTAATCACCAGTTTGGGAGGCAGATCAGGCAAACAGGGTTAACGTTCTTCTTTTTCTGAAAGAAGAAACCAAGCCTTCGAGAAGTGGAGTGACTTACTTCACAGTCACTGAGAAAGAATTGTTAGGAGAACCAGGCCAGGAGCCTCGGAAACATACCCCAAATCCAATATTCTTTTCAGTCCCAAGGCTCCAACAACCAAGCTCTCAGTCATGACCTTTCAAACAAGCTAAGGGGGAAGAAGTAAATAAAAGGCTCAAACCACAAAATCCCAAGCTGTGAGCCAGGTGAGAAAGCAGGCCTGACAATGGCAAAATGAAAACTCGCCCACGAGTGTCTACCTGGGATGGGAGCTGCCTCTGGCGGATCTTGACGCCGCTCGCTGTTAATTACAGGTGTCAGTGTGGGCAGAGCAGCTCATCGGATGAGAGAAATTACATCAGATGTTCCATTCCTCTAGTGGCAAAGGCAATCTGTTGTCTTAATTACTAAAGCACTAGAACACAGGTCTTGTATACTTACGGGGTCGCAGCATTTTTTTATTAGAAAACAAAACGGGTTGTTGAGCTTGGTGAGATTAAGTTATTAAATACCTTCTATTTATCAATATATGTAAAAAAAAATAGATAGTGGTCCCCTTCCAAAGGCATTTTATTTCTAGAATTACATATTTAGGAATAAGGAAGTACTTATTTATAAAACTGACAGTGTAAACTAAATCCTTACCCTTAGAGGTATTTTCAAAAGAAAAATGTACAGCCATTTACCCAAAATGTCAGTGTAGCTCTTTGAGACAGAAGGCTACTTACGAAGATGTCTGATGTTTCTCGATTTTATGACTCATAATCCAAACATATAAGACAAGACACAGTAAAAAGAGTACTTCTTTTTAAGGGTTAAAAATGATATCCATGCTTCTATTAGGAAATGATCTACAGCATACCCTTTGCTGAGATGATGGACTTCATGAACTCTGTCTGATCCTTGACATGCACGTGAATCCTTTAAGCCGTTCTCAGACGTTAATGGGATTACACATCATGTGATAAACTGTGGGGGTACATTACCTTCCGAAGCAGCCATGGCACTTGCCCTCCCTTTCGATGTAGTTCCACAGGCCAATGGATTGTCCATTCAAGAAGGCCTCTCCCATGCAGCCCTTAAAATGAGTAACCTTCACAGTTGGAGACTTCTAATGTCAACAGACAAACAAATATAACCCATGAATATTTGGTGAAAGGAATCAATCCTCTAAGTGCATGAAACTCCTCCCTGGGGTTCAAATCTAAAAGATCTAAATCTGAGAAAATAACATCCAGAAAAATGACCAGACTGTAATCATTGGATTTCCTTCCAATGATGAAGAAGAATCCTAGAAGAGTGACAACTCGAGAGGATCTTAAAGATCATCTCACCAAGTGGGTCTCCAGAGACAAGCCCCTTTTACCAATGAGGAAGCAGAGGCCCAGAGAATGTGGTCAGGAGGGAGGGCCCAGCTGGGACTGAGACCCTGACACAAATTTCAGAGCACTGAACCAAGTCCAGGTGACTCGACATTGTTTGGTGAGGGTATAACTGATCTAATACAATCAATATGATGAGCTTTTTCACTGAATACTAATTAGTACTATTCCATCACTACCTGGAGTTACAACAGAGATAAGGGAACTTTATAGAAATTAATGTGGAATATTGAATTTCCCATTTTATCATTGAAAAAAGAAACCCAACTAGCAAAATTAACCACTGGCTTCTTTTCCATTTATACTATTGATTAAGCATGATCCTTTACTCTATGAAGCCAACCCAGCTCTGCAGAACAACTGTTGGTAAGCAGAATGGAAGCAGAAGATAATCTTGATCTGCCTAGGATATATTCAACAATATAAACATAACTAATTTTATACATAGGTAAAATCAACAATATAAACATAACTAATTTTATACATAGGATATATTCAACAACATAAACATAACGAATTTTATACATAGGTAAAATCAGACAATCAGTCCTGTTCACCATTTACCTTGATCTGTCCTCCAAGCCCTCCGACAAACATTAGTGTTGAATTATTTATATCCAGAACATTGGCTGTTCCAGGGGATTTACTCATTTTTGTTGGTGGCTTTTGTGTTGCACTCATTTCCTTTACACTCAGTGAACCAATGTTTCCAAACCTAAGGGTCACGAAGAATTACAAAAGAAACACATTCAGAATTCCAAGCCAGTCCATACATGTGCACACCTGTGTCCTCCACAGCCTCCATTTGCTTCTCCCATGACAGTAACAGACCCCCCCACTAGTCTCCCTGCTTCCTGGTCTTGCCCACCCACTCCCAGTTTACTCTCTGAAATCTAGCAGAGTAGTTCTTCTAAAACATAAATTTCATCATGTTACCTCCTTGTTTAAAGTAGTTACAGATAATGAGTTAAACTATATTTGAAATAGTCTACTGACTTTTCAAAGTCTGTTACTCCATTTTTATAAATAACAAAGCAGAAGACAAAAATCCCCATCCCTAACAATAACACACCATCAACAACAAACCATGACATCACAGAAAACCACAAAGAAAGATATACTTAAAGCTGCCTAAAGTAGTTACCTCTGGCAGGAGGCTTTTAAAGGAAGAATTTTGCTTTCTATGAATTTTAAGAAAACACATTCCCCACTTGTAACCTCGCCTTCTGTCCTCTTCTGCTTGCAAACCACCCCAGCTACGTGGAATCTCCACCACAAGGCCTTTTACTGTCCTCTCTTGGGAAGGAACCATTTTGCTAGGTTGGCTGCCCGAAAAGTAACATAAACTTCATCTTGTTTAATTACTGATTTTGAAAACAAAGTACATTTCTTCTGTAATTAAAAAAAAGCCCTTATTTCTATATTTAATCTAAGCCAAGTAATCTTTCACTGCAATCTGACCTCCCAGAAGTTCTCAAGGCTATTATATGATGCTGCAAACATGTAATTACTTAGAAGATACAGTGTTAAAAAGAGATGCTCAGAGAGAACTTTTTCTATTACCTGGTTACATAGATACTGTGCCATTTGTTGTTATCAATTGGGAAGTCTGGGAATTCCAACCGAGTTGACCCGGAGCCCATATCCCAGAGGAAGGCCGCTTTCCCTCGACGCATCTCCACTGCCAGGAAATCAGACTGGGGTGCAGGGCCATGAGCTGGGATAAGTTTACATGCTAGACTGTTTGCATGACTACAGAGCACTTTAACAATGAGTTCCTGCATTGTTTTCTATTTCCTGCATTGTTTCTCTATTCTTAAAAAAAGAAGAGAAGCAAAAGACCGAAAACAATCTTCTTTCATCTTTAAATGCTCCCCTCCCTGGAGCTGAACCATGACTCTGGATATTGGAGACAGTGGCCACCATTGGACATTAGCGCTCCACTTCCCCTGCCCCAAAGGCGTCCACAGTGCTTCCCATAAAGCTCTGCAGGACAGACTCCGGAGGCACCAGCAGTGTGCAGGGAGCATGAGGAAGGCACTATGCTTGTTTGCTTGTGAAATATGCTGGAAGACAGGAGCCATGAGACCCCACACCAGGGACTTGCATGTGTTTTGCACCTTAGCTCCAAACAAGACATTTCAGAACATGTTTGTGCTGGTTAATATTTTCTACCTAACACACCCAAGGGGACCCATTCCTACTGGCACAGCCAAAGGTACAATGGTCTTCTGTAAGGGACTCATTTTGTGGGGACCATAGGACTCTTACTGGGTGGCAAAGCGTGGGTGAAGCTTGACAGTCCTTATACACCCTTCAGGGCGGCCACCTCCACTCCTGGTGACAACCACCAAGATCAACTTTGCAGACCCATAACTCAATGGCCTTAAAGATCTCAGAAGGTATTTAAAAAAGTTCTTTTCTCAGAGTTGGTGATTAAGAGGGCAGAAGGAGGCCCCTTTCATAAATGTTCCTTTTCATAGGCATTCAATTATAAGTGTGTTTATTTTTAACCTAATGCTAGAGTTTAGCAAAAGGTTAGTTCCCTTAGGAGAATTAGTGATTTCACCAACGCCCTATTTTTCTTTTCATCAAAAAAGTGTCAATTCAGAAATTACACATGTTCATAAGAGACTCATTGCTGCTTTTTGCCAGTCTGTACTCACGCTGGCGCTGCTACCGAGGTAGAAGAGAAGGTTATCGGGCTCACTTGTCTTGACATTGAGTGTTAAGGTGTTGTAGTTAGTAGAAGAAATCTGAGGCTGGTAGGCCCGGATACAATCTCTGTCTGCAGACACAGCGACTTTAATCTTTAAAAGGAAAAAGGAAATGTCCCAATCATTTAGTGACACACATTGGGAGCGTGCTGGGAATTCCAAAGCGCTATTCTCACACAGATTTTCACCGTTAGGCAAGTTTCCTCTCCTGATAACACACAACACTTTGTTTCACAAAGTGAGAAATTAGATGATGATGAAAACTATTTTATTTTGTGAGGTATTTAAATGTAGAAAAGTCAGTCTTGGAGTTTTTAAAAGGTATTTTATGTAGGAAACTGTCTCCCTCATGTGACATTTTATTCCTTAAAGACAAGCAGCTGATCCAAATCACTTTGGCATCTTTATACCTGACAGAGAGGATACTTAATGATCATTTGTTAAATAAATGGACTAAACCCATTTAGTCATTAAGCAAATATTTATAGAACAATTACTGTACTTACCACATATTTCTCTGTTAATTATTTGTATATATTTCTTATATTAACCTTAAAGGTTATAAGTTTATATTAACTTTGAGCATTTGGAACCATCCCTCAGGCTTACATTTACTTGGCGATGATAATGAATACTGATGGAATCCAGAGCTCAGACAAACCTACTGCCCTTTTCCAGCAGAGGGGTCCCCCAGGGACAGGAGGTCAAATAGCTCAGAACTCCTTTTTCTTGGCTGTGAGCATTCAGGCAGATAAACCTTAAATCACAGATCACATTTATCCTTAAGAAGTCCACAGTAGCAAAGTGATTGCATAGTCTCTTAAAAGTCCTATTATTTCCCCCAAATGCTCTCCTTCAGAGCACGTCCCATGACATGTGCTTTGACGGCCACAGAACATCTTCTCAATGTTGCGCTTCTCCGATGTCAAGTGTTTTATGCACTTATTGACCTGGATTTGTGCAGCATTTGCATGTACACACACTGCTTTGTCAGATTTCTGGAGGATAAGGCACATACTGCCTGAGGGGTACTTGGATCATTAAACCACATTGGTCAAACGATGTAAATAACATCCTCTGCAACCAACGGAACTCAGAGCAATGCTGACACCTGGCAGCGAGTTCTGCACCATCTACTGCTGGTTAGGAGTCTGTAACCCAGGCTATGACTGCACGTCTCCACAGGGACAATGAGATCTCTTTGTTAAGAAGCTCTTTGAAACATGCTGACTAAAAGCAGAAATCAAAGAAAATGAGACTAATTAAATACACCTAAATATATTGAAGTATATTAAACATAAGTGTACTTAAATTCACTGGCTGGGGCAGGGGGAGAAGAGATATTTCAAGGCAATGCACAGGCACTAGTTGTGAAGTTGAAACTCAAAAAATATATATATGTATATATATTTTTACTTAAGTAAATATACTCAAGGCTGTGAGGTGGGACAGAAGCATTTCTGGAGGAGTTCTCAGACTGGAGGTACCGAGCCCGGCTACGGGAACAGAGGCAACCCTGGGGGCCGCAGGGCCCACACTCACAGAAGCTGCTTGTTTCCGGGCCTGGCTGATCAGCAGTTTGATTTCTGATAGGTTTCTGCTCAGGTTCTCTTCTAATGTCTTCAGAGGCTTCAACCGATCAAATAAGAGGTTGGCTTGCGTTTCCACATCCTTTACTTTTCTTCCTGCCAACAGAGCTAACAAATAGGAGGTGGCAGGAAAGTTGGCAGCGGGGAGGAAACAAGAAAAATTAATTGTTTATTATTGATGCACTGGGGAAAAGATAATATCCTAATAATCAAATCCTTGAAATTTTGGTAAGTATATGAAAATGCACCAGCAACACGCAGTACCCAAGACCCTTCTCTTTCTTTATAAATGTAAATCCAGACATTAGTGCGTTTCCATTTTTGGGGAATGCTGTTTGTGAACAAGGTGCCCATTGTACACTTGGAAGCCCAAGATGGGACAATGCGGATTTTCCTAATGGGGCAGCAGACCCTGACATACTGGTCATGGAGGAGTCCTGTAGAAGTTTGTCTGTTTCCCGTAACGTGGCATTAACCCTGGACAGGTCGTTAGATGTGTTCAACAGCTTCTGACTCCATCCCACCACGTTCTTTAGGGTGCTCACAGCGCTCTGATTTGCAGATATGGCCAGCTCTTTGATTTCTGTCCCTCTGTCTCTGACACCTGAAATAAATTCATACACAGGCATGCACTTCAGGGATGATACAGAGAAAAACCATAAAACCACAGCACATGTACTTTTATGCAGAAACAGGTTACAGCATTTCTTATTGGTTATTAAGCACAACACGGGGCTTCTTGTTTTCCACGGTGATGGTAAGGCTGCATATCATATACTCTACAGCTCCCTTTTAAGGACAGATATAGTGATTTTGGGTAACACTCTTCTATACTGAAATATGATTTCGGTGCACAGTGAGATCACAGAGCAACTGCTATTCCATGTGGTCAAGGTCTTACATGTTAATAAGCTAAATTTCTTAATTTGGTCTTTTTTCTATCACCCTCTTCCCATATCATTAAATGCCTCCTTCAAACCATTTCTTGTCTAGATAAAAAGGTTTAGGAATTTAATTCTGTACATGAGGTGGATACATCCAAGCCTAGAGGAGGTAGTATTTGCCCAAAACTTAAACTGGCTGCTAGAAATAACACAATGAAGAAGAAATGATCACTACAGGCCAACTGGCATTCAGTTACTCTAGAAGGTCTGGGTGATGATGTTTTTTTAAAGATACTAGTATTCATTCCAAAAGTATTTAATAAGAAATAGGGCAAAAATTAACACCAAAAGAAACTGGATAAGGGGCACACAGATGTTCTTTTTACTCTTCTCACAACTTTTCTGTAAGTTTGAAATCAACATATATCATGTATCCTAAAAAAAGAAAAAGAAACTTCTAGGTCAGAAAAATGCTACATTGATTTAAGGTAAGAAGTCAGCTCAAAGTGCCCCAACCCAGCTCCCTATGGAAATTTTCACACTTACAAGGTGAACCAGCAGACAGAACAACTTTGGAGATGTTTGGGTATCTTGTAAGACTTAAATGAAATTCTTATTAAGAAATAAAAGAGAAGGTTGAAGGAATATAAATATTGCACTTTAGCATAATTCATTTGTATTCCACTTTTTAAAAGTTATCCTATTTAAAATTTTAGTGAACACTAACTGCACTTCCAAACCATCAATATTAAAGTGATCTGTAAACCTATTTTAGAACGCTTCATTGCCTCATGAAGGAAGATTACCAAGCAATAATTCTTTAATTGCCCCATTTATAATGAATACAGTATTTTTCCTTAAACAAGAACATTCCAGCTTCTTGCTGACTTCTTCGAATGATCCTTCTTTCATCTAAGGAATGAAGGGTCATGTCAAGCCCTTGCTAAAAGTAAGCAATTAATAGGGTAGCGTAAAGTCTCTACGGCTCTTGTTTTCCAAAGAGTAATTGTGGTATTTCAATGCAGGTGTTCTGAAATTACTAAAAGAATAGTCATCTTCTTTTCCAAATCATATTCCTCTGTAAGTAAAAACTATCAATCTTGGTCTCATTTTGAATGAGGGCTCTTCATTAGACTCAAGGCAGAACCTCCTCATGCATATGTGATGGTTTTGCAACTGAAGACATTAATTACATGTCCCCTGAGAACCCCTTTGCCACATACCTTCAGGAATTGCTCTGAGTATCATAAGTGATTCATTGGTCTGCCTATTAATTTTATCAGCATTCTCTTGAAATCTGTTTGTCGTATTTTTCAATTCACTCAGTTCCAATGTGATACCTATTCAAGGGGAAAAGGTGTTCACTTTTAGGCTAGCTTACTAAAAAGCTGCCTAGGCAACAGCTTTCTTTATCACTCTGATCCATCCACACAATCAGTAACTTTCTACAGATACCCCAAGTACTGAAACTTCCAGCAAGACTTAACACCATTCACGGTAGAAATTAAGAGTGTTGTTAGTTTGTTTGATCATTTCTCCTACTTTGTTTCTTGCCCTTCTCACTAGTATTACATGTCCAATTTAATTAGAGTTCAAGGTGGAGAACTGTGTTTTAAATCACTCAGTCTTAATCAGACTCAGTACCTTCCTATCCACACCTAAATCCTGGCCACTTTTCTTCTCTGGGTAAAACCCCAAATGTGCGCTCCTGTCTGGGACTCTTCCTCGTGGTCTCCCACCTGTGTCTTTGGCCAGGGCCCCTGCCCGGCCTGCTCCTTTCTGACCAATTAACACTCAGCTTAACGTCCTTCAAGTTTGATCAAAGTTGTTGGATCAAAGCTATTATTTGTAAGATTTCTGTTCATGATACACGAGCACATTTGAATTCTGAACACATGGTTAAAAACATAAATTATTGATAAATTATGAATGAGCATGATAGCTCTGCCTAAAATTATAATTGCCAGAAAGTTCACTATTTTGTGGCCTATGAAATACATTTATCTGTGCAAACTGAAACCACAGCCCTTCAACACTGATGCTAGAGCTAACGCTTAATGATGGAGCATTAGGGACTTTCTATATTGTGAAATGGCAAACAAATTCTAAACTGTGTCACAGAGAAACCAAAATAAGTACATATAAATGCCCTTGGCTCCAATGGAAGGATCCAGCACTGGACATGGACGTGGTCTGAAAGGGCCACAAGCTTTATTTATGGCCCATTATTTACACCCACGGGAAAAGACTTGATAGTTTTGATATGTAAGCATGTATTGAGGTGAAAAGCACACTGCATAGTATAAAACGTGCATGCTTCTTACACACAGACTCCTGCTGCCGTTTGTGCTATGCTTACTGGCCAGCTCTTACACGTGCCCAATAACTGCTTACTGAAGCTCTGAGGAAAAACTAAACTGTACAGACATTTTTTGAAAAATTGATAAATCAATTATGATTTCATTCAGTAATTATTTAATGAGAACCTACTGGGAGTCTAACATTGTATTAGCCCTGTGAAACAGGCAAAAGCAGTATCAGACATGAAACAACCCTTCAAAACACTGGGAAACAATGAGAGACAGGAGAGGAGCACATGAACTCAAAGATGACCTGACAAACACGGATGAAGACTGAGAGCTCAGGAGCTGAGAGAATCACGGGAGGGTACAGTCATCAAGGAAGGCTTCACGATGTGGGAGATTAGAGGTGACTGCAAAGTAAGAGATATCACCAAAATAAAGTTTAAAATACATGATGCTTATGAAAGGAAATTGGAATATTACTATGCCCAAGAAATATTAAGCTTCAAATTGCTCCAGGAAAGGAAAATATTCTGGCAGTGTGCTAAGAGATGTGCTGATATTCACTCTGCTTCTCCATACAGTCTAAGGTAGACACTGACCTGAAAGCTTTCTGCTCAGACTGCTGCCTTCTTTCAGAAATTTGGAACTGCGCTGGAGAGCCACTTTCCCATTAGCAACCAGGGACTCTGAGAGCTGGAAAACAACAATGTAAAAATGGTAATGGGATGGTGGGGTGCAACACTGCTGCAGATGGGGAAAGCAACTCTATCAGAAGAGCCTCCCATCTACTTCAAACAAGGAAGTCCACTAGCTAACAGTCAGGGACCATGTAAAATGGATCATAATTTTTGCTTAATCTATGTCCTAATTTATGGCTGAAGAGAAAGAAAATCCATTTCTAAATATATAAAGACAAAAACCAGCCATTAAATGAAGACTTCTCCATGAACAAGAAAAGATAACTCAAGTAGGTTTCAAGTAGCACTATCATTTTGCCATTAGAAATGGTGAGATTTTCCTCATCTCTATGTTGCTGGTCCTTAGTCTTTGAAAGATATATTTATGAATTTAAGAGATTAAAACATGCATCACATGATGACAGAAGCCATACACAGTTCTCTCCGAAAAGGAATGTTGACAAGCATAAATTTAAGCCATGGGGACTTTGCTCAGGCATCTTGCAGAAGAATAGTGTCTAGGGAAGGAAGGGACCCTCTGAAGCCCCCAGGTCATTTCTCACCAGGCTCGCCTTAGTTATGGTCCTGAGAGCATCTTTTGCCAATTTGTCTGACTCTTCAATCAGGCTTCGAATGTTGGAATGGACATGAGTTGCGCCAGTGGCATTCAGGGAGCCATGTCTAGCATGTCCACGGCCACTGTGAGATCAGCATAGGCAAAGATGTTAGGATGAACTAAACCAAATTTGCTCACCATCCAAACACCTCCTAGTTTCTTCTCCTTAGAAAAGTATCATCAACAAGCCATTATAACATATGACTTCCCTCTAACTCCAAAAGTAATCCTTGAAAGCAGTAGCTACATTGTCACGATAATGCTCAGACTTGCTGTTTAATTAACTGCTTACTGAAGCTCTGAGAAAAAACTAAACTGTATAGAAGAGAGGATTGCTGTTTCCCATCTTTTCATCCATCCATCAGTTTCCACCAGCTGCCCTCAACATTCTTTGATTTCTGTCCAAACCCCTTGCATATGTCTGGGGTATCAAGGCATTGTTTGCAACATTTATAATCTCTCCTGCTAAGAACTTGTTAATTTTCAAAAAGCTTTCCTAAGTATATGTTGAATCTTATTCCTCAAATGGTATATACCAATTTGATGAAATTCACTAGAGGTTTAGGAAGATCAGATAATAATTCAATCATCTGGACTTCACTCTTACAAGCGGGCAAATCACTTACGAATTTGCCAACTGGTAATGATGCAATTTCACCCAGCTCACTCTATCTTGAAAATGAAATCTGACAATTGACACAGCTTTGCCTGCCGAATAACTCACTTCATTTTCTTCCTAATGTTAGTGAGTTGGGTGATTCCCAATCCAGACATCAGCAGTTACTTGTTACCTATTACTACTTGATTGGCACAATTCAGTGATTTATAAAGAAACGATAATAATGCTATTTAACTGTGTATCATATAAAATTACTTTACTACTCATACTAAGTAATAAAGGTTTTGTTCCAGCTATGTATGCAGTTTGAGTACTTCCTTCTCTTTTGGAAAATGATGAAAGATGGTGAAAAGAGATGCTAACTGAACATCTAATTCCTTATTCTATTACTGATTCTTATGGCACACATAGGTAGTAATGCTCAATGCAGCACATAGTTTACACAGTATTCTATCTTACATTGTTTTAAATTGCTATTGTTGGGTGATCTAATCTTGTATAGCAGCATTCCTCAAAGCGGAAAGATACTTATTTTCCCCTTCCACAAAACATACCCAGTATGTAGAAACATATATTCCCAATGTGTCTAGGCTTTTTCCAGCCATAATTTATAATAAATTTTATAGAAGTAAATTTACCAATTAACTCACAATATTGTGTAAATCACTGAAAAGGCTTAAAACACTGGTTTCCCCATTTGCTGCACATTAGATAACCTTTCAAAAAATGTACAAAGTCCAGGCTGCATCTAGTTAAGTCACAGTCTTTGAGTGGGGGGCTGGGAGGGTCAAGCAGACAAAGGCATCACTGTTCTTGAAGTTTCCCAGTTATACCAACATGCAGTAAGCCAGCCAAATCATAAGCTCCAAAAAGGCAAGATGTGTAGAGAAGTTAATATCCTTGTTCCATCCAACCTAACAAAGCCCTGAGCACTTAGTAAACCCTTAGCCTGGCCTTAATGACTTGATATCACAGCACAGTACTTATTTTAATTCCTATTCAGTTCAGTTTGCATTTGTCCATCACACATTGATGCTGATGGTCAACTATGTTACCAGACATGGGAGGAAATCCCCTTGCCACGTAAATAAAATAGGACTCTTCATTTTTTAGACAATGGAAGAGTAACTCAACATTGTAATGAAAATAGCCAACCTTATCAACTCTGATCAATGGATCACAACCTCTGGAATTCCTACAAAGTATAGTCTCACCTGTCTAGAGCACCTGTGAGTTTCTGAAGCTCAGCAGCATGATCCTCTGCCCTGTAGACAAGTTCAAGTGCTCCTCTCTTGGACATCTGCATGACCAGATCATCTACATGGCGTCTGATTTTGGCAGTCCATAAAAGTAACTCATCCCGGTGATGCTCTAACTGCTAAATAGAGAAATTACTACTGTGAGTATATATGCATCTCTTTGACAGTGTGTATGTATGTATATCCGGCAGGTGTGTGAGAGTCCTTTGAAAACTGCAGTGGTGTGATGAGTCATGACTTACTGCTAGAGCATTCTGGGCAGCTGTTGCACAGGCAAGGACAGCCTCCAGCAGGCTTCTTCCTTTGGTAATTAGCACTGAGGTCATGTTCCGTTCTTCTTGAGCAGGCAGGCTTTTATCCTGTAGCAGAAATCACTTTTGAGGATGCTTCATAGAAGCAAGTCAGCTTCTAAATGTTAGTGCCTGACACTATGTGCTAAAGTTAGTTCTAGGGCTCATTTTTTAAAGCTTAAAGTGACATTATTTATGTAGGAGAATTTGGTTATAAAATCTAACCTGGACAATAGCTCTCTGCAAAGGAGAGCATGATATAAAACTCACAGTGAATTCTTGCAGGTTGGCACTGACAATGAGCAGCAGGCGGGAGCTTTCTTGGGTCTTCACTTTGGCTTCCCTCACAAGCTCTTCTGCTGCCTGCAGTTCATGGTTATGTTTGGAAAGGAGGCTGCTTGCTGCTGCTTTTAATACAGCCAACTCTTCCTGTGGCTTCTGGTACTTCTCCTGAATTTGTGACAATAAATCTTCAGCAGTCCTGGTAAATATAGATGGTTCACATAGTTAGTAAATGAACAAGAAAGCTTATATCTTCGAAATGATAGTGGAAGAGATTTTTACGTATCCATACCTAGTTTCTTCTTGAAATCATAAGTGGTATATCATAATCTCATACAAAGGGAAGCAATTTTACTAAGACAGCCACAGATGTTGCAAATTCACACTTTATCCTTAACAAACTATTTTTATTTATTGACTTTCAAACATAGTTTAGTAATGGAATTAAAAGAAATTATCTCAGTGAATCTGGATTTGGAAAACTGGGACCGTAGTCTATGAACGATGGCAAGTACAATCTTTCATTATAACATGGTAAGAAATTGAAAGCAGGCTACTCAGTAATTTGCTATGAAGTTATCAATGTATTTATATGATACAAAGGCTTTTCTGCAGCTAGTTAGGAAATAGGTTTTATAAAATTTTCAAATCTAAACTGCTAGAAGGACATAACTTGTACTATTGATAAAAGCAAGCTTCAGGAAATAAAAAGACTTTTTTCCCCTTTTCTTTTGTAAATATGCTGTCAAATTGCTTATTTTAATTAAGTTTGAATCTAAAGCCACATAGCATAATGAAACTTTCATATTACAAATCTTTGCAGTGGTTAAATGTGTTCCATTAACTTTTGCTTCAACTTATCATGAAAACTTTAAAATGTCTTATAAATCACCCTCAGGTTTTCACAGATTATCAGATTGCTGGGCTCAGACACAATAGAAGACATTTTCCAAGGATACATACTTGAACTCTGACATCATTGGAACATAACCAGAAATTATTTGAACCTTCTTATGATTTTTAATGATAATAAGATGCTGCTGCATTATGATACGACAACAAGAACTAAAATGAAGTACATGGTAAACACACAAGTAAATCCAATATACTTCTAAATATATTTGATACTAAACATCTATCACTCTTATCACTGATGAAGGAATCTTTGTAAGAAATTTAAAAATAGATGTCAAATTTTCAACTACAAAGTGACTTTACCATCTACACTGTGGTCAGATGAAATGATAGAGTCACCAATGACTTGAAAAAAAAAACAAACCTCAGCATTCTTCATTAGCTTCTTCCTGCAAAATGTATTCAATCAAAACAGTAAGCCAGTATTTCTTAAACTGTGTGAGAAAGGGTTCCCTGGAAAGTTGAGTTTGACTGTATTTTCTAGCCCCTCTTAGAGACTCATGATGCAGGTCAGCATACTGAAAGCTCTGATAGGACCTGTGGCAAAGAACTTGTCCCTCATTAGTAGACACTGCCTTTTCCAAATTTATGTAATCATAGGGCACATTTCTTTAATGAAATATCTTTTGTTAGCTCTGCAGACACCAGCTTGGAAAACAGCTACAAATGATAATGTATAGTGTGCAGGAAAGGGGCACATGGCAAGCTGGAGTCAGCTGTCCTTAGAAAGGCTTGCTTGTGCTTGTGGCTGGCACTTGGCCAGCGTCTGCAAGTGTCCCTAGTGCTCCCTAACTGATAGGAGTGGCTCACTGCCTTGACCATTTGTGCAAATATGTGGATTATCCTGAACATTTGCTTTCCTTCTGGGAGTCTGGAATTTGGGTACATGCTAGGTAGAGGGTGACTATAGGACCAGTACCCAGTAAAAACTGTGGATACTGAACTTCTAATGGGCTCCCCAAGGCAGAAACATCCCACACATATGGGGCTGCATTTTCATTGCTGGGGAAAGAGTGCGCTCTGTGATCCCTCATGGGAGGGAGACTGGGCTTAGGGAAGCCTGCCTTGATTCCCCCAGACTCTGGGGTGTCTTCTTCCCCCATACGACTGTGCATCCTCATACATCACCATAAGAAATCTTGGCCATGAGTCCTGAGAGTCCTGGGGAAACTCTGAATGTGGGGGTGGTCTTGGGTACCTCAACATAAGCATGCTTTGTGTAATAAACATTCTCACCTATAGGATTGATATATGTCAGTGTCAATTACCAATTTTCTAAGAATTATAATTAAAAAGATGATTCCCAAAGTAATCCAAAAAATGTGAAATAGCATAAATACAGAGATTATCTATGAAAAATAGGGAAGTGGAGGCCAGAGAACACATTTTAAACTCTTAATTAAAAAAATAAATGAGGATTCTTTAGTAATAATTTTACTTATAAAAAGTGAGATCAGCAATCTTATTAGTAACTTAATTCCAAATAGAAACAAAAGAGCTGCAATGACAGAGAGAGGGGTTACTGGGCTGTGTGATAGGCGCAGAGCGTCTGGGCCACGGGCTGTCCCGCCTCCTCGCCTTCCTCTCAAATGCTTTTCAGAAAATGAAATGTTCCCAAGTGGACTATGAGGTCCTAGAGGGCAAAAAGGCTCTATAGTTGTCCTCTGTGTCCCCAAATCATAGTACAAATACCTGCTACCTGGAAGCTCAATCTGTCTTGCTGAATGAATGAATGAATGAACTGACTGTGGGAGGGTCATGGTAGGGGAGGAAGGCCCCATACAATGACACCAGGAGGATCTCCAGGGACTCTCTATCTTTATTAAGTTTCCCATTGTCTCTGATGTGCAGCCCACAGGGGGAGAAAGTGAGATGACATGTCATGTGTGGTGGGCAGGAGGCACCTGGGAGGAACTGGGAAGCCCAGGAGGAGCTGGAGACATTCATATGTTATCCAAGAGGCAGGGGAGAGCAAGGAAGTCAGGATGCAGAGCAGAGCAGAACTGAGCCTGGGGTGGCTGCCTTGCACATGGGAGGGTCCTGGGAAGAACTGTGTGCAAGTGTGAGCTCCTTTCCCTCTGGTGTCCCTTCTGCCATACATTTAAGGGGAAGGGGGATGCACGCAATGTGGTCACGGAGCAAGATTATAAAGGAGTGTGGCCGCACAGTCATGGTGTCTGACCCGATCATCCAAATCCCACCCACCCGTCTTTTATGGAGTGGGCCTCAAATGATATTTCCTTCTGTTTGAGGGTTGAAAAATAACAGGGTTTAGAGTTATACAGATTTAGGTTTGTGTTTAGGCTTTAATCTGGAGGTTTGATGTTGGGCAAGTTACTTGGAGTCTCTGGGCCTGAGCTTCCCCACCTTTCACAAATTGGCTGCAATGACTGCATGATAGGTCGTGAGAAGTGAAGGGCACCCTCCCGGCACAGAGGTGGTGCTCTGGAGATGGCAGCTCCTTCCCCAACTCCTGGGACCTCGACCCCCTCTGATCTCCTGGCTCTGCACTCAATAGCTCTCTCCCGACTCTTTCCAGGCCCCAACCAGTGTTGTAATAATGAGATTACTAGTTCTCCAAATCTCATCTGACAGTGAATTCCTTCTTTTGTTTTTCTCCTGTACAAATCAACAATGTAAAAAATCACATTCTGTAATGAAAAAGATGTAAGCTCAACTCTCCTGTGAGTTGCCAGTGAAAGGCTACATTGCTGCAAACATCTTTTAGAAAATAATTTGGAAGTGCAAGTCAGGAATCCTCAAAATGCAAATTTTTTTGGCTAAATGATTTCACTTCTTAATATCTACCCTCATAAGATAATAACCTGACATATGGGAAAAGATTTTTCTTTTCTAAGCATGGCAACAACTTTTTAAGATGGCAAAATATATTAAAATAGATGAAATATCACTGTAGAGGATGGAGTTTTGGAGTATCATGTAATTTTTTAAACCAGTACTTTAGATATATATCATAACCTCAAAGAAAGACAGCTTGGGCTATATTACATCAAGTAATAACTATATGAAAAAAGCCTGAAAGCAAATACAAGCTTCCACTGATTGTGTCTAATAACTCTTTGTGATTCTGTCATTTCACGTTGTGCTTTTCAATGAGAATTTGCATAATGGAGCTGAATTGTTCTGGCATAATATCAGTCTGTCTTAGAGTTGGCAGTATACATAGTAGCCACTGAGTATATTTTCTTCCATGAGAGTTTATCACATTATACTTGATGTTCAATAAATGCGGTATCAGGAGGTTCTTTAGTTTGTGCTAGGTAGAAATAGTGTTCCAGAGCCACAGAGAAGAATGAAACCTGTGTCACAGTAGCTTCAAGATAGATTTTGACACTGCTTACGCTTTCTCCATGTAGAAGTGCTGGTACGTATCTCTTCATTTATTTGACAAGAGGGCCCCTCTTCTCTTCTGATTTTCCTCTTTCCTTCCCCTCCTCCCACATGCTTCCTTCCTCCTCAGCATTCAAGTTCCTGCCTTTAGCTGGTTGTGACATGAATGGAATTAAGTGACTTACTTGAGTTCAAAGGTGGCATTTTGGTGCAATTGTGTAAAATGCCTTTTCTGTAGGATTTCCAGCAAAGATGTAATGTTCTTTTGCATATTCTGAACAGTAGAACTGGGGATCTGGAACTCTTCATCCAAGGTCTCATTTAGGATTGTAGCCTTTTTAATAATTTCTATGGAGAAAATTCATCAGTCATTCACTAAATCTCTCAAAAGTGGGCTGTGCTAAAATGGGAAAACTTAAGAGCCTTCCTCAGTGAGGTTCACCTAAGCTGGGTTGAACCTCCAGGCCAGGCAAGCTCATATATCTCAGTGTGCTCTGGACAGCCCCCATCAAAACACTCGGGCTTAGAATACTGGTTTATTCAGTCTTAGTCTTCCCCAGTACCCACGAGGTATAAGGGCAGGGCTGCCCTCATGTTCATGTGGGCATTTCCTACACGTGGCACATACATCTGCACTTAGAAGCGCTCAATAAATATTCACTGCATAAATGAACCACCAATACTTGATACTACTTTTTATTAAGTATTTGTTCTAATAATTTTCTTACCTTTTGCCTATAAAGTCTGACTTGTATTCGATTCTGTACCTTTTATGCCCTTCTTTAAACTATAATCCAAAAAGAAGGAGTAAGAATATCGTTCTGGTAGCCAGAAAACTGAAAATAGCATTCTAGAAGCCAGATTAGATGAGAAATCCCAATTGAATAGTGACTAAATGACTCTATTATCCTGGATATACTTTGGGACCACATTGAAGCCCTAAATCCTGTCAGCAACGATTCTGGGCAAAGGGATGTTGTCCAGAGCTCAGCTAAGTTGCCCTGTGGCACTGCTGCCTTGGCATCCATCTTGTTTCATCAAGCGGACAGGGTGGGCCCTGAACTGATGCCAGCCCCTCATGCACGGACACGCCCCAGAGAGCAGCCCCCAGAATCACAGGCACGTGCAGTTCTCCAATATAACTTCCCGAACAGCCCTGCTGATCAAGTCTCCCCACCTCCCAGCGCCTTCCCATAAGACCCCTCAGGGCTTACCTAAACTTTGCTTTTTTGGTTTGGTCTGACCAATCTGGCCTTAGCCTGGGATCCCCAAAGACTCCCCCACAGACTCCAATAAGGCATACGCCCAGCCTCTGACTCTCCTTCCCCCTCCCTGCACCCTGCCTTGACCTCCCCATGGGACCCTTGAGGCATGCTGGGTACTTCCTCCAGGGCCTGTGGATAATAAACTCCCCAATTTAATTTTGTCTGTGGTCTACTGTTGGTCCCTGGCCACCATCTGGCACCCTGTGCCCCGCCTATTAGTGTTAATTTGACAGATTCATAACAAATGGGGAGGCACCATATAAGGCAAAATACAGAAGATAAAAAAGGAAACATCCCCTTTCTAAGAGAGAAAATTCTTAATGAAAGACAATAGTCCAGACACATCAGGATCCCCAAGCTATGGGACATTCCAGTCCCCGGGCTCTGGGAGCCCAGGGCAAGTCACACATGTCTTCAAACCTTTAGTAAAGTGAACAGGGCTTTTCTGCCTTACTGGGCACAGACTGTCCAACCTAGACACTGACCACACTACCTTGGATGTTTTTCTGCAGCTTCTCCATAAATATCATGAGGTCTTGACTCCTGGTGAGGATTCTTTCAGTTGCCCTGGTCACATGTTGGCTACTTGTTAGCACTCTAGTGAGCTGACAGAAAACAGAGGACTCAGGAATACAGTTCTGAGGAATATCATAACATCTGTGTATAGTGAAAGAAGGGATCTATACTTATTGTGGCAAGCATTTAGTAGTGTATATAACTTTAGAGTCACTACATTGTACACCTGAAACCAATATATTGTCTATCAGATATACTTCAGTAGAACATGTACTCACACAAAAGAAAATAAATGTCTCAGGTTCGTTTGACTTTGTGCAAGCTTTGATATTCTAGTTGTGGTCTCTTTTAAGCAACAAAATATATTTCAGAATATAGAGCAAAGATGTGTATCATGTAAGCCAAGGTTAATAGGTCAGGGTTGGAAACTGACTAAGTGTTTAATGAAGTAATTTACTGCACACTCAGTGCTAGAACAGATGACTTACTTTTAAAAGCAGCCTAATTGGTTATCAAACCACAGACTCTCCCATGTCTCTCTTGCCAAGACTTTATATTCACTTTAGGACCCAAGTATGCAGCATATAGAAAGCAAAGACTTACTAATTTGTATTGGTTGAGGACTCAGCCAAGGAGTTAAGGACATAGAGACAGGCAGAGTGGGTTTTAGGCCTGATTCTGCAGGGCTGGAGACCGAGTATTGAACATCTCCTGGCTGCATCATTATTGTATGGAGTAATTAATAATAATAATAATAAACTGCATTATTATTCCATGGAGTAATAATAACACCTACCACATGGGGCTTTATGAAGATTAAATGCAATGATGTCTATAAAGTCAGCATTCCAAGGGCCTGAGACTTAACTTAGCCCTCAGGAATTGTTTTTATTTAGAATGTTATAAGTTGTGAAAAAGAAAGGTGGTTTATAATTTCCAGGAATGTAAAGTAACTCAGACTGGCTCTAAAAGTGTTTTCTAGTCAAAATCCAAAGAGAATCTTCTTTAATGGATAGAGAGAATTTATTTTAATCAGCTTATCATTTCCTGCCAAATGTTTGCTCACTGAGGTACTTTAAGTCCATGCTTAAGCCCTTAAACTCTTTCCAAATCATCAATTCCAAATGAACAGGAGCCAAGCTAACATTTTTTTTTAGGGTGCATGTTTGTGTAAGTGTGTGGATGTTAAGTGACAGTGACTACATACATATAAATATAAGAACACTATCATATAAACATCTATGTACATATACATACATACACATACATATTGTGCATCACATACACATGAAATTCGAGAATGAAAAATATACGTTTGACAGTAGATCCCTCACCATCTGCTAATGAGGACATTCTTTTTTGGGTCACTGAAAAACATTCATCCTGCATGGGCTAAACAATAAATAATTCCCAGCTGACATCAAAACGAGCTCACTTGCCATTCCAAGTTCACAAATGAGAAAGAAGCACATGGCCTGAATGTGGCGCAGACCCTACACAGCCACACTATGCTGGTGCCTGGTGGGCTGCAGGCGGGGCACCAGTGTTCAGGGGAGGGCCTCTGAATGCTGTGCTCACGCATGCTCAGTTAAGCGTGTTTAGAAGGAAGAAACACTAGCCATCTTCTCACCCCTCCCATCCCTCGGCTCACAGGAGAAAATGACCGGCAGATGGCAAAGTCATTACCCATCTCTTCCCTCAGCAGAGGTGACAATAGAAATTAAGTCAGGAACTTTTTCCCACTAAAGAATGGAATCTGGCAGGGTTAAAACCAATTTGAACAAAGAAGATGGGACACAGCTCCTGGGGTAAGAGGCTGCCCTGATCCAATCAGAACCTTCTTGACTGCCTGATGGTATTGCTCACAAGGGCTGGATGGGAAGTAGGTCCTATATGTGAAGAATTTACCTCCCTTTGCAGGTCAGCTGTTTGTTCAGCAACACCTTCAAGCTCAAATTTTGCTAATTCCTTCTGTGTATTGTCTTTTAATAAAGATTTCTAAAAAGAACAAAGGAAACAAATTACGTTTCAAAATAAATTTGCTGGGTTTTCACTAAGAATCACTTATTTCCTTTTTTGTTCACATAAATACTTTTCTTGAAATTAATAAAAGATATTGAATTAAAAATAAAATTAATAACATTTACTTAAGTCTTGACTATCGCAACGTTTCTCTACTGCCCTCTTTCACATTAAATTTCCTATCTAGATGTGAACTGAAAGTCTGGTGTATTAAGCAGAATCTGATACTGCAATATTCTTGGGTAAGTCTGGCTTAATTTCAGTACCACAGTAACATAAGTTTTAACTATAATTGCTAACACCTTATAAAACACTTCCTGGGCCAAAGCACGAACGTATTAAGTAGAGGAAAACCCTTATAATTACTAGCAATTAAATGCTTTATTTATGCCAACACTTTTCCAATTTCTTCACTTGTATGATTTTATTTCAACCTGATAAGGACCCTGTGCAGGGGCTATATCATGGTTTAAGGTCAGGTGAGTTCAGTAACTTGCTCAAGGTCACTGGGGAGGTAAATAATAAAAGCAAGGAGCAGCTAAAAGTTCACCTGTATACTTTACATAAACGTAATAAATTATTTAAAGGAATTGACAAAGTGGTTTAAATGAGAGCAAATCATTCAAAGTAGTTACATTTTAAATCAAATACTTATTTTACTTGATAAATTTAAAATACAGTTACATTGCTAGGGCCCAAACTGACAGAGAATAGTATTTATTGATTGTGTGTTTAATGAGTGGAAATGAAATTCAACATTTCTTGCTTTTTTTTTCAAGAAATTTTTTTTCTTGTCTTTTGAAAACTTTCTTCCATTTGTGGAAAAATGATATAAAAACAATTTCTTAAGAGTTCCTTAACCTTTCTTTACTGCCATTATACCTATAGAGAAAAGACCACTATAAACAAGAATGGATTGCTGAAGCAACCAGATTCCAGCACACACACACACACACACACACACACACACACACACACACACACACACAGGAGTACACATATACACACACACACACAAGTACATACACATAGGTACACATATACATGTACACACAAGTATGCACAGGAGTACACACACACATAGGTACACATATATACACACACAGGCACACACACCCACAGGCCTAAGGAAATGTTAAGTCTAGGAAGGCCTTTTATTTAAAAAAAACATTCAAAAATAACTACTCTTCTCAATACTGCATGAGGCAATTGTCTCAAACTCTAATGCATAACAGGCTTTAAGCAAAATTAAGAATCGCATTCCTTTTTTCAATTAGAATTTAAAATGCTAGAGTAGAATGCTGTCCGCTAAAGCAATTTCTCATCTTCCCACCCTTTCTCTGAGCTAGGTTCTGATTTGTATATAGTCTTCCAGTGGGGAGGAACTTCTGTGCCCTGCAGGTAAGAACAATACATTTACAGAAAATAGTTGATCTTCAGCATATTAGAACATTAAAGAAGACACTGTCCAGACTCATTTTCCATATTTGTATTAGGACAGTTGTTTTCAAATATCTAAAGTTAAGTCCTGGAGAGGAGCCAGTGACCTCTGTTTTATTCCAAGAGGCAGAGGAACCATGGGAGAAGGATTTCTAAGGAGGCATCTATGGAATGATTTTTAAATAATCAGAGCTTCCCCACCGGGAAGTAAGGTAGCATGGGGATGGTGAAGTTCTGGTCACATTCCAGAGAGCGCTGGACATTAGGAATGAGACACTTACACTGGTGGGGAAGATACCCAGAATGACTCCTACTGTCTGACCAATTCTGTATCTCTGTGTTTCTCCCCATCTCTATATTCCCAGTACATACCCAGAGATATCTAGTTGTATTTTCCAGGTTTGACAAAATCCCATATGGGACAGGGATAATGCTGGTGACGTTCACAGGGAGTGTGGCTTCACCAATGTTATCTAAGTCACTTAGCAGCACACCCACACATTCATCATCACAAGCTAAGAGAAAAAGAAAATTAAAGTTAATGCAAAATGGTCTGCACATTTTGTAATAACAACATATATGGGCAGAGCACAGTACAAGGCTTCCATGAACCACATCTGAGCACATTCTCACACTGGCTGTGTGATGGGGGTAGGCGGGAAGTGCGAAGCCCCATTCTCAGATGATATTGCTAGGCCCCAATCAGATCAGTGACCCCCCTGGGGTCACACAGAAAGAAACAACAGATCGTCAGAGTGGACCCCAGGTCTGGTGCACATCCTACTGCCCCAGGGCATTTGTTCATTTTTGACGTGGACCAACAGTATTTCCAGCCAGTGTTTCCTGAGACAGTTTGCCGACGCACCTTTGGCAAGTACAAATGAAGAAGACTGGGGAAATAAAGGGCATGTTTTGCTTACAGCAAACACCAAACAAAAACATAAAAGCTCTCAAAGGCTATGGTCCTGACATTACTTCCTCTCAGTGTTCCCCCACAAACCACTGAGAAGACATCCCAAGAAGAGCTATTGAAACAAATCAGAACTGAAAGAAAATCCACAAAAGCCAAGAGCTCTTCAGCATAAGCGAAATCTGTGTAACACGAGTGACATCCCCTCAGAGGTGTTCTCTCTCTGTGCTTTGACCTTTGGCTCTGCTAAAGGAAATATTAATGCAGCTAAACTATGAAGTTGGAGTTGCTCTGCTGAATGCCAGAGAGCTGCACGCTGTTATCCCAGAACTTTCTGCCTCAGCTCCAAACACATTATGAGAAGTTCAGTTGGGCAGATACAAAGGCAATCTATGCTTAGTTAAAATAAAATAAGCCTTTATCCTGTAGATGACATAAAGCACCATAGCAGGAAAATATTTGAAAGAAAAACCATCTTTAAACATTTGGAGGAAAATACCCACAAACACAATCGCTTTCCACCAGAATGTGCCTCGGCTCACATTCCTCACATCGGAGCCCAGAAGTGCCTGGCCTGCAGACACACTGCCCGGACCCACGGTCACAGTCACTGTGAAGGGAGCCCCTTGGGCTGCAGTTACACCTCTGGCAAGTGCCACTCGGAGTTTGAGGATTTCCGTGATAGCCTGAGGAGCACCTATGGAGAGGAAGATAGGCAGGTGTGGACTGCAGTATCAACATGAGGAAGTCAATACATGAACCATCACTTGCCCGAGGACAGTGACCATTTCTACTGAATGAAATGCAAAGAACACAGACCCGTTTACCTGACCTGGCACCTTATTCTCCCTATAAGGAGAATAAGCTGTTTCCAGAAAGTGCATTTACGTCTCTTAATACAGAGGAGGTACTCTTAGAATAGCAGAAAGGCCCCATATCGATCATGCACACTGATCCCGACTCCCAAATCACTTCAGCAAATATATCCCACATGTACCAAAGGAGCAGGCACACTCAGCGATGTCCACGTGAAAACTGCCAACATACCTTTCACAATACCGTCCTTCATAGCCCAGAACACAGGCATCACAACGGAAACCATGACCGCCGTCTGAGACACAAGTGGGGCTAAAACTGGAAGGAAATAATTTTTTTAAAAATTTCAGATATACAACTTTAAATGGTACTGATTCACTACTGTTAGGATATATGATATTGTTCTGAAAGTTAAGTACACCGGAGAGTTAAACCAGCATTTTAGGGCTTAAAACCTACTGGGCAAAAAGAAGGAAAATAAACATGTAATCAAGACGAGTGATTGCATCTCTTCTATCCAAAAGACACTCATTAGGCACCTGTCCAGTGACAACCACGTGAGTGCTAGCTTACAGATGACAACTAAGTAGCCATCGAAAGAGTCTTGTTCTGAGATTTACGCACAGAACTCCCTGGCTTATGAGACGAAAAGGTGACTGCAGAGTGCTGCAGCGTCTATGAGCACGCACGGAAACCCACAGCAAGGGACAAATGCCGATGACTCTGACGGGCTGTCAGGAAGGGGAAAGAGGAGGGGCAGGGCAGGAGAGCAAAGAGAGGGTGGAATTTGGAAATCAGTGTTCCCAAAGGTAGGGAGTCCTGTGATGGGCCATTAGGAGCAAAATGATAGAGGCACTCAAAATGTAATACTCTACTCAGATGTCAATAATCTCGCTCACGGGGTTCAGCTTTTGGCTTACTCCTTTCTTTTCAGCGACCGATGCCTCCAAATTTTAAATGATCAGTGCATCATGCACCACCTACAGGCTAAACTGGGTACCTGCGAACCACTGGGGAAAAAACAAAGCTTCAGTACTCTGGTTTTGTGGCCAGTGAGAGAAGTTTCCAGAATGAGTTACAGGGCTCTCCATCAGTCCCATTTCACTTTCGACTTTTCTTCCTTCTTAAATACTTGAGGGACAGACCTCAGTGGAAACAAAATAAGTAGGAAATAAAGCCCACATAGAGTACACATTATCACTGTCTCTTAACTTTTAATTTCTTAGCATAGGCTGTGGGATGGTTAGTACCTTTTTTTTTGACTGAATAATTAAAATAGTCAAACAGTACAGAAGTGAGCAAAGCAGAAGGGAGAAAAATCCTTCTAAACATTTCTCTGGCACATATAACCAGGATGCTATGGATACATATACATGGATATGAATTTTTTCCAAAATGGTAACATATTATATATTCAGTTATGTCATTTAATTGATATTTTCTCTAATTTTGTACATCCAACTATACCTTATTCTTTTCTCAGTGTTTGCAGAATACCTTTTTCACTCTGGGTATGTACCACAATGCATATAATCAATGCCCTATAGGTAGATATTTCATTTCCCCTGCATATTCTATTGAGTACAGGCAATGCAATAAACATGGTCATATTTACACATATAAGCAAGTGTTCTCTAGCTTAGATTACTTGAGTGAATTGATGAGTCAAAATTTATATACAGATTGAATACAAAAAAATCAAGTAATAAAAATAAATTTTAGGATACTTGATAATTTACAAGGGATGTTTACACAGGGCTTCTCAATTGGTATTCATATCAAACATCACTTACTTGGAGATAGGAAAGTAAGATTTTATAAAAAGATAGAAGATGTAAACAAATATTAAAAAGAAAACTTCAGTTTAATATACTAAAAGTAAATATACATGTTCAATACCTTGTTAAATATTCTTAGCAATAATGAAAAGTTATTTATGAATTACAATTTTCATTTAAACTAAAAACAACCCACAGACATTCCAATTTCCACTTAAAATCATTAGTTCTTCTTTGCATTCAGATAATTCTCTACTAGTATCAAAATGCAAAAGTACAAGGTAGAACATGGCCCCAGTTTAATTACTGGGTGGTTTTTCCACCCTCATCAGTGATCAGCATATACAAATTCTAACCTCATGCTCTTACATTAACAGGAACTGAAGTCATTGTATCAACATTCATAAAATTAATAATTCTTCTCTAGGCACACTGGTACATAGGTTGGAGGCCAAAATTACTCTTCAAAAAACAAAACCTGAAAGTCCTTTCCTTAATTGGTTCCATCCTATCACCCCAATACCAATGCAGATACTTTGGTTTTGGAAACATTCCCTTCAAATGCTATGATAAGGAACACTTTCTCTTAAAATTAGCCTTTGTCAACACATCGGGAATATTGATTAATACAGGCCATGTAGAGAACCTGGAAAATGAGGGGGACAATGGCAGCAGCCGCAGCTTTGGTGGCACGGGCATGCCAGCACTCACCTGGCAGGGGGGCTGTGAGGGCAGGTGCATGGAGAGCAGTCGCCGGCTGAGCCAGCCACCTTGCCATAATACCCAGGAGCACACGCATCACAGTGGTCACCAGTGGTGTTATCGCTGCAGTTCTAGAGCACCATGTTTCAGGAGAGAGAAACAATGGGGAATAGTTAGATATCATACCTTACTTGGTCATACCTAAGCACAGCCACTTTTTGTATCAACCAGTACTGTTCTTCTTATTCTTAAGGAAGGGAGAGCATTTTTCTTCATATTTTTTTAAGTCCTGGAAACATTACCAGCTCTATGGCCTTCATTCATTATAATGAATACAACCTAGAAGTTATTAATACTCTCTTCTTCTGGAAAATATGCACAGGGCTAATATGTGTTTGTATAGACATACATCTCTCTCCTAAAACTGCCAACTTTGAGATTCTTAAAATACAGATCTAAAATATGTGGTGACCTGAAAAACAATTTGAAACACACCAGTTTTGCGCATGTGGGAAGTTGAAAGAGAAGACATGAATGTATAGATGATTTAGGAAATAGGGAAGAAAATGCAGGTTTAGAGCACTACCAACAGATTCTTGCAATAACCAAATCATTTCCAGTTAAATTTTATGTCATCTCTCGGACCTAATAAAGAAAAAAAACAAAACCTGTGGAAGGGCAAGTAATTCTTGGCATCTGATTCTGATGTGAAATCTGCTTTGGCTCAGCTGGACCCCATGCACTCAGCCTTTGGGCCCTGGATCCATGCCGGAGGCAGGGGCTGCAAGATGAGTAGCACTGGGGAGTCACTGAGCAGACTTGCAAACATACTCAGACTTATCCTCAGCAATGAGAGACGATGGGCAAAGAAACCATTTTGTATGTCTGAAAAACTAATTTTAAGTTCTTTTTAATTAAAAAAACACTCTAGCATTGTATCCCTATTTCATCTGATGAAAACAGATTTTACTGGATTTCACTTGGACCTTAAAAGTGGTAACTCTTTGGAAGTAAAATTTGCAATCTCTCTCTTAAATACAAAATGTGTTAAATAGTTGTTTTAATAACATAACCCAGAGCTGATAGGAACAAACATTAGATGACAGGAGAGGATTGAAGATGATCTTTCTGGGTTTTGATTGCTAACACCAACTCCAGCATTCACAACTCCCTACCCTGTGATGCATCGTGAGCACCCTGGTTTTCAAGGTCCTAGAGAAGTGAGGACAAGCTGCCCGAAGGAGTGGCAGGGAAAGAAGAACCTGTGAATGTGAATGAATGACATGTGGGATGAGTCAGTTGCTAGGGGAGACGCACAGGGAAGCCTGTCAATTTCACATTTGCAAAAAGATTAGATGAGGCTTAAGGTCAGGATTAATTTAGGGTTAGGGATGGGGTAGCAGGGAAAAGGGACTCTCAGGATATCTCCCTGGTCTTAGACTTCCCACTCCTTTCCACATTTCTGATGAATCACTTTTCTGATAATACCAAAGTCCCAGTGACATGAAGATGGAGGAATATGCAGGGTGACAAAATCAGATCCAGAAAGGTCCTGACACCCTCCTTTATGATAAGTACATATGGAGTGCTTATGAGGTTTTTATCACATGGAAGTGAACTGTTGCTCTAAACCACAAGAGACTGAAGAGGAAAGGTACTGTCCCAAGTTCAAAGAGCAACACCTCGGGCGCTGACCTGTGGAACAAATGTGAGTGTCTTCATGTCCAGTCAGCTTAGAGGCAGCAGTGACTGGGCTGCTTTCATGGGACTAGTACCTACAGGTAAAGAGAGATGCCCCCCAGCCACACCTGGAGTAAAGCACTGGGCTCTGGGCATGATACCTTAATGTCAGGGTGGCGGATGGACAGACAGCCATTCCGTATGACCATCATGTATATAACTGCGGATAGCTGACCAGGAGGGCTGCAGATTCACTTCAGGGATGTGAGAGAGGAATTTTATCAAGTAGTATCGCAAGTTTTTTGTTAAGGTCCTGTCACTTTTCATTAACAAATTTGAACTAGGGATTTATCTCAATGGCTTCAAATATTAAATCTCTACCAACACATGGATGAGCCAGAGGCATGAGTTCAGGAATAAGCAGGCTGCCCAGAGATGAGCTTGGATGCTGTGTGAGTGAGCTCCCTGTTGCTGGAGGTGTGCAAACATACATTAAATAACTACTTGACATGAATGTTGTAATTCAGACTTAAGATCTGAAGGTATTGTGACAAGAATGGAGGATCTGTTGCCATCTTGAAATTCCAAACTCTGAACCCAGACACTATTTTTTGTTTAGAGCAAGTTTTGGTTACAATAATTTGGTTACAATAAGGGGTAAAGAAGTGAAACCACTTAGTGAAGAAGTCACTAGGGACAAACAGAGAACACAGATCTTCCTTAAAAGGGGGAAAGAACAGTAAGCAAAATGTGCTCTGCTCAACACCATGAGATTGCAGGAGAGCAACCTACATTTATAACCTCTGTTTCGTCTTCTTGCAGCATGTACATCCATTGTTGTGTACTGCAAATTTAATTAATAGTCCCAGGGGAGATCTCTTATGGCCTCTAGGTGACACTTGGCAAAATTTCTCCTGGAGCAGGGACCTGTCTGAAAGCTCTGCTCTCTGTTACGGTAGGAGACTCTTTGCCTTTGTCTTCCATGGATTAGGTACGCAGGGTACAAAATCAAAAGGTCAGTTGCTAATCTTGGAACTTTGTTCTGGTTGACTTGGACCAGAAAAGTCAAGGTAATAACTTAAGGTTAGGAGTCCCTAACCTTGTTAAAATAGCACCAAAGAAGCTGCAGCAAGAAAGAAGCACTCAACTTCTTTAGATGTTCACGTGACCTTTGTCCCCATGATTTGCCAAGGGAGCTTCCCAGCTAATTACATCTCACTTTACATTGCCTAAAATCAATTCTCCTTAAATCTTTTAGTGAGGTTTTCTCATTTTCTCTATTAGGATTTTACTTTTGCTTGGAGCATGAGCTGATTAGAGTGAATACATTTTTTAAAATAGTGGTGCAGCTATTTGCAACTTCATTAACTCCATTTTACCTTGTATAACTGGAATAACGCTTTAATTCCACATATATAATGAAGTCAGCAAAGGTTAACATATCTTTTTAATTGAGGAAAACCACGGAGTACTTCAGTTTCTAAATTCACATGCACACTGCTCTAGCTTAGTGGTTTCCCCAGTGGAAATTGCCTTTAAATTCTACTTGAAAGATGTTTCTGAAGAGAAGAGGAAGACAGATTCAGTGTGGCTGAAGGTCAGACATAGCCCATGGTCCTGATTTCTCTGTCCTATTCATCATTTTAGGTCACACCCAGGGTCTTAAAGGTTTTAGGTGGGTCTTTCTTGGTAGGCAGCTCCTTTCCTTTCAGTGAGTTCTTTCACCTGAGGTGAGTTAGTCTTGGCACAATTTATACAAGTAACCAATGTTTCCACATAAGTTATTATACAAAATGAGATTTCAGGAGTAGGAAGAGTATCAGGTTATTCTATGTTATCAATAAGGCCTTGTGTGTGATTTAAGCAAAATCAGACACAGGAGTGTATCCTCAGTCAGGGCCACAGGACTTCTGTCTGGGTCATTTGTTCCTTTTCAATGGTCAGAATTCTCTGTAAGTCCCTGAGATCAGTCATGGTCTAGGGGTAGGTAGGTGGCTGAGAGGCAAATGCATACTAAGATGTCCAGGAGAACATGCATTTTTAAAAAATGAAAACAGAAAGCAACACTTTGCCCAGAGAAATAAATTCTCAACATTGACATTCACTGATTTTAAAACCTTTAGGAGACTCTCCAAATTGTATGCAAAAAGTTCTCATCTGCTTTGACTTCAACTGCCAGTTGCGCAAGTTCACTTAACCAATTCCCAATTTGACACCCACAAATTCAAGGAAGTACATTTGATAAAATACTTTCTGCCAATAATATCAAACCACTTAGAGAAGACTTTCTGAGGGAAATATATGTACATTTTACATTTTGTTAAAGTTAAGCTCTTTCTAAACCAAGGAACTGGTATGACGTTGGACTGGAAATGTAAAGGCTCAGTGCCTGTTCTAATGAATCGCACAGACAGGCATACCAGACACTTCCCGGTTTCGGGGTCACAGGCATCACTGTGGTTGTTGCAACTGCAAGGCACACAAGGAGCAAGCAGGGGGCGGGGTCCTCTGCCACTTTCTGGGAGCTTCCCTCTGTGGTAACCAGGTGCACAGTCCTGGAGGGATATGAAAGGAAACACACAAATGACCTATTAAACAGTGGGTAAACCTGTAGTGGCTCTAATGTCAGTCCCACTTCTGTACATCAATTATAATTCTGAGACCAATTCCATTGCATGGGTTTTTTTCCCCACACCAAGCAATTCTTAGATACCAGGTAGGTATCCTACAATTCAACTCAGTTCTGACACTATCTATCTGGAGATCGTATCAGATCTCACAGGCTATAAATTCTACAAGACTGCACCCCCTCAAATTCAGATGCTAATCACAAGTCCAGGTTGTCACCTGACCCAACTGGCTATAGATTGTAGGTTCCAATGTTCCCCTCCTTGGGTTTGAACTTCTAAACTCTAGGCCTGATACTAATTTTGTTTAGAGTGGGTTTTGGTTATAGTAAATTGCTTACAATAAGTGGTAGCCTTGAATGAAGGAGAAGTCACTAGGGACAATCAGAACACAGATCACAGAGCATTCTACTTACTTGATTACCAGGTTTACTATAAAAGGATGTAACTCAGAAACAGCCAGACGGGAGACATGCTGAGGCCAAAGTATGGGCAAAGGGTGAGGAGATACCATGCTCTCCAGCAGCACCACTCTTCTCAATCTCCATGTGTTTACCAACTTGGAAGCTCTCTGAACCTTACCCTTTTGGGTTTTGGGGGAGGCATCTTACACATAGGCAAGACTGATTAAATCATTGGTCATTGGTGGTTGAATCCAATCCCTAGCCCCTCTCCCCTCTCTCCATGTAGGTTGGGGATGGGACTGAAAGTTCTCTAATCACATGGTTGGTTCACCTGGAGAACTGCCCCCATCCTCAGATGATCTAGGAGATTTCCAAAAGTCACCTCATTAATATAACAAAAGATGCCTTTATGGATCTCATCACTTAAGAAATTCCAGGGGCTAAGAACTCTGTGACAGGAATGGGGTAAGAAGATACAAGAATATATTTCTTCTTATGAATCAGTATCACAACTTGAATAGGTATTTCTTCCAAAGAAGATAGAAATGACTAACAAGCAGATGAAAAGATGCTCAATATCACCAATGATTAGGAAAATACAAATGAAAATCGCAAAGTCCCACTTTGTGGGATGACTACTATTAAAAAAAGCAGAAAATAACAAGAGGTGTCAAGGATGTGGAAAAACTGGAACCCTTGTCCTTTGTCGGTGGGAATGTAAGAAGCAGAGCTATAGAGAGCAGTATGGCAGCTCCTCAAAAATTAAAAACAGAATTACCATATGATCCACCAAGTCTACTTCTGGGAACAAACTGCAAAGAGCTGAGAGCAGGGTCTTGGAGAGATACTGTACACCTATGTTCACAGAGGCATTATTCACAATAGGTGAATCACAAAAGGTGGAAGCAACCCAAGTGTCCACTGATGGATGGCTGGATAAACAAAATATGGTAAATCCATATGATGAAATATTATTCAGCCTCATAAGGAAATTGACACATGCTACAACATGGATAAATCTTGAGGACATTAGGCTAAGTGAAATAAGGCAGTCATAAAATGACCAAAACTGTATGATTTCACTTACTTGAGGCACCTAGAGTAGTCAGATTCACAGAGGCAGAGAGTAAAATGGTGACTGGTAGGAGCTATGGGGAGGGAGAATGGGGAGTCAGCATTTAACGAGTACAAGAGTTTCAGTTTTTCAAGATAAATTCTGGGGGTTGGTTGTACAAAAACGTGAATGTACTTAACACAGCAGAACTGTAGACTTAAAAATTTTAAGATGGGAAAGTTTATGCATATTTTACCACAATTTTAAAAAGTCAAGGGCAAAACGAAATCATAGATACACACAAGCTCTGTTCATCACTTGGAATTTCTTTAACAAGCATATTTACAAAGCCAGGAAGTGGATTTTAACCCAGTCTCCCTACCTGACATGAGGATCCCGCGGAGCCAGGAGGACAGAAACACTTCTCCAAAAGGGACGCCGCCTCCTTCCCTGGGTGCAGCCCTTCAGCCTTTCTGCCAACCTCCATGGAAACATTTGAGATTCTGTGAAACCGTTGTGTGAAGAAGTGTGAGGGGAGTATTTTCTAATATTTAGAAAACACTTTCTAGAAACATTGCACATTACATAATAATACTCACACATATATTAAACCTAAGCTTTCCTGCCAGTTTGAGAGTAGTTCCTACTCAGGACTGTGTAAAAGCACATTAATACTGTCATTACACACAGAAGGTCCTCAGCTGACATTTTAGAACTTAAAAATAACGTTACAGAAAAAGCACCTGAAAGAACTCTGTGAGTGCTAACATGGCCATAATTTTCTTTCTAGTGACTTTCTTTATGCGATAAAGATAAGCAGGTGATGGCATTCTTGATGCATTTTTATAAAGAAATGGGCATGTGCTTTTTTTTAAGGACAGAAAATAGCAGAACTTTTTATTCTCTACATTTTATCCTCATCTAGGACGTCACTATTATGTACTTATATTTCATATCCACATTAATATAGATGACAATCTATATCATTTTTCACAATTTTCATAATAATATTAATATTTAATAAAATTTTGGTGAGGAACAGAAAGATGCATATTAATAAAGATAGGGAATAGGAGTGAAGTAGATCAAATCCCTTCAGCTTGGTTTCAAATGAGAAAAATATTTAAAATTCTAGAAAGTTCCAAATACCTGCTTTGCTGTAATCCTTGACCATAAGATGCTTTTATGAGGATGTACTCAATGTTGCTAAGGACAGACATAAAATCTGAACGGGTGACAGGTTTTTCCGAAACAGAGTTAAAATATTTCCAAAAATTCTGTGGATGAGAAATGCATTCAATTAAATTTACAGTACAAATTCTCAGAGGCATAGGAACTTAATTTTTTTAAAAAATTTCTCCAGAAGTGAGACCAGTCCTGTGCATGATACTAAGTTTAACTGAAGAAGATCTCCAGTCACCTCCCAGGCGCATTGGCAGTGCCAGCCACATACACACGCTCCAAAAATACCTGCCGCGTGAATGAATAAATGCTTCCCAGGTTCAAACAAGTCCATACAGGTGAAGACTTTTGTACCCAGATAAAGGATTTACAGTACAGTTCCTGCTAAATTAACATAAGCCTAAAATACATTTCTTAAGAATATAAGTGAATTTTTACAAATCTTGCTGAACTTATTTGAATTCTGGTCCCAGGGTCTTCTTGCTCACGCTTGTATGAGCAGCTTCATGACGTCATTATGGCCACTGGAAAGTTTATAGCTTTTCGGAAGCTTTTAGGCTTACAGGAAAAGAGCGCATGATCACCTCTCTCATTACGACTTCTTGCTCTTGTCTGACTCCGTTCTCCGGTGCTGATGCATCCACGTAAATGACGTGCTTTCTGACCCAGCCTCCTTTGATGAGCACTTGAGGCTCAAGGTTGAAGGTGCCGGTGCCACTGGAAGAGTAGAAGGCCACGCTGTACTTCAGTTTGCCCCCATAGGCCATGAGCTGCCGAATAGTAAATGTTGTTTACTGTTCTGACGTAGCATTGGTTTAAAAATACCTTATCACAACCTGCTGCCATTTGACAGAACTCTTATATCTTAAAAATATATATCAATCAATATTTTTAAAAAGCATATCACATGGGTGGAACACATCTGGAATTTGCTCCTTTCTAGTTTTACTTAATTATGAATTACTAAGTTGACTTACGCTATAGTCTGCCATTTTTTTAAATAAGTTATTTCTAAAAAGATTTTAAACCACTTTAATGAGGTATGATTGGCATGTAAAAAGCTGTACATATTTAATGTATACAACTTGGTGAGTCTGGGGGTGAGTGTACACCCACAAAACTACCACTACCATCAAAGTCAGACGTATCTGTCACCTCCCAGCTTCCTCTTGATGATATGAACAAAGGTAGCTGCCAAAGCAACAGTCAGTGTGGAAATGACCCTGATTAGTTTTGAGCTCCTTTGGATTAAAAATGATCTCTGGCTAAATAAAGATGCACTGGCTGTATATTTGCAAATTTTAATGATCAGGGTAAATTCACAAATAGACTCTGATGTTTACTTAAACAAAAATATAGGGGTGCCCTCCAAGACTCTTTAGTACTAGGTTTTTATTTCCCCTCCCAAATGAGTAAGGATTCCTTGAGAAGGACCTCCAAGGCCATAGCACCTTGGCTTGTACTGAGTTTATATTAGTAAAAACAAAAAATGTTCGTTGAATGACTACTTTAGCAAAGAGAAAAATAATATGGTTTGAACTTTAAGAGACTTTCAAAATTCATGAAAAAATGTAAAGAGCCATACATCTGGGGGCATTTTTATAAGTGTAAAACACCCCCATCCCCACTTAGAAGAGGAGATTAATAACTAGTTCAGTTAACGGTAGGATTAATAACTAGTTCAGCTAAACAGTAGGCCAACACAGTCTACTATGACTTCCAGGGATACCTGTACCCCCAGGAACCGAGGGCCTCACCTGGTCCCCCTGGAACTGCCCCGGCAGCCGCCAGTAAAACGGTTCTGCGTGGACACGCTGCCTGACAGTCACGGCGTCCAGGAGGACATCAGGGGCCTGGTAATACACCCCCTCGGTCGTGCCTCTGAGGTTACTCTGAGAAACCACACGCAGAAGAGGCTGATCTGAGCCCAGAGTTACCTAGTCATGAAAGGGAACAAAAATGCATCTTAGAATACAAATTAACTCCACACTTTTAATTTATCAGATTCTACCACTCTTTCACAGATGAGATAGCTTCATTATTAAGACAGGAATAAGAAAGACTGAAACATCTGGATTAAAATTAGCTACACCTGTTTTACACTATTGCATTTAAGGTCAAACTACTGCTGTACTGGGGCAATGCTCAATTATAGGGTGAAAGCTGAGATGCTGCAGCTTTAGCTTCTCTCTACCTAAAACTTTTAATAGATTAGCCAAGGAGCAACCCTGAGTGCCTTTACTTCCAGCTCCATTTATTTGCTCAGACAGCAGAAACAGAGCTCTGACTCATAATGAACCCAAATTAGCTCCCTAGAATTTATGATGCCATAGGAGCAAAATGTAATGTCTTGACTTGACCATCTCTCCCAACCTCACCCAACTCCCATTGGGAAAGGGGTTTAAAACAGCACATTTTACTGCCTGTGTAACTTACTGGTATCCTGACATAACCCTCCATCTCTGAGCAGAGGTGTGACAGCCCAAAACAGAAGCATGGGGTGCACCCCAAAGGGTTGTCAGTGTAGAGGGCGTAGGTGCCAGCTCGACACTCACTGCATTGAAGGCCGAAGACATTTTCCTAAAGCGAAAAAGTAATAGATTCATTTTCACCTGGGAAAAAGACATGATTTCTGAACACACAGAAATAAAACAAAAAGCAAAAATAATTTTGGATCAACAAACATCCCTGAACTAGCCATTTCCTTAGGCAAGTCCCTAACCGCAGTGAGCACCAGCTCTCTGACTCATCATAATCCCCTGTCTCGGCTGACACTGCCATCGTCTTGGAAGCTTTTGGAATATACAGATTCCCTGATTAGACTCTCCAGAGCTCCAGAACCCTCCTTGAAGCACCAGGAGACTGATGACAGCCGGCGTGCAGACACGGACCAGATGACCCTGAGGTGTGCACACTCTCCATAATGAGAACTGCCATCAAAGGCTGTAAGCCAAAAAACGCCCATTGCTGTTGCCATTTCGCCCAGGCGCTAGCATCCCTATCCTCATCCTCAGGCAGTAATCAACCTGCTACCCTCTGTCTTCCATCTCAGCAGCCCCTGGGAAAGGACCAGAGAAGGTGACCAATGACCTCCTAATAACAAAGCACAATGGGAAAAGATATGGAAGTACATAGAATTAGGTGGGCAGAATTAAGATGTTGAAATCTCATCTCCTGGGAAAATAACACAAATTTCCTTCAGTCTGGCCAGCACATACAAAAGAGTAATTACTTACCAGCCATAAAATCACAAATCTTGAAGCCCTGTTTTATCTATTTTACCTGTATTTTCAAGAAACGTTGGCTACTCAGCCAACTGGAACAGATGACAGAAAACTCAATGTGTTTTTCAAGTCAGTTCCATCATCTGACACCTGTAATCACCAGTAAAAATTCCCTTTAAGGACTCATCCATCCTTCTGGAGAAGCACACACAGAATTTCATTTCAGAGTGAGAAGGCAGCGCCAGCTCATCAGAGAAGTGTCTGAAGCCTAGGTGCTTATTTCAATAAAAGCCCAAATATCATAATGACGGGGGGGAAAGAGGATGAAGGGGATGCCGAAGGCCAATACCTTGCATGAGCAGGTCCCTGTTTCCTCTGCACAGCTGCAAAGATCCTGCTCCTCATCACAGGTGTCTCCCAACGTCCCTCGCAGGTCACAGTCACAGGCCACACAGTCTGGAAAGTCTCTATAGCCCAGGGAGCACCGATTGCAGCTGGGTCCCCCAAATGCAGGCTTACATTGGCAATGGCCAGTGAGTCCATCACACTGATGAATGACTGACCCAACACGACTGCAATTGCAAGCCTGAAAGGAAAAGAACTAAATAAGGAAAAAGCTTCTTTTACATTTGCATAATGTAAACATGTAGGGATGATAAGAGAGCACTAAGCATGGGAAAATTATACCAATGCACGCATGTCTCTCACTACTGCTATCTGGATTCACTTTGCCACATGCCCACAAGAAGCAGGGACTATAGAGCTGGACATTAGTGCATCTTTGTGGCACATGCACACTGAGCCAAAATGACCTGAAATTCATTATACTTAAGAGGTCAAAACAGTCCAGCAACAACCATCTTAGAAGTCAAAGTCAAATTTGCTTTCAAAACACAAACTATATCTAAGTTTAATTGGTGAAAGATAGATAGGAAATAGACCCATTGAAGAGTGGACATAACTCCCAATGAAGTGATTTATGCCCTTCTCCTGCATTGTAGAATATATGTAAAGGGCACTAAAATAAATTTTTGATCTTCTAAAATTCAACAGCTAGGTTCTTGAAGAAAACTTAGAATAACATATTTTAAGGGTTCTGCTCCTTCCACTTTGTTTCCTACAGTCCATACTGAGTTTTAAATATAAACCACGGAGCTATTCAACAGGGTAAGATCAGAAGAAGAGGTAAACGAAAAGGAGTGAAACCTGCTACAGCAAAGTTACTCTCAGCTGAGAAAACAGGTGGAAGCGCACACCTGGCATCCGAGTTCTGGGTTGTGGCCCCAGTATCCGTCCTCACATTCTTCACAGGCCACACCCCGAGTGTGAGGAGGGCAGGTGCATGCTCCGGATGCTGGGTCACAGGTATTCTGGGTGTGAGCACAGTCACAGGCTGCAACAAAGACAGACGGTGTTTCAGACAGCATGGTGGCGCAGCTGCAGGATAAGCCTTCATGTACAGCTATTTCCCTTTTATTAATAATCTAAGTCATTCTTCTAGTTCTTAAAAGAGATTTTGTGATTCCTAAGCTACCTCTGTGTCCCATGGGAGGTGGCTGTTCCTCCAAGTCTAGAGATGCTGCTGAAGGGAGGTCACTGGGCAGAGGGCCAGAAATAGAGACAAGATCGGAGAAGACCCACACGTGCGGGAAGAACAGACAGAGATAATATTTACTGAGCACTTATTGTGTGCCAAATGCCATGTTAAGGGCTTTACATTCAACCTTAAAAACCACTCCTGCATGGAAATTGTGATCAGCTTCTCCATTTTACAGATGAGGAAACTCAAGCTCAGGGAAGTCAAGTAATCTAAGCTCATACAGCCAGTAGAGCCTGACCAAAGCTTATGGACAGACCCAGCAGAGTTGGGAAACAGAAGAAAGGCTTGAAACTGTACATGTGAAAAAGAGAAAAAGTACAGGAACTTAACAGAATTAGTTAGAAGTAAAGGAGAGCTCAAAGAAAGCCTGGGAATTGCATAAAGTCTCAAATAATGAAGTTAAGAGCTTACGTGTACAGCCTCCATCCCTGTAAGCATAGAAGCCGTGTGCACACCTATCGCACCTCTCCCCAGCTACACCTGGGACACAGCGACACTGGCCTTCCTCTGTGCAGTCGTCTGACACGGAGCCCGAAGCGCTGCAGTTACAGGGCAGGCACCCAAACCCTGCGTCCAGTCCATAATAGCCATGCTGTTGCACAGGAGGGACAGAATCATGGAAGCCAAAATATGTTTTAATAAGCGATTAATATCTACTAAAACGTTTCCCAAACCAAACATAGGGTATTTCATAGAACCATAAACTGTTCATGACATCATTCCAACTCCAAATAAACTGAACACATGCTGTCTGCGTCCAGGCACGTGGCATCCGCCAGCAGGGTCTCAGGCAATGGCTTTCTGGCAGCCATGACTTCCATTTCCTTTAATCAATTACAGACATCACAGACAAACACGCTAATCTGTGCATTACCAGCAGGTGTCTTACCAGGCAATGGTCACACTGCTGTCCGCTCACATGTGGTCTGCAGTCACACAGCCCAGTCTCCAGGTGGCAGACACCAGAAAGGGAGCCTTTTCCATGGCATTCACAGGCTGGCACACACACAAAAGACACATTTATGCCCACTTCTGGGTATGATTGTCATAAGATAATTCCCAAAGGGAAGAATTTAAACACTCATGTTTTAAACCATAAAACTAAAAAAAGATACATTACTTCACAATAACCTTAATTATCTCTTATTTCTCTGAAGAATCAGCCAAAAAAGGGTTGGTGGAAGGAACCATCACAAAGAAAAAACTACTGAAGTATTTAAGGTAATAATTAGCTAATGAACTTAAGCAATTCCATGAATTCCTTGAAATGTTTAAAATGATCTGCCAGCGTATGAAAAGGAATCTTCACAAAAAACATGCCATGGAGATTTCAAAATCAATTTATCTATTTGCTCTAATCCCAATTATATATATGGTCAGTATTTTAAAACTCAGTTATAATAATCTAGATAACTAATATTGTATTTCCTTATTTAATGAAAAATATTTCCCTGTTCTAAGTCTTGATTCATTTGTAGTTCTAATATATTTACCTTCTGGCTAGACATTTCAGTGATATCTCCAGTTACAATACTGATAGTTAAAGCTACAAAGTCCCCGCCTTTTCGAAGTGATGCAATTTAACGGGTCCAAGAAATGTTTAATGATATTCAGACCACAATTGTCAATGTGAACTTCATTCAAAATACTTAACGGGTTCACCAAAATATCCCAAGGACATACACTATTTATGAATGCTTGAGCTCAGAAAATGTACACTCTCTGTCATATGGTATAATATATATATATAAATAATATAAGGAAAGGAAAGGAAAGGAAATGTACAAATTATCTCAGGCCAAGCACATAGACTATAGTGGGGGGTGGAGTGCTGGTAGACACTGGAAATTGGAAGGCTGATCGTCAGGAGAAAGGTGGTGGGCTTCTGCCTCCTTCACTGACTGGCCAAGTCTCTCACTGTGGTTTTCCTGGTGTGAGTTGATTGATGTTTACGGCTCCTGTGGGACGCTGGTGGAGTGCCACAGGCCCCACTCCCCACTGCCCACCCCTGTGGCTGACCTGTGAATACTCTAATAACTCTGTATTAAACATGCCTTTTTTTATTTTCTGTATTTCTTATGCCTCAGCATCTGAGGGCTTGCTGATCCTGAAGAGGCAGACTGCCTTTCCCAGCAGTAGTCAGCAGCTAGATGGTAAAGAGTTGGCTTGCCAGGTTACCTTCTCTTGGCAAACAACCAGTGCAGAGCCCACACCCCCTGACGCCTGCTTTGTTGAGCTCTCCCTTTCATTTGCTCTCCCACATTCCGCTCTCCACCCCAGTGGCCATGCGTCAGACACCCAGGGACGGCCCTCGTGCTGCTGCAGTCATTCAAACTAGCCAGTCCTGACCCGAGTTACCCGGCTTGCCCTTAGCTTCCTGCAAAAGCCACAGTAAAGGCTCTAGATCACACTTCCCCTCCTGACCAACCTCAGTGCCTCTCGAGTGCCACCCCCTCCCCATGCCATGGTGTGTCCCCTCCTTCTGGCATCTGTGAGTAAAAAGCGATGTTTTCAATGGTAGTCATCACCTGTTCTGCTGGCCTTGCCATACTAAATAATAATAAAACTTATATTTTAAAAAGCTCCTCAGCATCCCCACCAATTGTCTCTCCGTCTCCCTCCCACTGGCACCATCCGGTCCAACTTCCTGCCTCCTTAGCACCTTGTCTGGTAAAACCACTCTTCCTAAAGTCTTCAGGGACTTTCCAGGAGCAAATTCGATGAGCTGATGCTGTCTGCATCTTGCTGCATCTTTCTATGAGATGGGTGGGACCCATCAGCCACTCTCCCTTTCAGCCCTCATTAGTGTGGCGGTTTTGGGCACTGACTCTTCGGTTTCCTTCCTATTTCTCGTGTATCTCATGGGAAGCTCCCCCTTCCTCTGGGGAAGATTCAAAGTCCACTGTGAGTATGATCATCACAAAATGTTGACAGTAATAAGTCATCTTCATCGTACTGTCTGTGAACTTATGCCTGTCACTTACAGCATTTCACTTATCCTCCCTAGCAAACACAGGAGGGAAGCACTATGATTTTCTCTATGTTTTGAAGTGAAATATAAAACTTAGAAAGATTAGGTAACTTGCCACAGGTCATACAGCTATTAGTAATTATCCTTCTATAGTAACAATTATAATAGTGATTGTTAAGAAGAAACTGTTCATATTATAAGTAATACTAACCTAAAATAATTGCCAATTACTGACTGCCATGTGCATTAGAAATATTTTGATTCTCATAAGAACCCCACAATATAAAATGATGCCCACTTAAATTCTTTTATATATGGTTCCTTTTTATCCTAGAGCTTCAGGGTTCTCACACCCCTGTGCTCCCTCAGTGCCGCCCTCTGCCCTGGACAATTGTATCCACACACAGCAATTCACCAGCAAAAGCTGACTATTATCCTGTCTACATTTCTTCCCTGATTCCTGCACTCCTGAATATCCAAATGCTTTCCCACAGCCCTGGAGGACTTCCTAGGTCAGTAATATCGGATCCTGGGATTTTTGATTGGGTTAACCTAATAAAATATGGTATTATACCTGCATACTGGGGACCTCTGGGAAGTCCATAAAAAAGACCCTTATTATAGACCTGGAAGGACTTCAGTGAAATATCCAGAAATAGTAGGAATCTGTCTCATCAAAGCTGGAGAAAGAGAAAGAGGAGAGGAAAAAAGAATAAAAATTGTAAATGCTCAGAAACTAGAGAGCAGGGACAGTGTTGTCTCTAGCCAGGCCAGCTGCCTGGGCCCACACTGGGAGAGGACACCCAGACCTACTTGTCCCAACCCCACCCTCCACTCATCACCGAGATCTTCCAGATGATGACTTCCCTACTATCCTCATGACAAAGGCTCTACTGGAAGCCCTCCTAATTTTCTTTGAAATATATTGATATACAATAGTGTATTGTTTTTCAATGTACAGCACAGTGATTCAACAACTATAAACACTACTAAATGTCCCCACAGTAAGTCTAGTTATCATCTGTCATCACAGAAATTACAATATTATTGACTCTATTCCCTATGCTATACTTTTATCCCCATGATTAATTTATTTTATAACTAAAAGTTTGTCCCTCTTTATGCCCCTCACCTATTGCACACACCTCCTGCACTTCCCTGGCCGACTCTATTCCCTATGCTATACTTTTATCCCCATGATTAATTTATTTTATAACTAAAAGTTTGTCCCTCTTTATCCCCCTCACCTATTGTACACACCTCCTGCACTTCCCTGGCCCTCTGGCAACTACCAGTCCATTCTCTCTGTTTATGAGTCTATTTCTGTTTTGTTTGTTTTGTTTTTTAGATTCACATATAAGTGAAATTATATGGTATTTTTCTTTCTCTCATTTATTTCCCTCAACATAACACATTAGCTCTCACTAGCAAGATTTGTTTCTGGTTCTGTCCCTCCACTCACCATGTCTATATCTCCTCCACAGTGGTCCCAGGGTGACCACTCGAATGCTGCCTTGCGGGGGAGTCTGAGTCCCATGGCCTGTTGCCTCTGCGTGTGCCTGCCTCTGCCACAGCACTGCCTTCTGCTCTCTAGCTGCTCTCCCCAACCTCTGCACCTCAGACAGAGCCTGCCAACTTGCCTGGATCACATCTCGCCCCTGCTTAGGGGCCTACCTGGGTATCCCATCCCATCCTTCAAACCTCAGATCAAGTGGCACCTCCCCCAGAGGCCATAGTGGAATGCCCGGGACAGATGGAGGTGCTCGCTGTCCCTCTCCTGTCCCCAAGGAGCTTAGTGCACACCCCAGGGACATCATTCCATATCCTAGAGGCTGGCCTGTCCCCCACGTGGGCCTCTGGCTACACTTGTCTCCTGGGCCCTGGAGATGTGATTGATGCAGCAGAAAGGAATGGAATCTCTAATTTAACTTAAATTATAGACATGGCCCAGCAATTTGGAACAGACCCAAATCCTGCCTGTTCTGACCCTCTTCCTTGCACCTTCCATTCACACCAAGTCCTATTTTAAGTTTTCTCTTCTATCCCCATGCAAAATAACAAAGCAGTTTTGTCAATGTGGATACAAATATTAAAGGAAAATTATTTTTTGGTCACTACGGAAAATTTTAAATACATTTGAACAATTTGGGTATGTGAATCAAGTTTGCAGCTATGAATTTTATGTAATCTAAGTATAGATCAGGTAGTTATGATGAAAATTCAGCAGCCTAGTTGAAATAGGCTATAAAAAATACACTGAATTTTGTAGTTCTATTGCTTAAAAAAAGAAAGCAAATGTCTCATCAATACTTTAAAATTTTGAATATGTGACAAAATGATTCTATTTTTATAGTCAGGGAAAATAAGATACATTATTAAAATATATTTCATCTGCTTCTTTTTGTTCTCCTTAATGTGATTACTAAAGAATTTAAAATTATAAGTGTTGTTTACATTTCTACTGTGCAGCATTGATACAGGAAAACAATAAAAAGTACTATTCTTAATGCTGGCAATTATAATAGCTACCATTTATTTAATGTCTGGAACTTTAAATTTGTTATCCCATTGACTTCTCAAAAAGGCCTCAATATATACATATAACTATGTCCATTTTATGCATGAGGAAATAGTGGCTCAGAAGGTTAATAAATTTTCCCAGTGTCACAAAGCTGGTCAGTTACCAACTCTGGGCTCTAACCATATCTCTTCAGACTCCAAAACCTGAAATCCACACATGTGCTTTTCTTCTACACCATCACACATACCTCCCCAACAGATCTGAGCCATAATTTACCAACTCCTATCACAGACCTTAGTATATATAGTTCCTGGGAAATATCAGACACTTAATAATAATGACAAATAAATGAAGGAATGAATCATCAGAATTTGCAGTAAAGAGGAAAATAAATGACATGAGAATTGTGAAAGCATTCTGTAAGCTTGAAAGCTTTATGCAAATAACAGCTATCATAATTATCCTCCTATGATAACCCATCAAGGCACCACGCTGAAGAGCAAGTAGATCAGCCAGTTATAAAACTTGTTAATCCTTTGTGCACCTGAAACTATCTTTTCTGTATCACTAGCACCCTCTTGTGTCTCCATGTTATAACAGCAAAGCAGGATTTCAGCATAAATAGGAATATCAAAACGATTCCTATAAATAGGAAATCAGAACAATTTCTCATTGCCATTTTTTCTCTTTCACTCCTTCAAGAACTGTGCAAAAAAAGTCTGAGGGCTGAACCTGCTCTAAGGCCATAAGTTCGTCATCTCAGGCATGTGGAAGTTGCGAGTGAGCTCTGCACTATCCATAATTTCAGACATGGAAGCAGGGCTCTGCAGAACAAGAGTCTGTAGTTCAGACATGGGCGGCAAAAACGTGCTGGTTTCCAGGGTTAGAGTCTCCCCATTTTCCACTCCATATCTTGAAATCCCCTCTGCCTCACAAAGGTGGCAGGCTCTGATCCCCGCCCTTCCTTATCTCAGTAGCTGGGAGCAGGGCTAGCACTTTGTGAAGCACGACCTTCTCCTTTGAAGGCAGGAGGCTTCTAGGCCATCTGACCTTCATTTAGAGCAACTACCCAAGCTGACACCGGGCAAACAGAAATTTAGGTCTGGAGTCTTTGCCTGGCACTAGCAGAAGTACCACTCAATATGAAATTACCTCATGGGTGAGCCATTTAGACACAATATGAAAGTTGGTAGATGGACGGAGACTACACATGGCCATTAGTAATGGACTTGACTTCACGCCTGCACACTCACCTCGGCAGTTTTTTGCAGTCACTGCATCCCCATAGAACCCGTCGGCACACCTCTCACAGTGGGCGCCATCCGTGTTCCCGATGCACTTCAGGCATTCCCCGGTGACTGAGTCACAGTGCCCGACCTCGGAGGGGTCCACATTGCCGCTGCAGTTACATGGCGTGCAGGATTCTCCAGGCACTGTTGGGTTTCCATAGTAACCGTCTGCGCATCTGCATAGAAGATTGAAGGAGGGATGCAAATAAATGCAATTACTCTAGACATTATCCCACCATCCGGAGACTGAACAGGTAATAAATCAGGCCGACTCTTTCTACGTAAGATTTGTGTGAAAGCAATGGCAACCCCAGGTTCTGGCATTTGCAGACTTCCTCCGCTCACTGTGAACACAGAGCGTGCGTCCAAAAGGAGCCATAAATCCAAGGGGCTGCGCCCCTAGCCCCAGGCCAGTTACACCAGCACCCTGTGACTCAGGGATGCCATGCAGCTCTCCCGTGGACATAAGCCAGAGCTCAGCACCCAGACTTAATAGGAAAAGATGACATTAGCTTTCAGACTCCAGAACAACTAATAAATCAAACCACTCTTCACCACGGAATTATCCAGGTAATGGGATTTAAAATGTGTGAACAGTAAATACTGACTCCTTGCTATTTCCCGTTGTTATTGATAAGAACTCAGATTAGCTTGAGATCAATGCTGTTCTTGAAATATTCCTGGGGAGTTTTCATGTTTTTTTAATCAATACACTGGTTTTTCTCTATACTTATGTGAAATAATCATTACACACCAAAATTCCAAAACCACACCTAACTACACATTTAAAAATAAACACATATGATTTATGTTTAATTTTTAAAACTTTAATGCAACTTTGGGAAACCAGTTAAGCAATGCAGAGTACCTCTCGCACCAAGTCCCCGAGTATCCCAGGGCACATTGGTCACAGACCACTTCGTCTCCATTGTCTAGGTGGCAGGTGGGGCTGAAGCTGTGAAAACATTAGGAACGAAAGAAATTTTCCAATAAACGGTGCAAAACTTCTAAAAATGTAAAATGCTTAATTTCTACCATTCCTGCACATACAAACTTTCAATGGGTCCCCATAAGCCTCGCTTGTGGGTACTGGGCAGCCATGCTCCTGGCTCCTGCTTGTCCTTCAGTCCAGAGGGCACTCCTCCTCTCTGCCTGGGCTACGATGCTCCTGCCACTCTACATTCCTGCCCTCCAGGCTTGCTGGCACTGGTCTGCCTACCGCGGAGCCCTGCTTGCACTGGCCAAGAGTGAGCTCCAGCTGGCACGCTGCAGTAACCAAGGGTCACCAGAGGCCCCACGGCTGACTGAGGTCCCTTCAAACTCCATGCCTGGGTCTTGGGGAGCCCAGTGAAGGGAGGAGGGGGAAAGCTGAAGTCCCCTAACATTTTATCAGAGTAGCCCTCATTGTATGTTTTATTCTCTGAAGTTTTATGTAAAAATCCCCAAGGGGGAATTCTTTGGGCATGGGTGGAGGGAGAGCTCTAAAGGTAACCTAGTGGGAAAAAAAGAGGCTTTCAGACCGCTGGCTTGAGGGACATACAGGCCCCAGCGTGCTGTACAAGGCTGGCCCAGATGGCTCCCTGCTCCTCCCCTCGTGCGTTGTGCCCCCCGACTAGCTGCAATTCCTCCAGCAGGACCTGCTCCTTTATGCTGCCAGGCCTTGACACACTCAGTTTCCTCGGCCTGGAAGCCCTTCTCTGCTGCCTTCAAAGCCCTTCTCACTCTTCAAGTCCCAGATCAAGAGACTCCTCTGAGAGTCAGTCCGGCAGATTCTCACCGTACAGGGGACAGACTCCATGGCACTCAGCCCCGCTTCTCCGAGCACCTACCATGACACCCAGTGTATGGTAGGCGCTCCATAAATATTTGTTGAATCAACAAATGACCTCAGCCCATTCTCAAAGAGCCTCATATTTACATATTTTGGTCATTAGATCAAAGTCTCTTTTCCTTCAGGAACCACAGTTTATTCATTTCTCTCCTCTCCTCCTCCTAGCCTGGCAACAGGCACACAGTATGTACTTGTGAAAGAACTGATGGCCAACATGAGACCTAGAGTCTTTGCCTAGAGAATAATCCAAATGCTTTTTTCTTTTTTTAAAGAGAGTCAGCCTCTCTGTCTTTAATTCTAATAATTACCACCAGGCAAAACTTTCACTCTCATTACACACACAGTTTGCTCTGATGATATCAGTACGTATATGAATGGCAATCCTGGCTACACTGGGCCGGGTCTGCTGGTGGAGGTGACGGGCTTACTTATTGGTGGCTGTGGAGAGGGGACAGGCACACGGCTGGCAGTCCCCAGGAGTCCCTCTAGAAGGCAGCCCATAGAAGCCAGGCACACACTGCTCACAGTGGTTCCCCGTGGTGTTGTGCTCACATGCCTAGGACACATGCATGAGAAGAAAACTCAGCTCAGAGTTCCCTAAAGGATTCTCAGATTCATTTATAAATAACTTGAAGTCCAAGCAGAAAAAAAAAAAGACAAAATGCTAAAACAAGTCACCAAACTGTTATGTGAGGGAGGAGAGGTTGCCATATTGACTATTGAAAATGTAAGTTGTATAAAAGGGATGTGTAAGAACTTTCACTCCCGACCATGGTGGGCTAAGTGGTACCAGATTTGGTACTCTTCCTGTAGGAAACAGCTGGGAAACTAGAACAAAACTTATCAGACAACTCTTCTCAGACCCTGGACAACAGAGTGTGCAGGTGTGTGATCCCTGAGAGAAGGGAGACAATGGGATGAGTCCTTGGAACTGCATGTCTTTCTGCTGGCGACACATGCCAAGCTGGGGTAGGGGAGAGTTATGGAGACAGAGGTCAGAATCTGGGGAAGCTGAAACCACTGGAATTTGGGCCAGGGAATGGAGCTTCATAGAGTAAGATTATAGTACAGGGCTGCATGCCAACCAATTAGGCATGGAGGAAGTGCTGGGACTAGAGACCTATCCTTTTGCAAACATCACAGTAAGTACTGGTTGGGCAAAACCCATCAATGACTGCTAAGTCAAGTGGGAATTTCAATAAGGAATAGGATACTTGCAGGCTCTTAGTGTCTCCCTCGGACTGCTTAGTAATGGCAAAAGAAAAGAGTAGTAAATATATAGTGGAGAACTTGACCAACACCTGGCCTGTGTAACTGGAATTAACACAGTTGAGGGGTGCTGGACATTGTGGACTTTCACATGCAGTGCTCTGAGAAAGACACGGCACTGCTAATGAGGTAGCCTGGCCTGAAAGGTATAGCCTGAATCTAGTTACGGGAAAAAAAAAAGAGAAGAACCCCAAATAAGGGGCATTTTATATATTCTATGATTCATTTTAAGGAAACTAAAGAGACATGATAATAAAATGCAATTCTCAATCCCAGATGGGGGCCTATAATGGGGGGAAAGTGTTATAGAGGACATAATGAAGTCAATTATGAAGTTGAAAAATAGATGGTAAATTAGAAAATTAGAGTATCAGTGTTAAATGTATTGATGTTGATAACAATTTATAAAGGAGAAACTCCTTATTCTTAGGATATACACAGAAGTATTTGGTGATAAATGGACATAGCATATGCAATTTATTCTCAAACAGTTTAGAAAAAAATGCTATGATTAGGTAATGAGAATAATAAAGCAAACAGAGAAAATGTTAACAGTAAGTAAATCTGAATACACTATTCTTATTCCTATGACTTTTGTATTAACAAAATTATTTCCAAATAAGGTGTTTTTTAAATGGGGGATAATACCTAGGAGATATAAGAAGCCAAAAACAAAAAAAAAACAAAACAAATATGATGACAACCAGGAGAAAAATCTAAAAAGCAAGCAGAAAAAAGACATAACACACAAGAATCATGTTGATAATAATTACTACTGACTTTTCATCTGAGATGATGAAAGCCATAAGCAAACAGAACAACTTTCAAGTACTGAAAGGAAAATATGTGAAAACATCTTTCAAAATAAAAGGCAAAAGAAAGTCTTTTTCAGATAAGCAAAAGATGGGAGAATGTGTCAGCAAGAGACATTCTCTGTGTCTGAAAAAGATTCAGGTGACACGTTGCTGATCCTCAGACAACATTTTGGTAGCACATCTTAGACTCAGTGTTTTTTTCTCCCCATCCCCCATATGACCTTGATTTTGGTAATAAAGCCAAACAAAAATGCAACTGGCCTTTGTAAATAGCCACATGTATTACATGAATTAACTAGCTTCATTAAAATATATTTGATTATGCTTGCTTGCAAATGTCTATGATATACTTTCTTTGCTCAAAGGGCCAGATAGAGTTTTTTTCTCACTGGAAAAACTATTAGGTAGTTTACTGAAAAACCTGGTGAGGGTGTGTTTCAGTGTCTCCTCAGGCGTGTGCTGCCATCCTGTTAAGTGATCATGTTAGTTGGTGGATCTGGTTCATGAAGGCATGAAAAAGCTCATCTCCCTAGAATGGAAAAACTTCTCTTGATTGGAAAAAGAAAAACGTGAAGGCCAGAGACCTCCACAACTGCACATTAGGCCCCTTTCTTGCAAGAGAAAGGTGCTGGTTTCTCCCTGGGATACAAGCAGAAAGCTCAGAGGAGAATAGGACCAAGGTAAACCATGGCCTTTGAGTGGTAATGATGTATCCATGTGGGTTCACCAGCTGTAACAAATGCACCACCCTGTTGGGGATGTGGATCATGTGAGAGGCCTTAGATGTAGGAGGCCAGGGCAGGGGATGTATGGGAACTCTCTGAATCTTCCCCTCAATTTTGCTGTAACTAAAACTACTCTTCAAAAATAGTCCTGAAAAAGAACAGATGCACTAAATACAACTGGAACCCTCTCTTTAATAAACTGTATGTAAGGAGTTAGCTCCTATAAGCTAGATAGCTATGTACAAGGCCAAAAGCTATAAACAGAAGGAAGAGTTAGAAGGTTTCTTTAAAATAGAAGAAAAGCAAAGTTAGACTAAGGAGATAAATGATGCTACCGAGTTTCTCTATTTTCTTAAATTCCAATCTGGCTTTCTATTATTTTTGCCTGTCAAACATTACTTAGAAAGGAAAAATAATAACTTTATAACAGAAAAAGCTGGCAGAGTCCACCTTATCTGGGTGAGTCAGGCTCACTTTCTTAGGAAGAAGACAGTGGCATTGCACACCCCTGGCAGCACGCACTGAGAGGGCACATCACCTCCAAGTCTTCTTGCTGAAAATGCATAACCTAATCCTGGTCGTAAGAGAACAGACTTCTGGAGAATGTCCAGCCCTCTTCAAAAGAGCCACAGTCATGAAAGACAAGGAAAGGCTGAGCAACTGTCAGACTGAAAGAGGCAAGGCCACGAAATGCAGTGTGGGATCCTGGGTTTGATGTTGGAAAATAAAAAGGGACATGAATGAAAAGCAAATGAAATCTGAATGATGTCTCTAGTGCTGTTGATTGGATTGCACCAGTGTTAATTTCTTTGATACCTATATCATGATTATTAACTGTACTATGATAACATCATGGGAAGCACAGGGAAGGTTACACAGTAACTCTCTATATGATTTTTGTGAATATTCTGTAAATCTAATATTTCCAAAAAAAATTTAAATTATAAAAATTGTTATCTATTGTAATTAGAGCTTTAAGGCCAGCTTTAAGGCAAATACTCGTTCTGTGTACCTGTACCTAAAGCCAGAGGTATCACAACCACGACCTGCCGACCACCTCCCAAGTGCTGGCAGAGGCCTCTGAAAGGCTGGTTTTGAGAACCCAAACGGCAAAGGGAGAGACATTTTTAAAAATCAACAACCTCATCAAGCCGTGAGAAGCTGTGTGCCTGAGAGATAGAGTGCAAACCGTCATTTCACGGTTTCTGCAGACACTTCCTTTATAGAACAAATGAACCGGAAACCAAATGAAGACTTTACTTACAAGAATCAAGAAAAATAAGGCACTAGGGAGAATAAGCAACCCATGGCATCATGCCAAGATCTTCTCTGTTGGTCTGATAATTTTCCGTAGCCCTATAACTCAATCAACATCTTTTGGGAGGAGTATGACCATTTCCTTGTACAGTGAATAGGCTTCAGCTGATTAACACATGTATTTTCTCCAAATCTGTGCAGTGAATCCATTAGAACTCTGGAGTGTGGCCTGGATTCCAGGCATAAGATCCTAAAGGAATTCCTCATTGAAGTTAAAAAACAAGTCTTGCCCTGTATCTGCCCCAAAGTTCATTCTCAAGATAAACTACATATTTGTTAAGTCCTGTTTCAATTCATATTGCATGAAAGAGGTACTTGTTTGAAGAGTTTATTCTAGCTAACAACTATAAAGTATTACACACTGTGCCAAGAGGAATGATTATTAGAAGTTGTATTATTTCTCTTATTATATACTATGTAATGTAATGTTAACAAATAGTAGGACTTTCATTTAAAAGACACACCCTAATCAGTGAACATTTCTGCCTTTCCATTCTTTTATAATCTTGCAAAGTAAATAATTAGTTTTCATTGTTTGGATAAAAAATCTGCAATGAAATTACATATTTCTTTTCCATTATCACCAAAACAACTTTTTTATTAAAGAAAGGGTAAAAAGCAGGAAACTTCTTTTTTAATGACATGCACTTAAATCTACAAATTTCCTTTGGGGTCTGTAAGGGCAGGGATATTCTGCTGTGGAGAAAGCATTTCTTAAAAATCATTTCTGTGTAGCAGATGGCTTTGGGATGGGTAGGAGGGGGCATTCAGGTTTAAGCAGTAGACTCACAAAGCAAACGCCATGAATATCACACTCAGCTGCATGGCCGTGGCATTCACAGGGTTGACAAATTCCTCCAAAGAGTATTCCATCCACACGGTAGTAGCCAGGGAGGCAGGACTGTAAAAGAACGACAGTGGCCCAAGCTGGTGAAGGCCACTTTGCACATTACACAGATCATCTTGTTTCCCATACATTGGAAACCCAACTTGCTCAATTTTCCATGAGAATTCAAGCTTCTTTCTTTCCTCTCTGTTTTTTTTTTGCCAAATATCTTTACTGAGGTATCACTTACATGCTATAAAATGCACCCATTTCAAGGGTACAATTCAATGATTTTTTTAGTAAACTTACCAAGATGTGCAACCACCACCATAACCTAGCTGCCTGTTTCTTTTTTAAATTGAAGTATAGTTGATATACAATATTACATTGGTTTCAAGAAATCAACAAAAAGTTTGACAGTTATCTACTATATTAGATGTGCCCTCCAACTAGTGCAGTTACTATTTGTCAACATAGGAAGATGTTACAGTATTACTGACTACTATTCTCTGGGCTGGATTTTCATCCCTGTGGCTAATCTATATTATGATTGAGATTTTATGCCTCTTTATCCCCTTCACCTATTTCACCCACCCACCTCATCCTCCCCCATCTACACATTTCCTCCCCCATGCTTCATTTCTTTTTAAAGCTAAAAATATGCACACAAAACTTAATGGCTATACGATGAGTCAGCATATACTCTAGCGGTGTTCCACTGCAATACATAACACTCAGCCATTTAACCAGTATTTCAATAAAAAGGACTTTTTCTCTTAACTTTATTTTTCTTTTGCTTAAAATGCGTTACATGTTGCCATCAAAGTGTTCAAGTAGGTCGGTGTCCAACTACATCAGTTGAATGGAGCTAACGTTACAGTGCACTTCCTGTGGGCTAAGTGTGGATAGGCCACGTGGGCATTCAAGGACTTCCCTCTGACAGTGAGGAGCAGGGACGACCCACTCAGACACAGTAATTCATTTAATCCTCACAATAACCCTGAGAAAATTCTGTCTGTTTCATAGACGTGGGATCTGGAACACAGAGCACTTTGATACGGTGCATGCTGTGCCATTGGAATGACTCCAAGTCAGATGTGTGCACATTCAAGGCTCACATCCATGGGGCTGCCCAGGGCTGCGGCCACATGAACTCGGAGGCCAGCACAATTCCACGGTGGCATGAGAGGTGGTGTGGATTGCTTTTTAATTCTTATAAAAACTCTTGAGAGTATTTTGTTTATACAAATAATGTATTTGCATTATAATGCATTATAAATGCATTCATTCCCACTGACCTTGTGCAAGTCCCCTAGTGCCTCCACAAAGGCCCTCAGGGACAGCAGCCCCGAGTGGGCAGCTGCTGGGGGTCAGGGTGGCTGCTACCATGTTGTTAAGAATGCCATTCCTGACCAATAGCTGTCTGCCTCTTTAAGTTACCTTCTGAGTGAGTTTGATGAAAGAATGAGTCCTTCTATGGAGCAGACTTGGAAATGTGTAGCGCGTTCCTCATGCTTGCTGAGCCATCATGCCATGCACACAGCAGTTTCCCTCTGCAGCCCTCTGCTCCCTGCTGCCCCTCCTGTCTAGCTGGCTCCACTTTCGACTTCTGTGATTCCCCTGCTTTACCTGTCAACTCTTCTATTTCCACATCCCACACACTAGCCTTAGGGGCACTCATCCACCAAGCACTATATAATTAGGACCGACAAACATTTCCTGGGCCTAAAAAATAAATGTTTGAGATCTTAAAAAAGTCCATTAATTCAAAAAAACCCTGAAAAATATTTAAAATAGAATTAGAAATATTTAATTAAATATCTATAGCATTAGGTCAACTTTATCAACTACAAAGTTGGTAATTGATAAAGATTCATAAAAGCAATTATAGGGTAAAGGTTCACTTTGTAAAAATGATTTCCAAGAAATCACAATGACTTATGTTCATAAGCACTGTCACTCATGAACACAGGAAAGGCAGGATCATGTGGTGGCAAACAGCACAGGTGAAGTTCAAGTCCTGATACGACCACTTTCTAGCTCTTTCCTATGGAAAGAGGTTAAGATAGTGCCAAACACATAGAAAATTCTCAGTAGGAGAGAGTTGTTATGAATATTATGTCCAAATAATTTCAAAATATATTTCAAAATGTTTTTAGCAACACATTACTTTTATTGATGATTGCCAAGTGAATATTCATTTACTTCACACCTAAGCAAGAGCCAGGGATGATAAAAAGCCTCAGAACAGAGCTGTGTTGTCTAAAACTTTTCAGTTTGCATGTTGGTGATTTGTAAATGTTCAAATACAATTGAATTCAATCTTCCTTAGAAATGCAAAATGCACTATGAGCATCACAGCTCTCTTGTTGAATAAGGCAGGAGAGCAGGCCTAAGTCAGTGCATTTCCTGGTGCCCAGTCCACCTGGAAGAGGCACCAGATTCCTTTAAACAATTCAACTTCCGATATTCTTAGATCTTTCAAAGTCTGAAACAAACATTGGGTTCTATAGCTATAATTCAGATGTGGGTAATTACATCATCTTCAAAGCACTTTTTCCCTCTTTGGAAAAAACAAAAACAGGCACATAGGGAGTCCTACCTCACAGGAGATCCCTGCATAGCCGTGGGGACATTCACAGTGCTCCACCTCAGTGGCCAGGGCCAGGTCTATAACGTTAGGGCTAGCTGTGTCCAGAGAGACAGAATCCAGCCTACAAATAGACAGGCATCATTACATGACTTAAACCCTCACAAACAACATCTAACACCTTGATGAAGATGGATTCTTAAAACACGATTTAATCAAACAAAATGTTGATATGAATTTTGTAAGAAACTAAAGATTTTCACAAAAATATGCTTTCTAGGAACTGTCATTATTCCCCGAAAACACATCAACATTTGGTGCAAAGACGAGCTATAGCCCAGTCAACTGCAGGAAAGGTCTGATGTGCATTCTGGGTTGAAGCACTTCAAAAAAATGAATCCATCCAATCTTCTTATCTCTAATACAGAGATTGCCCTTCAGTGTATAATTCTGTGTTTGCTTTAGCTGCATCCAACACACATGCTTAGCCTGGCATTGCCAGAAATTGACCTTTTCAAAGTAATAAAATGACTAAGGATGGAACCATTAACTTCAATAGACTGTAAAATCTAAGACCATGAACATCAGAGCCTGAAAACCAGATGAACATAGCCAAGACAGCTGCCAACTCATCATGCATTTCTCAGAAAACCACCCTGACAGTTTCTGATGATGACACCAAGTCTATCTCCTACTAGATAGATGAACAACTATTCTTAGATCTTCAATAAAATTATAGCAATAAAAAATAGTTTAAAGATAGCCACTTCCATTAAATGTGTCCTGAAAATAATCAAGTAAAATCTATCAAGCTTAAAATATATAATAAAGGAGATTAAAGATGGCAGTGTGAGAAGAGCGATAGAGGCTTCCTCTTAGAACTGCATACAATTCAAAAATATACTTGGTGCAACTAAGCTTGAGAGAGCAACAGGAAAGAGGACTGTGATAGACTGCATACATCCGGAGAAAAGAGCAGACCTCATGGAACAGAGTAACGTACCAAAGCTGTGGCCTGGCGAGATCCAAGCCCTTCCCCCACCCCAGCTCACCGGTGGGAGGAAGAGAAACGGAGTGGGGAGGGACTGGAAGGCCTGGGACTGCTGAATACCTAGGTCTGGAGATCTGCTCTGGGAGCACAAACCTACATTTCATGGTGCTTTCATGATACTCGCGTGATTACGGGGTTGGAAAGCTAATACAGGCAGAATTCCTAGAAAGACTGAGATTTCAGCCGCTTGTGGAAAGCAGGGATCCACATCCAGCTGCTCTGGGATAAAAGCTTATACCTGTGTGACCGGTCCACTGGCTCAGGCAGTGGAGACAGGCATAGCAGCTGGGAAGCAGGAAACAGCTCTTTCCTCCCCCCAGGCACCAGTACCGCTCCCCTGCGACCCCCAACATTGCTTCAGGGGCTGAGAAGCTCCAGAGTAGAGCTTCTGGACACTACAGGGCGCCATATACAATATGAAACGCCAAAGGAACCTGGTCCAAAGTAAAATTAATATAACTCCAGAGAAAGATTTAAATGACATGGACCTTGTGACTCTTCCTGAAAGGGAGTTCAAAATAAAAATCATCAACACTAATGGAGATACAGAAAGACATCCAAGAACTCAGGAATGAATTCTGGTTGGAGATCCAATCGTTGAAGAGCACAATGGAGGGTATTAAAAGCAGGCTGGATATGGTGGAGAAGATGATAAATGAAATAGAAACTAGAGAAGAGGAATACAAAGAAGCTGAGGCACAGAGAGAAAAAAGGATCTCTAAAAATGGAAGAATATTGAGAGAACTCTGTGACCAATCCAAGTGGAACAATATTTGCATTATAGGGATACCAAAAGAAGAAGAGAGAGAGAAAGGGATAGAAAGTGTCTTTGAGGAGGTAGTTGCTGAAAACTTCCCCAATCAGGGGAAGGAGATAGTTTCTCAGGCCATGAAGATCCACAGATCTCCCAACACAAGGGACCCAAGGAAGACAACACCAAGACACATAGTAATTAAAATGGGAAAGATCAAGGATAAGGACAGACTGTTAAAAGCAGCCAGAGAGAGAAGTAAGATCACATACAAAGGAAAGCCCATCAGGCTAACATCAGAGTTCTCAACATAAACTTTACAGGCCAGAAGGGAGTGGCATGATGTATTTGATGCAATGAAGCAGAAGGGCCTGGAACCAAGATTACTTTATCCAGCAAGATTATCACTTAAATTTGAAGGAGGGATTAAACATTTACAGATAAGCAAAAGCTGAGAAAATTTACCTCCCACAAACCATCTCTATAGTCTATTTTGGAGGGACTGCTATAGATGGAAGTGTTGCTAAGGTTTAATAGCTATCACCAGAGGTAATAAAGCCACAGTAAAGAAAGTAGAACAGCTAATTACTAAGCAAATGCAAAATTAAATTAAATATCCCCAAAGTCAATCAAGGGATAGACAATGAATACAGAATATGATACCTAATATACAAAGAATGGAGGAGGAAGTAAAAGGAGGAGAAAAAGAAAAGAACCTTTAGATTGTGTTTGTAACAGCATATTAAGTGAGTTAAGTTAGACACTTAGATAGTAAGGAAGTTAACCTTGAGCCGTTGGTAACCACAAATCTAAAGCCTGCAATGGCATAAGTACGTGCCTATCGATTATCACCCTAAATGTAAATGGACTGAATGCACCAATCAAAAGACATAGAGTCACTGAATGGATAAAAAAACAAGACCCATCTATATGATGCCTATAAGAGACTCACTTTAAATCCAAAGACATACACAGACTAAAAGTGAAGGGATGAAAAAAGATATTTCATGCAAGTAAAAGAGAGAAAAAAGCAGGAGTTACAGTACTTGTATCAGACAAAATAGACTTCAAAACAAAGAAAGTTAACAAGAGACAAAGAAGGAGATTACATAATGATAAAGGGGTCAATCCAACAAGAAGATATAACCATTATAAATATCTATGCTCCCAACACTGGAGCACCCACATATGTGAAACAAATACTAACAGAAATAAAAGGTGAAATAGAATGCAATGCATTTATTCTAGGAGACTTCAACACTCCACTCACTCTGAAGGACAGATCAACAGATGGACCTAACAGAAATCTACAGAACTCTACACCCAAAAGCAGCAGAATACATTCTTCTCAAGAGCACATGGAACATTTTCAAGAATAGATCATATGTTAGGCCACAAAAAGAGTCTCAGTAAATTCAAAAAGATTTAAATTGTACCAACTAGTTTCTCAGACAACAAGGGTATGAAACTAGAAATAAATTACGCAAAGAAAATGAAAAATCCCACAAACACATAGAGGCTTCACAACATGCTCCTAAATAACCAATGGATCAATGACCAAATAAAAACAGAGATCAAGCAATATATGGAGACAAATGACAACAATAATTCAACACCACAAAATCTGTGGGACGCAGCCAAGGCTGTGCTAAGAGGAAAGTATATTGCAATACAGGCCTACCTCAAGAAAGAACAATCCCATATAAGCAGTCTAAACTCACAATAAATGAAACTAGAGAAAGAACAACAAATGAGGCCCAAAGTCAGTAGAAGGAGGCACATAATAAAGATTAGAGCAGAAATAAATAAAATTGAGAAGAATAAACAATAGAAAGAATCAATGAAAGTAAGAGCTGGTTCTTTGAGAAAATAAACAAAATATATAAGCCCCCAGCCAGACTTATCAAGAAAAAAAGAGAGTCTACACACATAAACAGAATCAGAAATGAGAAAGGAAAAATCACTACAGACACCACAGAAATACAAAGAATTATTAGAGAATACTATGAAAAAGTATATGCTAACAAACTGGATAACCTAGAAGAAATTGACAACTTTCTAGAAAAATACAACCTTCTAAGGCTGACCAAGGAAGAAACAGAAAATCTGAAGAGACCAATTATCAGCAAAGAAATCGAACTGGTAATCAAAAACATACCTAAGAACAAAACACCTGGACCAGATGGTTTCACCACTGAATTTTATCAAATATTTAGTGAAGACCTAATACCCATTCTCCTTAAAGTTTTCCAAAAAACAGAAGAGGAAGGAATACTTCCAAACTCATTCTATGAAGCCAGCATCACTAATACCAAAACCAGGCAAAGACACCACAAAAAAGAAAATTACAGACTACTATCCCTGATGAACATAGATGCAAAAATACTCAACAAAATATTAGCAAACCATATTAAAAAATACATCAAAAAGATCATCCATTTATTTATTCCAGGGATGCAAGGATGGTACAATATTAAAAAATCCATCATCATCCAACGCATCAATAAAAAGGACAAAAAACCAAATGATCATCTCCATAGACACTGAAAAAGCATTTGACAAAATTCAACATCCATTCGTGATAAAAACTGTCAGCAAAATGGGTATAGAGGGCAAGTACCTCAACATAATACAGGCCATATATGACAAACCCACAGCCAAGATTATACTTAACAGCAAGAAGCTGAAAGCTTTTCCTTTAAAATCGGGAACAAGACAAGGATGCCCACTCTCCCCACTTCTATTCAACATAGTTCTGGAGGTCCTAGCCACGGCAATCAGACATCACAAAGAAATAAAAGGCATCCAAATTGGCAAGGAAGAAGTTAAACTGTCCCTGTTTGCAGGTGACATGATATTGTACAAAAGAAATCCTAAAGAATCCACTCCAAAACTACTAGATCTAATATCTGAATTCAATAAAGTTGCAGGATATAAAATTAATACACAGAAATCTGTGGCATTCCTATACACTAACAATGAACTAGCAGAGGGAGAAATCAGGAAAACAATTCCATTCACAATTGCATCAAAAAGAATAAAATACCTAGGAATAAACCTAACCAAGGAAGTGAAAGATCTATATTCTGAAAACTACAATACACTCATGAGAGAAATTAAAGAAGATATCAATAAATGGAAACACATTCCATGCTCATGGATAGGAAGAATTAATATTGTCAAAATGGCCATCCTGCCTAAAGCAATCTATAGAGTCATTGCAATTCCTATCAAAATACCAACAACATTCTTCAATGAACTAGAGAAAATCATCCTAAAATTCATATGGAACCACAAAAGACCTCGAATAGCCAAAGCAATTCTGAGAAGGAAGAATAAAGCAGGGGGAATTACGCCCCTTTTGCTGGCAAAAGTTGAAAACAGCTACATGCAAGAGAATGAAACTGGATTATTGCCTAACCCCATAGACAAAAGTAAACTTGTAATGGATGAAAGACCTGAATGTAAGTCATGAAACCATAAAACTCTTAGAAGACAACATAGGCAAAAGTCTCCTGAATATGAGCATGAGCAACTTCTTCCTGAACGCATCTCCTCGAGCAAGGGAATCAAAGCAAAAATGAACACATGGGACTACGTCAAACTAAAAAGTTTCTGCACGGCAAAGGACACCATCAACAACAAAAAGGCATCCTACAGTATGGGGGAATATATTTGTAAATGACATATCTGACAAGGGCTTAACATCCAAAATATATAAAGAATTTAGATGCCTGAACACCCAAAAAGCAAATAACCCAATTAAAAAATGGGCAGAGATTATAAAGAGGCAGTTCTCCAAAGAAGAAATTCAGATGGCCAACAAACACATGAAAAGATGCTCCACATCACTAATCATCGGGAAATGCAAATTAAAACCACAATGAGATATCACCTCACACCAGTAAGGATGGCCAACAGAGAAAAGACTAAGAACAACAAATGCTGGTGAGGATGTGGAGAAAGGGGAACCCACCCAAACACTGCTGGTGGGAATGTAAGCTAGTTCAACCATTGTGGAAAGCAATATGGAGGTTCCTCAAAAAACTAGAAATAGAAATACCATTTGACCCAGGAATCCCACTCCTTGGAATTTACCCAAAGAATACAACTTCTCAGATTCAAAAAGACATATGCACCCATATGTTTATTGCAGCAGTTTTTACAATAGCCAAGATATGAAAGCAATCTAAGTGTCCATCAGTAGATGAATGGATGAAGAAGATGTGGTACATATACACAATGGAATATTATTCAGCCATAAGAAACAAATCCTACCATTTGCAACAACATGGATGGAGCTGGAGGACATTATGCTCAGTGAAATAAGCCAGGTGGAGAAACAAAAATGCCAAATGATTTCCCTCATTTGTGGAGTGTAACAGTGAAGCAAAACTGAAGGAACAAAATGGCAGCAGACTCAGAGACTCCAAGTAGGGACTAGTGGTTACCAAATGGGAGGGGTGTGGGAGGACGGGTGGGGAGGAAGGGAGAAGGGGACTGAAGAGTATTATGTTTAGTACACGTGGTGTGGGGGATCACGGGGAGAACAGTGTAGCACAGAGAAGGCACACAGTGGATCTGTGGCATCTCACACACTGATGGACGGTGACTGCATTTGGGTATGGGTGGGGACTTGATAAGATGGGTAAATGTAGTAACCACATTGTTTTTTCATGTGAAACCTTCATCAGAGTGTATATCAATCATACCTTAATAAAAAATTTTAAATAAATAAATAAAGATAAGATAAAAATGCCACTTGCACAGGTTTTTCCTCCTGCCGATACACACCTGTAAAGGGCCTTTTCTGCAGAATGGTAGTTGGCTCTGATCAAGAGATGTGTCACGTTGGCAAGGACAGTCATCAGCCGGTCTCGATCTACCTCCCTTTTGCTATTAAAATCTCGGAAGTTCTCAGGCACAAGCCTAACCATGTTAAAGTACTCTTCATAGGGTTGCAATGACAGGCCCTCAGCCCGGGTGCTTATAATGAGTCCATTTCCCTAACATTTAAAGACAAAAGGAAATAGTCATAATTCAGTTTTGTGATCTAAACACAAAAGCAAATTTTGTATTCAGCACCATGTTTTTTCTCTTCTGCTCAGGTTCTTCAGGCAAACTTGTAATGGTGCCTAATACTCTTGGTCTCAGATGATCAGAGAAAAGAGGTTTTCTTGTATTTCTCTCAGAGGGATTCAGACAATAAAATGTAAAGACCATGTCCTTTGCTGGGATCTTAGGAAAGAAACAACATGTATTTGCCCAGTTTTCCTTAAAGAAACCACTGTGACACCCCTAATCTTTAAATGGACAACAAAAATAGGAAAAGTATGTAAATCTACTTCTTGCTTTTCATAAAATTGCTATTAACAAAGATGATTTACCTTACATGGTTTCTACCTGCTGCAGGTTGGAGGGGGAGGTACAGGTGATTAAAGATGATTAAGAGGAATGCAAACACTGCAGCCAAGACCCCAAAGGGGTTTCTTACCTCCTTGGGAATCCTTCAGGGTGAGGCTGAACTGGGTCTTTTTGTGATGGGGGATCAGGGAGTGAGGATTCAGGGATAGCAACAGTGGTTGAGGATAAAAATGGCAACCCATCAGATGTCCCCAGACTGCTGAGCACTGCTGCCTGATCGTTCATGTAGGAGGCAATAGCAGGAGGGAAGGAGGGGCTCAGAGGGATGCTGGCTCCCTTGTAAATGTGAAAATATGGTCAGCTGCAGGATCAAGGGAGGGGCAGCCTGTGCCACCCTAGGCAACTCCCGAAATGGGCCCAAAACCAGAATTCTCACACTCCGTCCCCATGGGTGTCCAGGCCAGGCAAAGTGCTGCAGAATGGCCACATGGCATGAGCTCCCTGCTACTACAGCCCACTATGGGCCATAAAACTGTCACCCACTAAGCCTTCCAGCTCTCTAGTAAAATACTGTGAAAACAATTACCTTAATGATAACATCAGCGTGAGAGATGAGATCAGTGCCCAATGCCTCCACTGGAATATCGTAAGACACCGTGTACTTCAAGAATCCACCAAATGCAGTCAGCTGAAACATTTAAGTGAGCATGAAAACCAAGGGGAAAAGGAGCACATCCCCTCATAAGAGGAAGTGGTTGCTTGGATCCTTCTGGAAACAACTAGGCTGGAAGACGTCTGAGTAGCCACAATATGTAAGGAAGTGCACATGAAAGCCAGTGAAAAGAAAGCATGATATATGTATATTTTGTTCAACTGCTATTACCAAAATGCAGGATATTATTTAGATGCACAGAAAGAAGATGTACTCCTCCTTAGAGACTCCAAGGTAAATCAGTATAAACTTCTGTTAATCACACAACAGACATTTATTTTACTTAATTACTCTGGTGGAAGGGGAGTTTGATCCACGGCTACAACCTCAACGTTTTGATGTCACTGTCCTGCATGTAGGAGAAGAGTAAGGAGCATGTTTGACCAGCAAAAAGAACCAAAGGTCTTTCTTCCTGGGCAGATCCTTTAATGTCTATAGGAGAATGTGTTTCTGACAGATGTACTGCAATAATGCAATGTTCAAGACCCAATCTTTATGCCATAAAAGTGGAGAGGTGATCTTAAGAGAATAACCTTTGGTGATAAGATCACATTGTAAATAGTATGCATCTTCTAGGGTTATAATTTGATGGGAAATATAACCATTCTCAAAAATAAACACTACTTAAACATATACAAAATGCATTATAAAATTAAAATATTACCAACAAATTAAATCAAACCTTGCTAAGCTACAAGATCTTCGTTACTATGAAACCCGCCCTTATTTTAAAATAAACCAAATGCATGGCTAAGGTGAGCAGGGGTTATAGTTGAGCTAGATTCCACTAAATGTATTTTCAGATCAATCAGCATATGGAGAGAAGTGGCATTATTGGTGGGGAGGGATGGAACCGACTTTGAAGGGAAAAAATCATATTCACCATATCCTCACTTTGTTCAATCACCTTTTGTATGTTCTTAAAATGGAAAGTTTTCCATCTGTTCTTCAGTGTGAACTTTACATGAGAAACAGTCCGTCGTGCTAAGGGAACTGGCACAAGGCCCCTGAGTGCTTCCTCTGTGCCCGGCCCTCCGCTAAGCTACGGGGGCCGAGACAATCATACAGCCCACTAAGCACTCAGGGATGTGACGGCCACTTCACAAAGGCCCACGTACTCCAGGAACCCAGAGGAAAGTAAGACAGTCTGCCAGGGGAGAAGCAGGCAAGACTTCATACAGCAGACCCCCCAGGGCGGATGGGCCAAGAAGAGAAGTTCTCATTTTAATGATATTAATAAACTCAAGCAAGGATAAAAAAGACCATGTGAGTCAGGTGTAAGTAAACATTCTTTGATCCTCTATCAAACACTCAATTGACCAATAACACTACTTAACATGCAATAAAAGTTTTTCTTAATGTACTCTGAGGTCTTGTCCAGGATGTCATTACATTCAGCAATGGCTTTACCTTATTCCCCAGGTAGGCCTCTGGGGCTGACCAGTAATACGTGGAAGTCAGCCTCTGCATGACTGCGGAGTTGTTGACCGTGATCTGATGGCGCCCATCCAGTGCATCCTGCTGAGATGGGATCTTATTTGAATTGATCAAGTCCATAACCAGCCACCCAGACATATCTTTCACCTTAAAAATAAGATAGAAGGATTTCTGAATATGAACTAGAAGCTACCATAGATTCACCCAGTCCAGAGCCAATATCGTGACAATGGAGAGAGATTGAGAAAGTTTAGCTGGGGTAGAGTTAATACACTGTGGCCACAGGACCCCATGGCCTGTGACCCTTCTGCTTGTCAAAGAGCCGGGAAAACCTGAGAATGAGGTACACAGCCCCCAGATCCCAATCAATTATAAGCAAAATTGTAAAGGCCACAGACACATATTATAGATTTTTTTAAAAAAGCAAAGACCTTTATAAATGTACTGAATAAAATGTCTTTTGCTAACTCTGATTTCTTCATTACTGCCTCTTGCTTTTTTACACAAAAGACAAAAAATAATGTATAAAAGTAACCTCTAGATCCTATCCTCCCAATTTGTCCCCTACACAGAGATAACAAATGATCACCCCAGCACTCTGACCACAGGAGCTCATCTTCAGGTTCAGATGGGAACTCCCTACCTCCCCCAGGTCCCTCTCACTCCTCACCAGCTTGATGGTGGCAGAGGAAGGGACAGGAAGAGGAGTCAGTAACAGCCCCCTCACCCACTTCTCCCCTGCTGAAGTCAGGTGTCCTGAGAGGGCGTGTGGGGAGGAGGGGTGGTTACCCTGGGTAAGCCTTGCCCCCTGCAGCTTCTCCCTGGCCTCCAGCCATCACACTCTGTCCACTCCTAGTCACCAATTACACATCAGAACTCCGTCTTTCAGAAACAACTGGGGATACCTTGCCTACCCTCGTAATCCCTGTGCCACTTGCTATTGTTGCCACCAATTCCAGCTTCTTGAGGCCAGAACATTCTGCATGACCCACGTCCTGGTGTGTTTCCTGGGCTGAGACCTACATGGAGCAGGTGGGGTGAGATCTGACTCCAGAACTCAATGCATTTCCCTACAGAAGAAATCTAGGCATGACACGTTCTGCAAGACCATGATAGCCTATTGCTTGGATAGCAAATTGTCTGCAGGAACAAACACATGATCTAGGAAGAAACTTCAGTGACTCTTTAGGAGTGGGCTGCCTCTGGGCTATGCCAATGTCACAGGAGAGGACAAGAGCAGTGTTACAGAGAAAGTGAGCCTCGTCACCTCGTAACATAGTCCCACAGAGCTCATTTGAGGTGGTGTACTTATTACACCCTGGCTTGGGGAAGGTGCCCGCACCTGACCGATGGGCCAAGAAAGGCTGTCGCAGACATCAGAGACGCCAAAGCAGAAGCATTCGGAGCAGCCCTGGGGGTTTCTTTCCTTCAAGTCATAGAATCCCGACTTGCAGCGATCACAATTCTTCCCCTCAACATTTTCCTGCAAGTTGGAATTAAACAATAGCTTCTGAAAGCAATGTGTCTTGGGTAGAGGGAATAAAATGACTAACATGGCATTAACAAGAAAGGTGTTTAGTGATCCAGAGAAACAGGTAAATAAATAGTGGCTCAAAGTAAATGTCAAGCTAGTGAAGTCAATATTCCCAGAATAGATACCTAGAAATAATTATCATTTGAATATGTAGTCAACTGTGAGGCTAGGAAACTTGGAGCTTGGTTATTACAGTTGACCTTTGAACCACACAGGTTTGAACTGTGTGGGTCTCTTTATATGCAGATTTTTGCAATAAATATACTGGAAAAAATTTTGGAGATTTGTGAAAATTTGAAAAGAAATGCTCTCTTTTCTCTAGCTTACTTTATGTTAAGAATGCTGTATATTAATACATGTGACTTAAAATATGTGTTGACTGTTACCAGTAAGCTTCTAGTCAACAGTAGGCTATTAGAGTTAAGTTTTTGAGGAGTCAAAAGTCACATGTAGCTTTTAGACCGCACTGGGGGTTGGTACCCCTAACCCCTGAATTGTTCAAGGGTCAGCTGTATATCAAAATGGTTTTTTGTACTGTTCTGTTTTAAATCTTCTGTTTCTATTGATCTTTCAAGAATTTTAAGATCTGAAGAGGGCTGTATAATTGTCTTATTAATAAATGCTCAAGATAATTTTCAGCCAAATATAATATGTGCCTAAGACTCTGCTTACATGGGAATAAGCACATAAGATACAACATGTGATGTGAAGTCCCACCAACCACGAGGGAAATGGTCATGAATATCAGATAGCCAAATAAAACACTTCCCTGGTATCCAATTCATGCACTTCTTATTATTTTCCAACTCCTTTTAAAGAGAAACCCCGAGTAACATATGTACCTTCAATTAGTATTCTTAGAAATTCAGTATTTACCTGGTTCTCCTCTAAACATAAAGCTGGAAAAGAATGTTGTAGAGGAGTTAATAGCCAAGGGCTAAGACATGTAGTATTTGATTTCATCTAGAAAGTCACAGAAATACTTCTGGAATATATGTCCATTGTCCAGAAGGCACCAGAAAAGCAAACCAGACACCCGTCTACGTGTAAAGACACATACTGTGACCAACTCTCTGTGACATGACATCATGCTTCTCAGGAAGAGGCATGTGGGGAGTTCTGCTTAAAAAGAACTGATTGCCTGAGCCAATGGGATGTGCTCCTTTCTCAGGAAACCTCAAAGGAACCTCGCAGATGGCTGTGACCTCCCTGCGTACCTTACAGAGACAAGGCTCTGAGCATGGGTCCTCGTTCACGCTGCCAGCCCGACTGCAGGCACAGCTGACACAGGCTGGGTAACCCTTATAGCCAAACTGGCAGTGATTGCATTTTTCTCCTGCATAGCCTTGTTTGCATGGACACTGACCTGGCCACTTCCCTGGGAAGAAAAGAATGGCAATGACCCAACAGGAAGGCAGAAAAGGTTTACAGCAGGCATTAGCGAATTAGATGAAATATTTTAGGCTTTTTGGCCAAAATGTTTCTATTGTAACTACTCAACTCTGCCACTATTGCTTGAAAGCAGCCACACATAATACAAAAGCAGATGGGCACAGCAATAAAACTTAATTTACAAAAACAGGCAGTGTACCACATATGGCTCATGGACCACAGTTTGTCAACCTCTGGCTTAAAGAAAGAAAACAGAGATGAAATGCAGAGGCTGGTGGGAATGTAAAATGGTGCTGCGACTTTGGAAAACAATTTGTCATTTCAAAATGTTTTGTGCAGAGTTACAATATAATCCAGCAATTCTCCTAAGCATTTATCCAAGAAAAATGAAAACATACATATAAAAAAAACCTTATACATGAATGTCTGTAGCAGCACTATTCATAATAGCCAAAAGGGGAAAAAACGGAAATGTTCATCAACTTAAGAATAGATATACACAATGTGGTATATACATACAATGGAGTATTATTCAGCAGGAATAAACAGCTGAGGTACTGATACATCCTACAACATGGATGAGCCTTGAAAACATTATGCTAAGTGAAAGAAGCCAGTCACAAAAGACCATATCATATAGTTCTATTTATATGAAATGTACAGAACAACAAATCTATATAGCTAAAATAAATTAATGGCTGCTTAGGGCTGGGTGGGGCAAGGGTGGGGAGAAATGGGGAGTGATGGTCAAAGGGTAAGAGTTTTTTAATGGGGTAATGAAAATGTTCTAATATTAGATTGTGGTGAAGATTGTGCCCATGAATATACCAAAACACACTGACTTGGCGCTTTAAATGGGTGGACTCCAGGGTAGTGAATTATATCACATGACAAAGTCATTTTTTTAAAACACAGGGCAAATGGTAGAGGGCAATAAGCACCATCCTCTCTTTTTAATGTCAACTCTGAAACTTTCTAGTTGTGTAACCTCAGCCAGATTTCTTAACTGAGCTAGTTTCCTTGCCTATAAAATGTGTTAACTGATTTCTATCTGCTGTGGATGAAAGGGTAATTGTCATTGTAAGCATCCTCATCCTCATTATCATCCCTACTACCATTCACATGTAAGAATTGATTCACTTGTGTAATTTACCCTCCACATTTCCAGGGTCCCCCCACCCTAAGTTGGTACATCTTGTCAATAATCCATCTTAACTGCTAGTGACTGAAAATTTGATGGGGTCACAAGTCTCTGAACACAAGTCTTTCATGGGGTCACAGTCTCCTTCTCAGAAAATTCTGGTATTTACAAGTCCATCTGCCAGTTTTTAAAACAGAAGGAACACTGACATTTACAAAGTTAACTGGAGAATTGTTTGCCTTATGAGATGATGCACACAAAAGCCTTTCTAGTATCTTCTAAGAGCTAAATAGGGTGATTGCTATTTACTGTGTTCCACATAGGGCTTTAAGCTGAGCCTGAATTCTTCTTTCATCAAATGCTCAATTAGCTGCTCAAATGTCCTTTCATCACCCCCACATGGCCACCTTCACATCCTATCTCCTTCCAATCAAGATTCCTAATTTTGCTTGATACCCAAGGCATTTACTCTGCCTGGAGTTACATTACACAAACCCTTGTTTGTTCAGTGTCTGCCTGTGGGCAGGAACTTTGACCTTCTTGTTCAAGTATATATGCCTGGGTCCTAGAAAACTGCCTGATACAGAGTAGGTGCTCAATAAATATTTTGTGAACCAAAGAATCAATACAGAATCACATTATCAATTGCTACACAATGGTAATGATTCCACTAGGTACAAATCTCCCACCAAAAAAAAATCAATTACAAGCAAAAAAAATGAATCAAGCACTTACCTTTGTGTAAGTCAGAATGGAGATCATCCTTAATACAGACAGAGCCGAGGGACCCCCAAGGGTCACAGTCACAGGGACGACAAGGGTCATTCTCATAAGGAGACACCTGAAAAGCAGAGTTTGTCCTGGATGATCTTACAAGAGAATAGCAATGAGAGTAACTATACAACGATCACACCAATGGCACGGTTTTGGCTTTTTATTCGAGATGTGACTACTGTAGTGATTTTGTGAACCCAGGGGTTGTGGGTCTCAGGAGGAGAAGGTGAGCTCAAGCTGAAAAGCCCCAGACATTATTTTGATTATGACAGCAGGGAGTATCATTAGCAAAGTAAAATCCTTTCCCATTACTACTGGGTCCCTGGCCTGCCTTGCTCTGCTATTTCTTGGAGCCATATGTAAGCATCACCTATGACCGCAGCACCACAGGGAGCTGTGTGACAGCTACTTACCAACTGGGGCTTGACTGAGCACTCCCTGTGGGCAAGCTGCTTGGTCACTGGCTAACTCCTCACATTCACCATTACTATCACAAAACCCTGGCACTATACAGCTAAAGGGCCCTGAACCCAAGTTAAATAACAATGAATGAACACCCTACTCTGAGCAAGAAAACAAGACAGAGTAGGAAATTAATATTTGAAGACCACTGCTAACATAGTAAGAATATAAAGGAACTATTACAGAAGGAAATGAGTCATGATACTGAGGTTGACACTTGACAAATTCTCTCTTCCACCTTGGGAGGACAATGAAGCTGGGCTGTAGAGAAGAAACACTTACTTTGTGCGGTCTATAATATCCATCAATACAGGTTTCACAATTGATTCCCATGGTGTTCTGCAGGCAATTTGTGCACACCCCGCCTCCTTTGAACTGTCCCGCAGTATTCAAACTTCTCTTCTGATTTGCTACACTTTCATCATAGTAACAGTCTTTGGCTTTATTGTGACAATTACATTCTAGGAGAATTTTAACATCTCAATTAATACATTTATATCCTATATAAAGAAAGCCCTTCCCTCCCTAAGTAAGTTCTATGACTATAAATTAGAATTCCAGAATAAGCAATTTTAATAGGATATGAGCAGTCTTACAGAGGACAACTCGAAGTAGCTATCAAAATTTTAAATATGCATACCCATTTGACCCCTCAATCTGTCTTCTGGGATTATATCCTGCAGAAGTACATGCATACTTCTGAATGACATGCATAGGGTTAACGATTGTATCACTGCTGGTGTTAACAAAAGACTAATAACAACCAAAATATCCATGGATAGGTAGCTGTTGTAATTATGTTACATTTATATACTGGAATTCAGTGCTACTGATCTTTAAAAAAGCATTTTATAATGCTAGCATGGAAAGATTATTGAGATATATTGTTAAATATAAAAGCAATGTGTAGAATGACACATGTAATATGTCAGGTTCTGTGTTTAAACTCTATTAGGGGTAGGAATATTTTAATACATCCTTTATTTGCATAAAAATTTCAGAAAGAACACACGAGGACTTAATAAAAAGTGGGAAGGATGGAGACAGAGTGGAAATAATGTTTTTCACTACATACTTTATATATATTGTTAGATGTTGAAATCTTGTGAATATGTTGTCCACTTAAAAATTAAATTCAAATTAATAATGAATAAATAAAAATATGGGAAGAAGAACTTTAGATAAAGCAGCAAATCTATAAAAGTTCTGTAGGCTTTAATATCTTACATTGTATTAAGGTAATCTGTAGCTTCAGGAATTATTTGAATATCTAAGAAAAGAAGCTATGTATTAATTACAAATGTTAAGTCATCATAAAGTTAAAAACATTAAAAGGTGAGAAAAAACTGCATTCTTCCAGTTCCCAGTGGACTTACGTTCACATGTGTTACCAGAAGAAATGGTTCCGGGCCTCCAGGGCTGCTGATGGTACCCGGGACAACACGTACTGCAGCTCTCTCCGCAGGTGTTATGTTCACACTGACACTGTAGTTTCTAGACAATAAGGAACACAAATTTGCATCCAAAAATCTACCTGTACATATTTTTTAAATTTTATTTTTAAAGGAACCTATCATAGTCAAACATATAGCAAGACTGTATGAGTAAGGATATATACCTATTATAAAACAAACTGGCATTTCACTTTTAGAAAAAATATATACATATGACCTGGTTACAAGTAGAAGTGAGAAAGAATAAAGCAAAACTACAATATGGGTTAACCAAGAAAAATTTTTCAAAAAAGATGCATTGACTTTAAGGGTTTATAAGCTTCTATTAATGACTTTCTTGATATTCATCTATATAGTTTTCAGCATCAATAAGAGAAAAGTCTTATTTAAGAGTTAAAGAATAACAAAGCTGGGGAAAAAATAAGCAACTCGATATAATTCACTTAAAAGAAAAAAAAGATGTCAAGTTCACTTAATATTATACTAAAACAGATGAGCTTCATTTATCTTGATTTAATACCTTGAAAAAGGTAGAAAATAGGAGGGGAATCCACTTAAAAAACTATAACCAATATGTATTTTATACATTTACATATGTTTTTTGTTTGTCCATCTTATAGAGAGAAGAGATTCCAAATTTAAGGCCCTTGAACGTTACACTTTAAAATGGTCAAAACGGTAAATTTTCTTTTATGTATATTTTATCACAAAAATTGCAGAGTAAAGGTTTAATTAGAAATATACCCTCCCAAAAAACAAAATAAAATTGTTCAAAAATGTGAAGTTCATTAAATCATCTGACAATCTTTTTTGCCAGCATGATTTTATACCTTTCAACATTTGCCTTGAGTAACAAAAAGCAATGCAAACACTATAGCTGTAACTTCTGTTTTGATGTTTAGTAAAATGCATAATACCAGGACTCACCTTTGTAGTTTCATCCCACGGGCAGCTGCTAGCATGGCCATAACAAACACACATTCCTCCAACAGAAATGTCTTTGATTGAATAGTAATACTATGGAAAAAGAAAGTTATGGAAAAAATTAAAACCTCTTGTATTTCAGTGAAGAAAAAATCTTGCTGTGGTAATATCTTGTTGCTATTGAGAATCTAAAAAATAATTATGTATCCATTTCAAATTATATTACATGCACAAAGAAGCCTTGTGTTCACTGAGGGATGGGAGAAAAAGGTGAAGGGGATAATGAGGTACAAATCTCCAATCATAAAATAAATAGGTCACAGAGATGAAAAATATAGTGTAGGAAATACAGTCAATAGTATTGTAATTACATTTTATGGTGGCAAATGGTCACAACACTTATTGTGGTGAGCAGTTTGTGATTCACGTAATTGTCAGATCACCATGTTGTAAACCTGAAACCAATATAACACTGTAAATCAACTATACTTCAATAAAAAAGAATTCTTAAAATAAATAAAGTTCAAATTAGCTCTTCAACAGAAACCAGGGAAATCTAAAGGAATTTCTCAACTTGGCTGCAGCTTAAGCCATGGCATTTGTATTCAAAACCCATGCTACTGAACATCTTAAAAAACAGTACTGAATACAGAACTATAAATTGGAAAAAGCTTATGACCAATGTGATATCTCCCAGGAAGACAAAGTTAGTTTAAAACACAAAAATCAATAAATGTAAATCACCATTTTAACAGAATAAAAGAGAAAAACCATCTGATCATTTCAATAGATGCACAAAATACAGAAGTCAACACCTTTCATTAAAGAAAAAAAAATTCAGCAAACCAGTAGATGAGAATGTCCTCTGCCTAATAAAGGTCATCTGTGAAAAACTTAGAGCTAACAGGGAAAGATTAAGTGCTTTCTTCTTAAAATCAGCTCCCACCATTTCTGTTCAACATTTTGTGAGAGGTGCCAGCCAGCCCAATAATGCAAGAAAAAGGAAATTGAGGGCATCCAGAATGCATAATAAAACTGAACTGTCCTTTTTGTGTAGATGACATTATTATGTACACAGAAAATTCTACAAAAAACCTACTAGAAATAATAGGTGAATTTATCAATGTCTCAATACACAAAATCAATCAATAAAAATGAATTGCATTTCTCTATGCTAGCAATGAGCAAATGGAAAATAAAATTTAGAAAGCAATCTATTAACAAGCAAATCTATTAACATAGTAACATGCAAAAATGTAAAATATTTAAGAATAAATTGAGCAAAAGATGTACAAATAAATAAAAAACAAAACATTGCCAAGAAGAATTAAAGAAGACCCTGATGAGTGGAGAGATAAACCATGTTCATGGATTGGATTATCCAATATTATCAAAATGTTTTCCAAAATTCTTCCCAAACTGATGTATTGAATCCATATTTCAATGGACTTCCAATGAAAACCTTAGTAGTTTTTTTTTTTGGCAGAATTAACAAACTGATTCTAAAATTTATAAGGAAACACAATGAAACTATTATACCCAAAACAATCTTGAAATATAATTGAGTTGGACCACTATAGTGCCTGATTTCAAGATTGACTATAAAGCTATGGTAATTGAGAAAGTTCGTTATTGGCATAAATATAGACAAATAGAAAAATGGAATAGTACAGAGTCCAGAAATAGGCCCAAAATAATAAAATCAAATAATTTTCAACAGAACAACAAAAAAGTTCAATGGGGGAAAGTATTTTCAAGAAATGGTACTGTAACAATTTTATATGTATGTGGGAGGAAAAAAAGAACCTTGGTTTCCACCTCACACCAAACACAACAATTAATTTCAAATGGTAATAGAGGTAAAAGCTAAAACTATAAAAGTACCAGATGAAAGCATAGCATAATAGCTTTGTAAATTGGGATAAAATATTTTTCAGAAAGGACATAGAAATCATTAACTGTAAAAGAAAATGTGATAAATTGGACTTCAACAGAATTAACCTCAAATGTCATAGTTAGGAAAGTGAATAAGCAAGTTCCAGATAGAAGATATCTGCAATATAGACATAGTTGAAAAGGAACTTGTATACAAAATATAGAAAGATATTCTTTAATTCAGTAATAAGGAGGCAGTTAACCAATTTAAAAATGGACAAAAATATTTGATCAGATACCAATCAGCACCTGCTCAACTTTTGTCATCAGGACAATACAAATTGATACCACAAGAAGATGCCACCATCTTGCACATTAAAAAGCTGACATGAAGATGACTGACAAGTTAAATCTGTCACTGTGTCTGGCACACCAGAACTCTCATATGCTGGTCTATAAAATGGTACAACTACTTTTCATAAAGCTCAGCAATTCTTAAAAAAAAGCTACCCTGTAATCAGTAATTCCACTCCTGATATATCTAAGAGATTTAAAACTGTCCATACTAACCTTATATATTTATTATACATTTAAAATCTGAACATCTTCTTGAACATAAATTATATCTTGAACTCTAAAATTTTAAGTGAAAAAAAAGAAGGAACAACCCTCACTTGTTCAAGATCAGATGTGGAGTTGGAGGAGAACGCGAAGTGATGCCATTACATTGAATACATGATGGAATCACGGGAAGGGGGCACAGTGAGGGGCCTGAGGACACAACGGCAGAACTGTCACCTATTCAAAGGTGGCAGTTTAAACAAAGCATATATAACAATCATCAATAAAATTAAAAAAGGGCCAACTTGGGAGGAAAAGGCCAACCAAGAGGAAAAGTCTTCCTCTCTTAAACAAAATGAACTTTCCACGAGGGGCAGGACGGCTGCCAGACTTACTCGTCTGCTGACGATAGGGTCGAGATCTCGAGGGTCACGGTGGCCGAGGGTCATAAGGTCGGCATTGAGGGTTCTGATGCGCTGTAAGCGAAGGCGGATGTATCGTGCAGAAGTAAATTCCAACAACCTGGGTGACAGATCGTCAGCACTTGGTCTGCCATTAATTAGTGATGTATGAATCTAAAGATAAAGACAGCAAAATAAACCAATGTGGATTTTAAGTATGCAAAAATATGCCCCTGGTTGTTTAACTTCAGGACATAACCGTTACAAATCAAACCAAACAACTAAGTTCTTAGAGAAATCTAACATTTGGTAACTCCTTGTGAACACCATGATCATAAAACATATTCAATTAATCTGAAATTATCCATTCCAGTGTTTCAGAGATTGCTGGAAACCTTTTCCCAGGACCATTTCTCCAAGACTGAGCGTGCTTCAACATGTACCATTCTGCTATGACTTCTCTGAACTACCCCCTAAGTGCCATAATTAGGCTGTGGGGAGTGAGCAAAGGTGCCCAAGAGCTTTGTAATACCTGGGCCCTTAGTTAATCTCTGCCTTTGAAACAAGGCAGGGCTTGGTGCAGAGTTCCTGCTGCAAAGAGCACTTCAGAGAGTTTTTGTAGTTTTATCTCATCAAGCAAGGTGTTACTAAAGAATGGGTTGGTTTTGATTACATCCTCACTTTAATGAAATGCCTACAGTCTGGGCTCCTTGAGCACTCAGCTGGAGTACTTGACAAGCCATCTCCAATCCTTAACACTGACAAGGAAAAAAACTTCATGGAGAAAACTGGGAAGAATAACTCTCTCTTTAATAATTTCAAAAAATGTTCTTGCCCTGGTGTCATAGTAAAGATGCTCCTGGGAGGATCTGATGGAGTTACTCAATCACCAGAGCTAAAACTGAGGGATCTCCTTGAAGGGAAGAAATCAATAAGGTGAAATATATCAGTTAGGATATTAATCATCGTTAGGCATCAGTCACTGATATCTTGCACATGGCTAGATAGTTATATTAAAGATCTCTGCAATCTGCACTGAGAGAGATATATTACTACTATTTAATGTTGGCTCTTACAGGGCTCTCTGAACATTTGAGGTCGGGGGGCTCTGTTGAAAACACAGATAACCTGCAGTGGGCAGAATACCTCTCCATGCTCGAGTGGCACCAGTCTAGAATAATATGAGGTGCAGATCACTTCGTCATCGGCCCTGTAAGTGGGTGGTCCTCGTCTTGGAGTTACATTGTAACGAGTCAAACACTCCGTGTCACTAACTGCATAATACTGCCAGGGGCTGAACTTGTTGCCATCCAGAGACCGCTCCAAAATCCAGTTTCCGGGTCGAGGGGCATTAGCTGCTTTGATGATGACATAGGCAACTTGAAAGACCTGAAACAAAGACACTGAGAAATCTCAATCAAGAACCAGTAGCAACTGCTCAAAAACCAGAGTGCCTCTTGAGAGAGCTCTTACATGATGATCCCCAATGTCTGAATGCTTTCTGAATTTAACTCGTGTTAATTAGCGATACATCTTCTAAATGTTCTTCCGTGGCATCTGTTTTCAAAATAAACTCAAAAAGTACTCACAAATAAATTATTATTACTAACAGTATTAATGTTAATATCAGTGCTTCTTCTTTTGTTTCTAATGTTTTTCTCCATCTGGATTCTGAATGATAGTAGCAGTAATATGTTATATTAATAGTAGTGTTAAATGTATTTCTCACAGCGAATATGAGAAAAAAATGTCCATGTCCATTGCATGTACGCTTATTGAATGGCTTAGAACCAAGGCACTGACAACCCTAAGCGCTGGCGAGGATGTGAACTCTCATTCACTGCTGAAGTGAATAAAAAATGGTATATATAGACTTTTTGGAGGACAGTTTATCAGTTTCTTACAAAACTAAACATGCTCTTACCATGCAACCCAGCAATTGCACTCCTTGTTATTTACCCAAGTGAACTAAAAACTTCTACAGGTGGATGGATAAACAAAGTGTGATACATCCATACAATACAATATTATTCAGTGATAAAAAGAAATAAGCTCTCACACTACAAAAGGACATGGAGTTTTACACCTCTAGCCTAAGGCTTGCCTGTCTCTCTGCGGTGACCCCTTGGAGCTGTCCTATTGCTGACAGAAGCCATGTGACTGTCCTACCTCCCATACTTAGATTTAACCTTTAAGATAAACATTTTATGTACTTTTCCCCAGTATTTTATATGGAACATTTCCTTTTTATTTCACCTTAATATAAAATAATGATACATTACTTAAAAAAAGAGACATGGAGTTTATAAATGCATATTGCTTAAATGCACATGGCTAAGTGAAAAAGCCAGTATGAAAAGGTTACATACTGTATGATTCCATACATGACATTCTGGAAAAGGTATAACTATAGAGACAGTAAAAAGATCACTGGTTGCCAGGACCACAGGGGATTTTTAGGGCAGTGAAACTTTTCTGTATAATACTATAATGATAGACACACATCGTGGTACATCTGTCAAAACCCACAGAATGTGCATCACAAAGAGTGAAACAATGTAAATTATGCACTTAGTTAATATGGATATACCAATTGTTGGTTTATCAGTTAAAACAAATGTTCCACACTAATGCAACGTGTGAATAATAGGGGAAATAGATGGGGAGATATGAGAGGGGCATATGGGAACTCTGTACTTAAACCAAAAACTACTTGAAAAAATTAAAGACCATTAATTTAAAAAGAAATACAAAGAGAGCAGGGAGAAAGCAAACAGGGCAAAAAAGGGATGTTGATGAGCACTACCAGTATGAGGAGACTATCTGGATGAATCTAGGATTTGGAAGGGACCTTGTAGTGATCTAGCCCCAAATTCAGCACTAATGAGTCATCTCTCCAACAACTAGCCTTCTCGGAGCACTTGCAGAGACAGGAAATTCATTTGCTCCTAAAATTCTTTTGTTTCATGGAAACTTTTCCTGTGACAGAAAGGTCCAATATAGATCCAAGGTGCCTCATAAATAGTTACACTCTGGAGCTACAGAAAAGATGTTGATTGTACTTTCTTGTAACTGTACTTCAAATATTTAAACTTAACTACCATCTGTCACTTCCAGAGTCCAAAGTTTTCAGCTTCAGCTTTCTGATTATCTGAAAATATTTGTCATTTATAAAGACCTCATCACCTTGTCATGAAGCTTTGGACACAATCTTAATTTAAATTGCAGTCCCATAAACTGAACACAAATTTCAAATGCTTTCTGAGTTGGGAAGACATATTATGACAATATTATGTACTTTAGATTTCAGTAATTAAGCCTTCACAAGCATTTACTTCCATGAAAGTAAACTTAGATTAGTAACTTGAGCTAGGCATGCAAGCTACAATAGAATACCTTTTTCAAAGTGAACTGCCATTTATCCCAGATTTTCTCTAACCCAAATTGATACAGGCAATTGTTAAAAACTAGTCAACTACTTTTTATTTTGTAAGAAATTTATGTAATATATGTATATAAATGTGTATACACACATCTGTATTTATGTGATTATGTATACATGTGTTCATACACACATATGTGTGTATGTTGAGAGGAAGGTGTTACTCACTTACTCTAAATCTTATTGCCTTTTAGTTTTTTGTTTTGTTTTTTTTTAGCTTCTCCCATCTTAGCCCTCACCAATTTCAGAAATATAAGAGCTCCTTAAAATTAACCCCCCATAAACCAAATAATTTTACATTCCCTTACTGAATTATTCTCTGAGAAAGACAGTTATATCTCATTATAATAACTCATCACCTATAATTACACCCCCAACTGAGTTTTGTCTGCAGGTGCTGTGTGTCTGACATTGTGACTGATCTATGTCCACATGCTATTGTCCTCTAAAACATAACCACTGTTTCTAAAGAACATTGGATATAAAATAATGTTCTCAGGTTTCAATAGAGGAAAATTAAGACCTGTGTAACTGTTAATACTTGGACTGGAACTGAATATTCAATGTTTAAAAATCTAGAAACATCTTTATCAATTAAAACCACTTTAAAAAATTAAAATAATGCAAAGACTATTTTGTCCTAGCACAAAGATCTCCAGAAAACTCCCCTGTGAACATAATTTTGTGGTTTTTATTTTTGAAGCTTACTAAAAAACCCTTTTCCCCAATTTTATAATTCATTCATTCCATAATTTATGTATGTGTCCCTGATTTACTATGTTTTAATAATATTGAAATACCAAATACTTCTCAAAAGTTCCTGGCAATTAATCTTACTGTCTCCTCTACGACTAGCTCTGAAGAGCACCCAGCATTTGTTTTCTGGTGTGGTGGCTGTTACTTGCAGCTTTGCACAGGTGCAAGGCCGTCCTGGAGTACCTGATGGAATCCATCCTTAACAGCTTTTCATTTGGTTTTCAAACTGATGCCTAGGGACAACTTCATTTTTATTCATTAACTGTCCTATTGCTTTGCAAATATTTTAATCATGAAAGTACAACTTATGAGCATGTGGGTGGTGATCATTTACCACTGTTGAATACGTAAAATGACACTTTAAAAAGTGGAGGTACCAAGTGAGACAGTGTGATGAATAGTCCATGAGGGAGGGATAGAAGATGAGGACATTTATAAAGACAGCTGACATGAAATGTATTTACCTTCTGCTTTCCAATTTCACATTTTAAAGTAGGAAGAACCAGTAGTACTATCTCATGCATGTTAAAAGTTTTATGTGTGTCTGACTATTTTGTCCTAGCACAAAGATCTCCAGAAAACTCCCCTGTGAACATAATTATGTGGTTTTTATTTTTGAAGCTTACTAAAAAACCCTTTTCCCCAATTTTATAATTCATTCATTCCATAATTTATGTATGTGTCCCTGATTTACTATGTTTTAATAATATTGAAATACCAAATACTTCTCAAAAGTTCCTGGCAATTAATCTTACTGTCTCCTCTACGACTAGCTCTGAAGAGCACCCAGCATTTGTTTTCTGGTGTGGTGGCTGTTACTTGCAGCTTTGCACAGGTGCAAGGCCGTCCTGGAGTACCTGATGGAATCCATCCTTAACAGCTTTTCATTTGGTTTTCAAACTGATGCCTAGGGACAACTTCATTTTTATTCATTAACTGTCCTATTGCTTTGCAAATATTTTAATCATGAAAGTACAACTTATGAGCATGTGGGTGGTGATCATTTACCACTGTTGAATACGTAAAATGACACTTTAAAAAGTGGAGGTACCAAGTGAGACAGTGTGATGAATAGTCCATGAGGGAGGGATAGAAGATGAGGACATTTATAAAGACAGCTGACATGAAATGTATTTACCTTCTGCTTTCCAATTTCACATTTTAAAGTAGGAAGAACCAGTAGTACTATCTCATGCATGTTAAAAGTTTTATGTGTGTCCTTTCATTTAATCCCAAGCAACCCCATGAGTTCAAATGATCACTGTGTCCATTTTACATATTTGGAAACCAATGTACAGAGAAGTTAGAAGACAAACTACTGAGTTTCAGGCCCCAGTAAAAAAACATATGACCTCATCCAAAGTCTTCAGCCATCATGCATACTCTAGATCATTATCCCCAAATGTCCACACACACTGAAGGTCACTGAACTTTCTTTAATAATACCAAAAAAAAAAAGATCTCCACATTTCCTTGGGACACGGGGTTCATATCTAAACAAGCCCAGTGGCAGTCATTCTGGTTAACTCTGGAGTTTCTGTTATGGCAGTCTGAGCTGCCATGAAGAGGGGGTGGGCAGTGGGGGGGGATGGAGAGTGTGCAAGAAACAAAAATGAATGACAGCTAATGCTTATGTAGCACTTACCGTGGCCAGGGATGATGTGAAGTGCTTTGTTAGAATACGGCTCTTCTAATGCTACAGTTACATTCTTCTTATGAAGTACATACTGTTATTTCCCCCACTTTACAGATGAGGAAACTGAGACACAGAAAAATTAAGTAATCTTCCCAGGATCTCACAGGTACTAACATGTATGTGGCAGGGCTTTGCGGTCTGTGCTCTTAGCCACTAATGGCTACTTCTGCAGATTGCAAGGGAAAGGAAGCTTGAAATCCCACGCTGAGGCAGCTGGCGAGTAATACCCAGTTGTCCAACCTCTTATTTCAAAACTATGTTCTTGAGCTTTCAGCAACCTCAGTTTCTATACTGAGAATTTAGTCAGAGGTCAGAAAATAACACCAAGTGGAAGAACAACCATAGTGGAAAAAGTCCAGGACAATCCCTCAAGGATTGGAATTAACTCTTGTCTTGATCAAGGCCTTGGGCTATGAAGCTGGACATTGTTCTCAAAGTTTCTCAGTGGTCCTCAAGCTCCCCAAATTGGAGACAAGGAAGCTGACTGAGAAAGGA